GTATATATTAACAGTTATATATTCTTAAGTATATGTAATAACAATCGGTCGTTTTAGAATTCTTTCAAAAGAAGAGTGCGACTTTTTCAATCTCATCTATGAGAATTATTAGGGTATGTTCCTCGTTTACCTGTGTCAATACACAATTTTCACCTGTGAATTGACCTCTATTTAAATGCCAGAAGTATTTGTTTGAAGATAGCTGCAAGAGCTATTTACATAAAATGGTAGATAAGATGATACCCAACATCAATACTGCCTAATCGCCGTGATATATGTGTGCTCCCTTCCCTTACGATAAGGTCCTGCAATCAGTAACGGCCCACTTCTTACCTTGATCATACGTTCCTAACAAGGCTACTGGAATAGTCGTGTACATTGTGGATATACCTAAACCGTTGAGAAAATACAAGCAGAAATTACGTCACTTTCTTAAGGTGTTGAGAAAGACTGGTAAAACAAATATGACATAACGTATGGTGCTCCGTTGAATTTCGTTGTAAGTCTTAGTAATCTACAAGGCATATCAGTACACGGTGTTATAGATCCGTCTTCTACAAATCCTAAAGCTACATTGTAATATCAAAACACAATTAGCCTATATGATGCTTTGTTGAACTTAGAATTATGCTATTCGATGCAATTTTGTTTGAAATGTAAAGCAAAACAAAACAAAATACCTTCAGTATTATTTCGATGCATTTCAAACTGTTTTCGTATATATATGTATTCAAATTTGCCTATCAAGTTTTACATTTAAGTTTAAATTACGTCACCTATTTGTCTAAATAGAAGTCTGGTGACATAATAGACGTCAAAATTAGGTACTGTCAGAAAGCACGTGTATTGAGCTGATATATACGTATGTGACATATTTACTTATTTCATTGTTTACGTCACATGATGTAGTAAGAAGTGATAGTCATTTATCAACCTGTAGATATATCTATACAATTTTGATTTTAAAAAAAAGCTTAGTGTTTAGTAAAATTACTGTCTTCAAAATATTAGATGATTTTGTTAAATAGATTTCCTAAAGCTGATTGCAAATTAAGGATTACATCATAACGCAAAAGATTAGATTGGTTATATTCCTCTTTTCTATTCATTATAATGTTAATTATATCATGCATATTATTCCAAAAAAATGTGAAGTGTGAAAAAATGAAGCATGACCCAGTTGATTCATCACTTACTTTTGTGTTTAGCTACCTCTGATTATCTGGAATGTGAGAGCAAACTATGTTAATGATATACCAATGTATCAATTTGAGTCCAGGGGATTGACTTTGTTAACGGTGTGATTAAACATTCGCAAATGACATTTTTCATGAAGACTACATTGATATCTTGTCAGCCGAGTGATACAGTGGTATAAAACGTTCTCAGTTTTCCAAGGTGCGTCATGTTAAGTTCTAAATGTTCTAATTCAACTCTAGTATGTCAAGGCCTAAGAAGCTTTCATAATAAGTGTCTTTTGAATTTTTGTAAATGTTTAGATATGAGATAATTTGAGAACCTAATACAGTTGTAAAGCACATTTAAGTCTAGCTATTAGATCGAGTTTTAAACAGTTGAATAGATGTCAAATTAACTTTACACGCTTAAAAGGTATTCTGTTACTATTTTCATGGTTGTCTTTGACGGCCTATCATTGGGAACCTTGATAATTTAAATGGTGTCAATCGAATTAAATTCTTCACAACGTCACCAGTCATTCTATAAACGAATGGCAACATTGAGGACCTAATATATCCTACTTAAAAAATATATAAATCCTGAGTAATGAAATTCCACGATATTTATTATCTATTTTAGAGAAACGTTAACATCGTCATACATTTCCTGCTAAACCCGTTTACAGCTTATAATTCAATTATTGAATGTCAATTGCCCTGGACCTCGGGTAATAAATCCCTATCAGATGGATGTAGCTTTTTATCAAAGTTCCGTGCGGTTTGGGAGAGTTATTACTAAATAAGATGTAAAATACAATATTTGTATTGAGGACCAACATACGACATTCACAGAATGACGAACAAGATTGATGATCTTATAAATGAGCTTGATCCTCATGATTGAACATAGACACGCCACCACCATATCTACAAACCTTTCTAGATGCACGTTTGACATTTAGGGACTAGTAAAAAATCTTCCAGAACAATTCCCTTTGGTCATAAACTAGCTATACTATCGTACTAGACAAACCTTCACACGAATGTGAAATTACATTATTCTTTAACACTGTCAGGACCAGACCGAATGTACAGTTTAAGTCATCCGTCTAATACAACACGTAACAAGGGACTGAATGGTCCTTTGTAACTAACCTTATGTGTGACCACCGGCTGATCTATTTACAATGTAAAAATATCAAGTGTTTTGAAGTTAATATATAAAAAGTGTGCTTAGGTTGCTGTTAGATATTGACATTGTTGATATGATACCTGTGTAAATCATCAATAACTGAAACAGACAATCGAGTTCCAGAGGTGATACTATAATTAATAGTATTCTCGATAGACTATAACGATACTCTAAATGTGTGTTCAATCACAATCATCGCATTTTGTTTAATAACATGGGTTTCTGACATATAGTAATATAACAAGATCATTTGTCCTAAATATCTTACGATATGAAATAAGCTTCTCGGTCCAATGATTTGTGTATGGAATTTAACATATACATCTGTCATTGATAGGTTTTGAGTGTGTGTCAATGTTTAGAAAATGTACTATTCAGGTAAAATGCCCACACCCAGTTCAAATACTTGTATAAACATGATAGTGTTTTAAAATCTGGGATAATAAAACGCTGTTATTAAAGACACTAATTTGTTTTGGCTTCTCTTCTTATCAGAGAAATGATTAACTTAATGTCTCCCTTGGCCTCAAATTGACATTAATCATAAATTTTGTGTAAGATACTACCCAGACCGAAAGCCAACTACATTAGTGTACAAACACCACCGTGTCAAAGCATTTTGAAATTGCACGGACCTGGAGACTTTGAAGACACATTACTCCACTAAGAAACACACACATACAATGTGCACACGAAAATGACCCAGTTTTACGGGTGCTTATTTTATTATGGTAAACTAGTATGAAATATCAATAACATGGGTGTGGAAGGGAACAATTATGTGATTTGCTTATATATATTCCTACCATCACTTTAAATTGATGCAAACTCTCACGAACTTCATGTTCGCCGACAACACAGACAATATGGATTTAATAGTCGGATTTCCTATCGATTATATTTCTCTTAATCTGTAGTCTGTGTCTCACAGCTCAGTGATAATTTTGAAGAATATATCTAGAAAGCGTCAAACAGAATACCATTTTACAGAGACAGTAGATAAAGAACTGTCTGCTGTTGGTGTGCTTCTGTATTGTGTCTATATTGATCTTAAGAGTAACTCATTGATTGCCTTGATTACGAACAAGATCATTTGGAATTAGATACAACAGAACCAAATAATGGATTAAACCGCATCTCCCAGCTGTTCCATCCGTCTATGACTCGTCAGCGATGCTAGGGGTCTAAAGATTGAAACCTGCTTGTAGGAGGCGACCAAGGAAAATAAGGATTTATTAAAATTGAAAGAAACTCTAAATGGGAAAGGAAACCATTCCCATAAGTCAATAAATTTCATAATTTTTATATATATGTTAATCGATAATCTGATAGTATTCAAACTGATTTAAATGTGACATGCAGACTACAGTGGCTGTGTGACTTAAGATGTCACGCGTAATTATTCTCAAGTACGTAGAATTCAGAAAAGGTTTTTGTCATTCCTGTGATTGAGATGCCTATTTACTGTGTATTTCAATTGCCACCAGGAACCACTTGTGATCTAGTTGGTCACGAACTATTTTTTATGTTTACATTCCATATAGAATTAGCATGTTACGTCACTGGAAACAGACATATTCCTTAGGCTAACCCTTGGATAAGTTGGAGTGCTTTGAAACAAATCAATGATAAATCACTTCAAGCTTTCATACATCTCGACATACTTGTGGATAAGTCTACAGATCGCAAAAAAATACACTCAAGTGAATAACATCAACACATTAAAATACAACAGCCGTAGACACAACACAAAATATACCTTAAAACGCCAACTGTGTCTTTTTTAAATTATGATGACTACATAACATTTATAACGTTGTTTCCATTTTTATTCTTCTTAATTCCATTTTCAAACTTTACATTTAATAATCAATTTCAAATTCTTAAAACAAAATAATAAATGTAAGTGATCAAAGTTTACGTTTTGCGCAGTCATCCATCACTGCTAGAGTATTACAAATATAAGTTGAGTGCGTGTCCTCTTTAAGCTGAAGTGTAAGAAAGCAGGTGCCTAGGGGCAATTCAAGAAATATGAGCTGATTTTCGACATATCAGGCATCTTGTTAGTGAGTGTGTGTATCTCCCACGTGTTTACTCATTGTCGCTACAACCAGCCAACATCTTAAGGAACACGTGTACCGGGATTTGTCCTTGTCACCCAATATACAAGTAGGTGTGAATCATTACATTTACAAAGCCGTAAACACGTGTAGTGCCGTGCACACGTGTAATGAAATTTACTACTACAACCGACCATAACTATACATCTCTAAGACTATAATACATACATATAATAATTATACAAAATCTGATGTGTAGTAAAACTGTTATGAAGGATATATCGTACATGTATATAAAACTTCGTACGAATTTGACCTTATATATTATTTAAATTACTAAAAGATGCTGTAAGACCTTCATAACATATTTTTGTGGGATATTTCGGTAGATCAAAGCTATACTTATGAATCCTTTATTACTGTTTTCCGAATGCGATTCCCGAAAATCACCATTTATTAGAAAGTAAAAACATCAAACTTTTGGTTCCATCAAGAGGGTTCCCTAAAGCACACTAATTACTACGGCATCATGTGTTTGTTGTGTTAATGCATGGTTACATGGATACTTACCTTTTCTCTCATTCCATACGGAATGTCTATAGGTTTCTCGTCGTCTGGGTCCAATGTTTTCTGTCTCACAACTTTGTTGAAGTCGCTAAGTCTCAGTGTAGTCTTTGGTTGTAGCTCAATACTTGGCAAACTCCTCTCACGGAGGCGTACCCAGTTTGAGGAGACGGACGACGTTCTCTCCATTGAAGGTTCGTCCTCTGTCACCTCCTCAACTCGAGATAAACGTTTCCTCAAACCTTTCCTTGAACCCCCATGTCCCTTTTTCTCCCTGTGCCTCCTTCCTGCTTCGTCGAAAGCAGCCAAGGCCTGAACCTTACGGCGAGTTGAGCTTTTGGATGCTCCAGCGCCCATGACAGATTTTTATTTTAATGTTTTCTACAGTTTAAATTTAATCCAGAACAAAAATTCAAGCGAAAAATCACTTTAAACGGATAAAAACTCACCATACTCTGTAAGCTGTTGGAGTATGTACACAACACGTATAAAGATTGCTTCCTCTTTCATATGTAACCGCTTTAACATTCTTCGCCGACTTATTATACTGAAATCAATTATTACGTTAAACCAACAAATCTTCCTGACTGTATAAACGAACAAGGAAAGTATCATATGTACCGGGAATACACATGTGTGCGTACCGCGACATGTCAAGTTGACTTTTCCGTTTCACTAAAGAGGAAGAAAAGACGCCGGCGGTATGACAGCTGCAGGACTCGAATAGCGATTCGACGAGAGACGCTCTGTACTGAGTGTTTGGTTCTCTTCCGTCTGTTTCCTGGAACGTGCGCGGCTGTATCCCTGCTTCAAAGATATAAATATCCAAAATGGGTACTATATTTTGTGTACGTTGTTGTCAATATAAATCATATCACTGACATTCACACTAGTATATATCAAGTTGTGTGTGTAGCTAAGGATATATATATATACACGTACACGTGCTCGTTTCCTCCGATCCTATAACGACAATTCTTTCGCCTTGCTTCCTCAAGCAGATCAAACACACACACGTTGATGATTCTGATTTAAATGTCCCTGGGCTGGTAAATCCGTGTTACAACATTTCGAGGTGTCACCCTCACACATGCTGCCCACACTGGTAGTGATCACTGTCCTAGTATCTCTTAATATCTATCGATGGATTTCTCTGGTTACTCGCTTCTTTATGGGTTTATTCCCGACGGTGCCGATACGCTGGAGCACCCCAAGACTGGTTCCGATTTCGTGGCAGCGGTCTGATATGTGTTCAGTTTATTGGAGTAATGTTCCTACAAGTCAATAACACACGCCCTACTATCAGCGTAAATCGATCATAGCAGTGACAATCTTCCCCAATACACCCCAGTAAGGATTACAGAAGAAAAAATCTCACAAACGTAACAACAAAGGACACTAGTAAATAGTCCCCATTAAAAGGCGTACGACCTCTGTCAATTACAAGTGTCCGTGGTATCGTATGATTAGAAAACAAACAGTTTATAGTACCGTAATGGTTGATTACAGCTTGAAGTTTCCACTTCGAACGGCGATTTGTCAGACAGATTGAACTAAGATAAATAGTAGTACCACGTGTATAATGATATCAAATAATCTTCAGGTTTATCACTTCAACAGCTTTAAAACACGAAATGTTTTATTTACCTTGTTCGTGGGTGGAACTCTGATGTTAAGACATGTAAATAACGTCTTCATAAGGTATATGTTAGAGCCAAAGACATATAAATAGTATTAAAGACGATTACCTGTAAGTAGTACCCGAATACAGGGGATAAAATATCAGAATAGTACCAAATTATTAGCACCATAGACACCGGAAATATAACTAAGTGTTGACATAACAAGACATTGAAATAATACCCAATTGTTAATGTCTAATATAAAAATACTTTCTGGTAATAGTAGTTGAAGTCAACGATACAAAACTGTAAGAGTGGAATGGTGATCAACTGGGTGTCAAGGGCACAAGACTGGTACTCACCTGTTAGTGTCGAAAAGACAGAAATTATACCTAACTGTTAGTGTCAAAAAGACAGAAATTATACCTAACTGTTAGTGTCAAAGACACAGGAATTATACCTAACTGTTAGTGTCAAAGGCACAAGACTGGTACTCAACTGTTAGTGTCGAAAAGACAGAAATTATACCTAACTGTTAGTGTCAAAGGCACAAGACTGGTACTCAACTGTTAGTGTCGAAAAGACAGAAATTATACCTAACTGTTAGTGTCAAAGACACAGGAATGATACTTAACTGTTAGTGTCGAAAAGACAGAAATTATACCTAACTGTTAGTGTCAAAGACACAGGAATGATACTCACCTGTTAGTGTCAAAAAGACAGAAATTATACTTAACTGTTAGTGTCAAAGACACAGAAATGATACTCAACTGTTAGTGTCAAAAAGACAGAAATTATACCTAACTGTTAGTGTCAAAGACACAGGAATGATACTCACCTGTTAGTGTCAAAAAGACAGAAATTATACTTAACTGTTAGTGTCAAAGACACAGAAATGATACTCAACTGTTAGTGTCAAAAAGACAGAAATTATACCTAACTGTTAGTGTCAAAGACACAGGAATGATACTTAACTGTTAGTGTCAAAAAGACAGAAATTATACCTAACTGTTAGTGTCAAAGACACAGGAATGATACTTAACTGTTAGTGTCAATAGACAGAAATTATACCTAACTGTTAGTGTCAAAGACACAGGAATGATACTCACCTGTTAGTGTCAAAAAGACAAAAATTATACCTAACTGTCAGTGTCAAAGACTCAGTAATAATACCAAAGTGCTAATGTTGAAGACACATAAATAATACCCAATAAAAGATTTTCGCCGATAAAGAGTAAAAGACATATCATTGATACCTCATTATTGTCGTCCGCCAGGTGGTCTATATTTGAGTGACGTATACGTTGTGTAAATGTTTGAGTCAGTGATAAGTGATAAAACCCTGTTTTTCTTCTATTTGATAGTACCTGTCCAGCCCTCGTTTGACGCCCCTAAATCACGCATAATATGCTCTAAAGCTGACCATAGTTGATCGTTGATGAAATAGGTCATTAGTAGTCTAAATATTTTCAATCGATATCAGAAGGTCGCCGAGGAATTCAATCTCTATCATAAACGTAAACACTTAATATCAGTGACAGTATTGTCGGGTACATTTGATGACAGTTTAGATACAAACAAAATGAATACATTCATCAAGATAAATTGGTTGAACTTTCCATAATCGGCTTTAAAACACTCCGGTATTTGGCTTAATATCAAGAATAGTACCATTGGAGAGCGGAATAGGTTGATACAACATTTACTAGACATAGTACATTGTATCAAAGATAGTACTAAAATGGGAAGGGATAGATTTATACGTAGTCTCTAGTATAAGAATTACCACCAATGGAGAACGATATAGGTTCATACCTGCACCTGGCATAGTACGAGTGACTGTACTTATAGGGGGTGGAATATGTTTATAGGTAATCTACACGGAGGACAGGATAGTTGATACGAAGCACACGTAGCATATTCATGCGTAACCGATTATCAAAGATAACACTAATGGAGGCTGATATAGGTTGATACGTATTCTAGTATCAAACATTGTACAAATGGGGGACGATGTAGGTTGATACGTATCCTAGTATCAAACATTGTACAAATGGGGGACGATGTAGGTTGATACGTATCCTAGTATCAAACATTGTACAAATGGGGGACGATGTAGGTTGATACGTATTCTAGTATCAAACATTGTACAAATGGGGGACGATGTAGGTTGATACGTACCCTAGTAACAAACATTGTAAAAATGGGGACGATGTAGGTTGATATGTATCCTAGTATCAAACATTGTAAATAGGGGGACGATGTAGGTTGATATGTATCCTAGTATCAAACATTGTACAAATGGGGGACGATGTAGGTTGATACGTATCCTAGTAACAAACATTGTAAAAATGGGGACGATGTAGGTTGATATGTATCCTAGTATCAAACATTGTACAAAGGGGGACGATGTAGGTTGATATGTATCCTATTATCAAACATTGTACAAATGGGGGACGATGTAGGTTGATACGTATCCTAGTAACAAACGTTGTAAAAATGGGGAGGATGTAGGTTGATATGTATCCTAGTATCAAACATTGTACAAAGGGGGACGATGTAGGTTGATATGTATCCTATTATCAAATATTGTACAAATGGGGGACGATGTAGGTTGATACGTATCCTAGTATCAAACATTATGCTTATGGAGAAAAGGATAGGTAAATAAGTATCCTACTATTAGAATAGTGTCAACGTATTGGCAGGAATTGGTTGAGATAAGCCCAGTATGTTCCAGTTGAAATGATAGAGTTATTAAGGCTAGTATTCATGTGTTGGCAGAAAACTGCCGGGCACTTATCTTTGGAATGAACGAGATGGTTCATGGAATGCAGTTGAAATGATAGGATAGTTATTAAGGCTTCAATGTATATGTATATAACAGTTCGTGCCAAGTCCCAGTGGGAAAGTCCAAAGGCTAGCATCCATGGGATGACAAGACAGGGTTAGGCTAGCATCAATGGGATGACAAGACAGGGTTAGGCTAGCATCCATGGGATGACAAACTAGTTATGCAAGTATTCATGGGATGACAAGACAGAGTTAGGCAAGTATTCAGGGGATGACAAGACAGAGTTAGGCTAGCATCCATGGGATGACAAGATAGTTATGCAGGTATTAAGGGGATGACAAGATAGTTATGCAAGTATTCATATGATGACAAGACAGAGTTAGGCTAGCATCAGTGGGATGACAAGACAGTTAGGCAAGTATCCATTGCAAGGCAAATTGGAGTAAGGCAAGTATTCAAGGGATGACAGGACAGAGTTAGGCCTACATCCATGTCATGACAAGACAGAGTTAGGCAAGTATCCATGGGATGACAAGACAGAGTTAGGCCTACATCCATGTCATGACAAGACAGAGTTATACAAGTATCCATGGGATGACAAGACAGAGTTAGGCAAGTATCCATGGGATGACAAGACAGAGTTAGGCAAGTATTCATGGGATTCCAAGACAGAGTTAGGCAAGTATTCATGGGATTCCAAGACAGAGTTAGGCAAGTATCCATGTGATGACAAGACAAGTATCCATGGGATGACAAGACAGAGTTAGGCAAGTATCCATGGGATGACAAGACAGAGTTAGGCAAGTATTCATGGGATTCCAAGACAGAGTTAGGCCTACATCCATGGCATGGCAAGACAGAGTTAGGCAAGTATCCATATGATGACAAGACAGAGTTAGTCAAGTATCCATGTGATGACAAGACAAGTATCCATGGCATGGCAAATTGGAGTTAGGCATGTATTCAAGAGATGACAGGACAGAGTTAGGCTAACAGCAATGGAACGACAAGACAGGGTTAGGCAAGTATCAATGGGATGACAAGATAGAGTTAGGCAAGCATCCATGGGATGCCAAGACAGAGTTAGGCAAGTATTCATGGGATGCTAAGACAGAGTTGGGCAAGTATCCATGGGATGACAAGACAGAGTTAGGCATGTATCCATGGGATGCCTAGACAGAGTTAGGCATGTATCCATGGGATGACAAGACAAAGTTAGGCAAATATCCATGGGATGACAAGACAGAGTTAGGCATGTATCCATGGGATGACAAGACAAAATTAGGCAAGTACCCATGGGATGACAAGACAGAGTTAGGCATGTATCAGACATACTATGTATATATGAATTTCGGAAATTGACAGATATCAAATACATTGTATACATCAGTTTCTATGACGGGTAATTACGTACATTGTATTCGGTCATTTGAAATCTTCATACAAGGCTTTGACGATGTATTTATTTGAGCATGTCTTGTCCTATAGACGAATGAGGCAATCAAATATACAATCAGATACGCCACTTTTGGAGCTCTGCACTGATCACTGTCAATATTCAATATCATATTAATTTATTTTCTTTCTTAATTTATCAATTCATTAATTTCATATATATTACAAATATATTTATAGGTATATTTATAGGTTTTTCGTCGAATGAAGAGACGATAACTTCTTTACTCCCTACTCTCTGAACACAGACGTGTATCGCGTCAACTAAAAGTATAAGCATGACGGAGTTATCTTTCTTATACGTTGTAACAAAATGAGAGTAAATTAAGCTTTCACCGATAGATGTCGGGCTGATAGCGGGCACCTGTTCCGGTCGTCGCCAGGATACGGCTTCTTCGGCGCATGGCGGATGTTTGCTGAGGTGTTTACAAATAGACTACCGTTTGAAAATAAAAATATGTATAATACATAGATTAAAGCAGTGGAAAATTCTAAAGCGGCAATATGCTACATGTAACAACGGAGATAGGGAAACCTGGCAAACGCGGTGAGTTAACAATCATATACACAAATGACCACTTACTTGAATATGTGGCCTACATTTATTTTTTAAGTCTGAGTATTGAAGTACTGGAGTATGGTGAACATGACGTGCATATGACTATATCTACAAAATTTACATGTAGCTACGTATCTACATCTAGCTATGTATTGCATACTGACATCCTTTTAATAGTAAGATATGAACACTTTCTTCCGGGATTGATATAGTACAGTGTGTACATATGTATGGCTTCAAACTAATGCATCAACACTTGTCAAAATATATAGAAACATATATATAGATCAACTGAACGAAAATTCCAAATGTCAATTAAAATGATCAGGAAAAGCACAGTAGTAGCTTTTTGTTCACCATAAGTCTCCATAAAAGTCTCTTTTATTAGAGATAATTTAATTACAAAAACAAAGTAGCAAACTTGATTGAAAGAATGGATAGAAATGCATGTGATAATCATTTACAATGTGATTGTGAGCAGTATTAAAATGAAAATTACATTCAAACTTTTCAAACACAATATGGATTATGATTTTTTATGTCTGAGAATCAATTTTTGATCTATTCGATAATGCAGATGATTTTGCACGACAAGGAAATGGTTAGCTCAAGAAATCCAGAAGAATATTGGAAAATGAAACATAATTTCCTTTATTGCAAATCATAATACAATACAGAGCACTGGGATATTAATAGAATTCAATACCTTGGCACAGATTGAAGAATTCTGGAAACACAGGGTTAGCAACAAAAAGTAAAAAAAAATGAACTGAATCCAAATTAAAATTATATTGAAATATGTTATTGAATGATGTTATGATTAAGTTACTCTAACAACAGAATGTACCGTTATACATTATCACCATTTTTTAACTGTAATTTTTGACATATTGGTCAAAATATGGGTCTATATTATCTGCTGGTGTTTGCCTTTAGCCAGCTAAGTGATGTTGTTCACTTAATTAAGAAGGAGCAGTTGTAAACGTTATCTCCACTATTTGTGATATAGAAAATAAAATTATTATATACATATTAATTGATTTTTTCATACTTTCAGAGAGGGAACGGAGGCATTTTCCACACATAAATAACAATGCCAGTACACCATCTTATCGAGCCAGAGGACGTAGATATATACCACATGGATATGGATTTTATGGTGAATGGACACCTCATCCTCAGAATATACAAATCCAATATTCAGAGTAAGTCAACATACAACACAGGAGCTCAGCTGGTACACTGACTGGTGAACCACTTGGGTAATTCCCAAACTTGACCATAAGTAAACCTTCTGTACAAAAAGAACTTGATCTGATTTACAATACTGCTTGATAAATCTTTGCAAGTTGCATGAATTCTATTTTAGTCTGACTCTTTTCCAGAAATGGACCAGACTGGAAATCCAAACTGAAATACATTCCTGATCCAGAACACCCTGAATACCCGGCCGCAGAAATATTTCCAAATAACTGGAAGGCTATGAGACCATATCCATGTAAGATATGAAAGTATATTATGTTTGTATCATACAATGTTAAAAGTTTAAGGGTACAAAGCCATATGTGAGAGACAGATCAAACCCCACAGGTATTGGACATGATTCATCAATAGTCAATGCCACTGTTGCAAAACACAAAATTCAGCTGACTTAGCCAAAGAATCGATAATGAAGGAGTTTTATCAAGCTGCTAAATGAGTGAGTGTTAGTGAAGGTGAATAACCTGTTTCCCTTTTGACATGATGTTCCAGGGTCAGATCCTCCATGGTTGCTAAAATAGATTTTGGATAGGTTCCCCTTCAAACTTGACCTTTAAGAACATATCAGCTTCGAAAGTTTAACTTTCAGAGGAGCTCCTTGTCTTTAATTTGAGCGTGTTCAGTCAAAGATGTATACTCCCTCCTAACTGACTTAGCTTTTTAATTTGGGTTGTGAACATATTATCATGTGTAGTCTACATAATATGTGTGTGGCAAATGGGTAACCAATAGAAATAGTTTTGAAGGGTTATGTTCCAGTTCTACAATTTAAGAGGAAAATTAATAAAAAATTCTGAATGGATGGTTTTGGCATGGTTATGCAGTTTTTAACATTTCATTTTTCATATCAAAATTAATAATGCAATATTATTAAGGTATCTTTTGAATGGTGAAACTCACTTTGAAAGATCTCCAGGTTGGAAAAAAATCAATTAAGTGAATGTGCTGTTGTTACTCTTAAATAAAATTAAATTGAATTAAATGGCTTTACAATCTTTCATTGTTAATTTGCAGTTACATACAAACGCACAAATAAGGAATGGCTCCTTGATCCTGGGCTGACTAAGGTTGGTCTGAGATGCAGTTTTGAAGGTGTCCATAAAGCTACGGATGTTTCTTCCGATGAAATCACGCATAAAATGCTGTTTGGAAGAGGAAGAAATGGTAAAAGACATTAAATTAAACCTCATTTTAAGAGTCTGGGATGAATTTGCATGAATTTATTTCAACCATTCATTAAAGATTCATATTTACTGGAAGGAGAAATTAGTTCATTTAAAATTTTCTTTGAAACCTAATTTGAAAGTTAAAGTTCATTGCACAAGCAATTATATTCTGACTATGAGAAAGGAAAATCTCGACTTGAGGAAATCTCAAGTTGAGATGTTTTATACAAGTGGGACCTGTTAGCTTAGCTGGAAGAAACAGGGACCCGAGATCATAAATGGCATAAATCTTACAAAAATCAAAGAACCGAAAAATCGCCCCTTCATGCCCATTGTAGTAGTGACATTGAGCAAGTTTCGTGAAAATCTGATGATCATTTTAGGAGGAGTTGCATTCACAAGGCTCCACTATGAGAAAGCTACAGATACAAAGTTGAAAATTGTATAAATCTTACAAAAATCAACGAACCAAAAAATTGCCCTTTCGTGCACATCTACCCATTGTATTAGTGATATTGAGCAAGTTTCATGAAAATTTGATGATTAGTTTAGGAGGAGTTGCATTCACAAGAAATAAACATAAGGACGGACAGCGCAGATGACGTCAATATACGACCGCCTCTGGCGGCGTATAAAAATAATTGGGATCACTTTATTGCAAAGTATTTATTATGAATTGTGTGTTTACTGACATGGAGTCTAAGTATTTCATTGGCTTTTACATTTATTTATGATTATTGTTTATTTTTACCTGTATATTTTATGTCAACAGAGACAATCATAGATAAAAGGAATGGAATACCTTATGCATCAGAAGGAGACAAAACTTACCAGGCAGTAGAGTACTCACCAGGATTCCACAGGACAGGATCCACTCGTCCATTACCAGAATTCGGGTAAGTTTCTTTATGTAAATTAGGTTGAAGGTAGAGAACTTAGATACTGGTAAATTAGTTCTTAATTAGATCCTGGTCAGTGTTGTAGATTACAAGACATGCAAGCGTTCCAAGACTTATGTAGATATCTTAAGTTAGCCTAGCTTTACCAGTGTTGTAGATGGGAAAGGCATCAAACCTGTTGTAGATATCTTATAAAAGTAGATTGTAAACTTTGTTTGGATTGTATTGGTTACAGCTGCATGATCTCTAGTATTATTACTGTAGGCACATTGTATTTTGGTTTAATTGTACGGTATAAAATGTCTTATTGTGATTGTACCCCATAATCCATCAAAACACAACAGTTCAGGATCTGAAAAGTATGATGCAATGTATTGTTTTCACAGACTTTCAACCTGTCAAAATTTTTATTGGGGATAAAAAGTACTTAAATATCTTGAAGTAATCAGATTATCACACATTATTTCACACCTACATTTTGAATATATTTTAAAAATTAGCAGAAACAAAAAAAGTGATATGATTTGAATTTTTTTGAAGAAAAAGAGGAAAACATTAGGATATTGAATTAGATTTTGACCTCAAATTTTGATTGCCCATTAAATGGACATTATTTTGTACAAATTGAACTTGCATAATGTATTATCTGAACTGACAGTGTAGTGTTTTGACTAATGTTAACAGCCAAATCTGTCGATGGATTTGTTGTCTGTATCTTTGGTAGTATAGACAATGTTATAGCTTTGTATCTCTTTGTATTGATTTTACAGAATGATAAGGTAATATTATCATTTATCTATCTTGTGTGTTATTACAGAATCCTAACATGATAAGAAATTTGTTGATTCACAATGCACTTAAATATTGAATTAACTAGAAATAAAACAGTTTGAAATCTCACCTGTTTGAAAAGTAATAACAATGGATTGGAATGTGAATTGTGAGATTTTCATCAAACGAGAAGTGTGAAATGATTTCAACCCATAACAGGTTTCACTTATTTGTTTTTTGAGTGATATTCTAAAATCAATGTTTGAGAGAAATTTTCAACATGAGTTTGGGAACTAAATATCAGTTTTGCACTTCTGTGATTTCTAGATATGACTAAAACCTTTAATGTAAGGAAAATCAAATAATTTCATAGAAATTCTTAAATCTACTTGCATTTGAACAGCAAGGAAAAATATTAACAAAATGACTAGGAATAAAATATGTTATTCTTCATTACAAGTTTAATGTTAGATAACATATACATTTGTACCTAAATAATGTCAATACACCATATATGCATATCCTAGTACAAGCACTTTGTAATAGGTGATCTGGTTTATATATATATATTTATATGGTGCAGGTACAATTAGTTTTATATACCAGGTAATAGTAATAACTTTACAGAATAACATTGGTGAACTTTAACTTGAGAGAGGAAGCTAGGTCTGGGTTGATGAATAGTTACGGATAATTTAATTTTTTCTGTACAGGGATGTATGATAGCAGCAGACTTTAAGCTATGATAAAAATATCTAGACCCAGAATGTCTATGGTAATGTACAATTCTATATACTCCAACAACTACACAGACGACTAATAGGTTTGTAACAATTTTCAGGTGTTGTTGAAGCTAACAAACTAAGTTAAACATTTGTGGTGTCATGAAATTCAATTTCAGTGCTAACTTCAAACGTGCTACTGCGGATACATTTATTCCACTACAAAAGTTGCCGGTTATACACAGGTAGTATGGTATCCTACATTGTTGGCCGAGTGTTTCATATAGATGTTGGTTTTTTCTATATATGTATCTATATGATATAATCATCTACTGTGGACTATTCATGTTATTGATCATGTATAATAATGTTGTCATTTATATTCATATTTCTGTTAACAAATGCACATACTTATGCCAGTAACTGGTTAATACTTTTTAGATTTCTGAAAGATTAGGGTCAGTCCAGCATTGTGACCAAATATTTCTGTGAATACTTTAACTGTTTAAGAAACCCTAATATAATAGATTCAAATTTCAAAAGTAACATTTCAACTCATGATAGGAAAATATTTTGTATACTTTAAGAATGGCAAGTTTTTTGTTTATTCAGGAGAATGTTATATATTCTTTACAAATGAGCATGGAATCATGAAAAATTCATTTTTTTGTCCGTGTAAAGAAACATATGCGATTTACACAATTCAAATGTATAGCTTTTGGTGTGTTGTCTGTTGCTTGATATCACTGCGCATGCAGAGGATCTTAAAACAAATTAAATTACATGTTTCTTGAAACATTCTCCTGCGAACTAAATAACAATATATGTTGTTTGATGATTTATATAAATCTATGAATTAAGCATACACTGTCATATAAAAATTCTTACAGACATTACTTATGCTCAAGTTGTATTCTTTGTTCATACTCCTTGTGTTTTCTAACTGGAAACCTTGGCGGTCTGTGTTTCTTAGAAAGCTGAGAAACAGACCAGTCTGCACTGATGTTGTTGTGTCTCTGGGCAAGACATTTACCCTTAATTGATCTGGGTGATACGTGATAGGCCTCTCGTATGTTGATCAGTGAGGTAGTCACAAGCTTCTAATAGGAGACCCCGCCTCCAAATGACCTGGTTGTTCAGGAGGGGATAAAACCAGCAGAAAAACCAAAATGGATATTGTGTGATTATGTAGCACCATCCAACAGTAAATGATTAAACACACAAAATTAAAGACAATGACATGGATATTGATGTGTGATGCCACTGTGTGTGGGTGATCATAAGAAAAAACTATTTTGGGATCATTACATGCATGCAAAATATGATTCATATAACCTAGGCTTAGCTGCTGCAGGAATGATAAAAGATTAATAAAAAATATCTCAAGTTCAGTATAAAGAAAGTGCTGAAAACTCATTAGCTGTGTATATCAACTGCGAATTGGTATATTCATATATGGATATGAAAAATTAATTTACATTTAGGGAGAGTATCAGATGATGTACAAAATTTGACGACAAGATACATTTTTGCATTTTGTCCTTTGAAATATTTCCTTACAAAAACTTTCTAAAAGCTTTTTATCATGCATAGCATCAGAATTAATCAAACAAAACACTAGTAATCTGTAACATTCTTGTAAACATATCTTTATCTTCAGGAAAAAATTGTCCTAGAATCTTTGGCACATGTAGGATGTAAAGATTGGAATTTTAGCCTAAAAACTTTCTTGTCAATGCAGTTGTGATTTGCAGCAATTGTACTCTGTCATTAGCTTAAACCTGTCTTTTTTCATTTCAAATTTGCAAATATATAAATTTGTACCAACATTTTATGTACCAGTGGTTCTGACAAATGATAAAAGCTCCTCCATGCACTGTTACCAAATTTTTCATTCATTTTGCAAACCTCATAAGCTACAGAGATTTTATGACTCTTCAACAACCATTGGTCATATAAATCACATGTAACTCCAATTTGAGATATGCTCTGGACTTTATGATAATGAAAAGTTTTGTTTGAGCTATAATCAGAAATGAGAATAACGTATCATGGGACTTTAGCACTCCTCGAATGAAGTTCATAAAGCGTGCATGCAGGAATCTAGTTACCTGCCTCAAAGCCATAAAGTTTGAAAAAATTACCCCTCGGTTTGAGATATCCCTGTCTATAAAACACAGGGGTGGAAGATTCTATTAATCTAAGCTAGGGAGAATCCAGATAAGATTCATTGTTAGGAGTGTTTAAATCTTACGTTTTCTGAACATATTTACAGTTGTGTGCCGCTTATATAAAGTTTTGCAGAAAGTGCTTTATAGATGAATTTACAATGTTTTCTTTTCTCACTTTTCTATGAATATCAAAGACGTTACACTAATGATTGTGTTTGTATCAAAACGACACACGGTTTCGGAGACGATAAGAATAATGTTCATAGCCTCAGCCAACAATGTAATAATGCTCTACAAATGGTGACGGTGTTTGGTGTGGGATTTATACATATCATATATAGACAATAATTCCCTTCCACTTGTAGATTTAAATCCGTATGCACTCTACACATTGTAAATTCATTTTCCTACTCTATGTAAAGATGACTAAGGTCATGCTTTTAGAATGTGTTGATTCTTATATTCTTTCCAGATTTGATGAATGACATTATCAGTGATTTTTTTCTGTCTTTATTCTTTAATTTTATACGATATCTTTATTCTTTATCTTTATTCATTTATTGAAACTCAGTATCGAAAAGAATATTTAACAATACAGAAGTACGTTATAATAGTACGTTATTACTTTCATTGACAATCACTACACATTGTCTCTGTGAAAAAGAACAAACAATGTTAATTATTACTTAATATTGTTACAAAATCTTCACCTCGGGAAACTTGATTCTGGTGTGCCAGTTCTGGATGGCAAGACGGCATCACTACATGCGATTACAGTATATGCATGTAAGACAAACAGTAGATCTGTAATGTATTTTCCGATCACCAGTAATAGTTCAGTGTTAATACATTTAAAGAACTGAAGCATTTACAAATTCTCTGAAGTGCAGTAAATTTTCCTTGACTTTCCGTGTCTTCCGAAATCAAAGATAGATTAGAAATGTACTTCTCATGAACAAGGCATTTTCTCTCCTCCAACCTACATGTAATTTGATTTATTATGGAGATAGCGTGATGGGAACTACACAACACGGTGCGCCAGAATCAAGTTGTTCTTTAATGGAACCAATTAAAGCTCAGTAAACGTATGTACTGTTCCTTTCATCAGTACATCTTCACGTAAACAAGTACATATACTTTTATACATTAAATACTCTTTTCCTTTACGTCCTTTAAAATGCAAATGCTCAAATGCTAATAGTAATGAGAAATTGTTGATGAGTAAGTCATCAACTGAGAGTTTGATCATAAATATAACTCCGTTTTATGGTTATACTTATATATCTATACAAATCAGTTGGAACAGTTAGGTGATGGTATCCTGTCCCTCAATATGTACCAGATATGATATCCTGCAATGCATTTCTAAATATATGCTATAGCTATATGGTGTTAGGTTATATGTAGAATAAATATCAGCTTTTTACTTCACTTATAACAGAAAATGAAAGTGAAAAGCGATAGATTTAATGTTATACCTGTGCAATCTATTTTCGCTTTCAGGATGAAATATCTGTATAATGCTGTTTAATTCATTATTTGGTTTCACCATATATAATTGTAAATTTGTATTGAAAAGTGCTGTACACTTGTGTGTCAATTTCCGTACCCACTTTAAGCACATATTTTTGTTTCAAATGGTAAACATAGGTGAACGTATTTGGAGGTGACATGAAATATTATGTGAATTGAAAAAAATACACTAGATTACTATACTTGATTCTGTATCAGAAAGTAGATTTGATCACATAATAATCTGACTTTACCCATTCTTACATTTGCAGGGACAATTATCGTCAAAATGAAAGGAGACTTCAACGAGACGAAGATATCTCTACCGTCAAAGGACTGGACTCTTGGAAACCAGCGACTCCACTGCATATGACGCTACCTCAAGAGGATAAAAAGTAGAAACGATAAATTTTACTCCATGGTATCTGAATTGCAGTAGTTACGCACTGCGTTCCTATTGGTCCTTTAATGTTCCAATTCTGTCATTTCCAAGCGAATATGCAAGGGCTACATATAGAAATACTATGATAAACCACGGAATTACTATGTATTCTAAGTCCGTGGTAAACCTTCTGTTTGGTTAAATTACATTTTAACGTTATGTTTACATGCAGTATCCTGTCAATAGTTGTGTGGAACTGATTTCCTACGTCCAGTATTATAACAAATGCATACATAGCTGGGTCTGTGATATGTTAATCTTTCTATGCTTACTTTTTATCATTATTGAGGTTATGTTGTTGGTGATTTTGTTGTCAACAGAAAATATTGTTTTTTATGTGTAAGCTCGATTATTTCTATTTTTGAGGGTAAAGAAAGGTTATCAAGGTATTTGTTTATTTCCATTGTTGTTCACAATAATACTTACAATTTGTAGTCTTATAGTGTATGAACTTTAACCTTTGTATTATGTATTGGTTATACCCGTTTTTGCACAAGTAGTTTAAAACTTTACACCCAAGTCAAAATATAACAGTGTAATTTATATCAGACTTGTCTTTATATTATCTAAAAAGGACTATTACGTTGGAATATTCAGTTGATGAACGAGTAATAACACTACAATAATGAGTTAATTGGCAACACACTGATTACAATGTTGATAATATGATTTTTGAATATCTCGTTAATGTATTTTTCAACTACGTTTAACAATGTTTTGATGTGTTTTTTTAAATCGCTGAGAGAAGTGATACTCCTGTACTGTCTGTGATATGTTTAATCAGTATTATTGATACTTTCATTTTGTTTGCCATGCTATTAACTTATCTTGTGAATCATTTTATGTATTTTGGTTCACTTTTTAGGTAAGCAATATCGTGTTTACTTGTTTGTGAATAATACTTGTTTGTTTTGCTCAACTTCATCAATTTTCAAGGTGCTTTTACGTTTATGCTGCCGCTGCGTCTATCAAATCTATTGTCTAGAAAACTTCACTTTGTTAAGATCTACATAAAGTATTTCATTAGTCTAGAGTTTATTTTTTATATGAAATCAAATCTGATATGAATTTGACATATAATTTTTTAACCTTTTCATGTGTCAATATATGATCATGTATATACAACATTCAGATGTTGCCCAAATGCGATCAAGAATATGAAATACATGAATGTGGATTATTGCATGCAATGCAAAACATCTAAAAAGTGTCAACATGATTAGTCCTATTTAACTGAAGATTTCTCCGCCATGGAGGTTTTAATGAGCACAGAAAAGCATGGGTTATAAACATGTTAATCAAATGTTTGGGAACATGTTGAAAGTATATTCAGTGGTAAATATGTCTGATAAACGATAATTATTTGATCAAAGTTCTGTTGAAATACGTTTTGTAAAGAATCATGGTGTTGGACCATCCGACCATTGTAACTTTTAAAATCAATAAATCATAATATTGTATCGTAGAAGTATTATTTATTTATGTTATTTTATTGTTTACGTGGTTTTTGTATTAAGAACGTGCTTTTAATCTACACGTTTTGAATTAATAATTTCGAATTCTCTAACAAGTATATTCGATGCCACATGTTTTCGTTGGTTAGGTTGTTGTCCACCGACATATAGCCTGATTTTACCTGCAAAATGCAAAACAATACAAAATCATTAAACATGAAAACAGGGCATACCCACAATTTTTGGGGCTCTATGTCATGATTAGATAAAAAAAAACCTTATTTGTCAGAACAAATGGCAGATAAGTGAAGATAAATTGAAAGATCAAAGATCATTTACTAGTTATCATAAATGCCTATAACTCCCGATATGTCGTCATCTCTTGCACTGATGTTTATCAGACGTGTCCCTGCTCACATCAAGTAAAGCTTAACTAGGTATTATATCGGCTGGTATGTATACTATAATCTGACGGATAGCTATTGGAGACATCAATGTACATGTCATCGTTTCTTATTCACCTTAAAACAGTTTTGGCATACTAAGTTGTATCAAACAAATATCTGTATACTTACAATTTTTTTTCCATAAAAATATGGTACCGAGACAAGATGATGTAGTGAGGGTTACGTTTATATGAAATAATGTATAAAATTTAGCATAAATTGCAGGCATTTTTTCTTCACATTATTTTCACTCTAAAACGGTAAACATTTTGTGTGATGAGTAATACACAAACTATTACTTTTTCAATAAAATTTAGTCGACTTCTATTCATCTGTCCAGTAACGTTTTCTTACAAACATGGTTTTAAACAGGAACATGTTTGACATCGACATTTTAAGTCGTGTTGTCCCTAATACATCTGACAAGTGAACTTGAAATTACACACTCTATTGCGGAAAACATTACAGTGACTGAGTTCTGAAAGCATGTATTTAAAAAAAATGTAAGGCAGGCTTCGAAAATAAAAAAAAATCTAGAATGCATCAATTACATAATGTATCTGCCAATTTGTGTTTAGATAAAGAACATCGGCTGTATATAGATTTGTTTTTCAATTAAAAAAATCCATGCAACAACATTATTTACATTTCAGTGAATGCTCAAGTACATAATTGAATATGAATATAAGTTATTTACCTGCTTCGATGATAAAAGCTTTTCCTGTCCAGACAGCCATATCGCGTGGATTTATCTGTAGAGTGTAGTTAATTCTATCTGAAGTTTTGATAAAGACTCTTCGGAATGCAACTAATTGCAATTTCGGCATTTTCATTTTCGTCGTAATCCACTCCAGATATATTTGTATCACCTGTTGGGAAACAATTGGACACATATATTAGGATTTGCCTATCTCAATTTACTATCTCAATGTCTGTGTTCCTGTTCGAAAGCGAATTTCTATCTTTATTATCGTCATAGCTACACAGTAACAGTCGTTCACAAATTTCCTCTTTATAAATGTAGATTCTTTACATATTTTGATCATGAACTATCCTTGTTATTACGGAAATGTTCTTCACGCGCATGTTCTTATTGTGCTGTGTAATACAATTACCTCATCTCCATCACATTGTCCGATATTGCCAACTTCTACTCTTATATCAAGTGGTTGGCCAGCTTGAATAAGAGGTGACAACCAAGCGTCGTAATAATGGAATACAGAATAGGACAAACCAAATCCGAAGGGAAAGAGAGGATCGCCGTCGTAGTATCTGTATGTTCTTCCTTCCATTGTATAATTAGTTATAGCCGGAACCTGTCAATGAAGTCAAATGTGACGTTCAAGTCATTGCGTAAATATTCGTCAATCAAGTTTGACCAGTTTATATATTTTTATCATACATTTAAAGTCTATTTCGTCTTATGTTACAAGCTTTGAGAAAAAGATGTCAAAAAAGCAAAATTGAGACTTGAAATTTAAATGTGTAGTCATAATTCAAATATTGTACATCATATACAACTGTTACGTCACTCTAGGACTGGTCAATGATGGTGAGGGCTTTCATTTTGAATTCAAGGAGGCAACTGAAGAAAATATGAAGTGATCAGAAGAAATGTTCAGTTTTAGATGGACCATCTGTACAAGCTTAAGAAATATGTACCTACCTGACAAGCATAACGTGGCCATGTAAACGGTAGTCTGGCAGCTGGGTTGCTATTGTCACCATTGTTAGTAAGGACGCGGAATATTGCCTCACCTGCAGTTTGTGCAGGGAAGAAACACTCCAATATTGCATCAACGCGACCACTTTGTTCAGCCCATGTAATGTTCAAAGGACCAGCGTTGAAGAGGAGCAGTATGACTGGTGCAGTTCCTGGATGTGTACTTAGATATTTTTATCGAAAATTGATGCATTTGAATTTTTTATGATTTTTTTAAAAATCGGTTTGTTTCTTACTGTAATATAACGAAAACATTAATAATGACTAAATGGTTCTGCAGAAAATGATGGCATAAAATACAATGTACACGTTTTGCATGTGCAGTAATACCTGCGAATTCTACAGCATCTTGCAGGAGTTTAAGTTGTTTTCCGGGTAGGTCCATGTTACTTCTGTCGTTATCTTCTCCTTCGAGTTCTTGTCCTTCATATACATGTAACATACGAGAAATATGTGACACATTCGTGTGTAATACTGATTAGAGGAAATATGCAATTATGGTTGATATGACCACAAGAAAAAGCGGTATCCTTATTATTTGATTATTTCCTACATTTTGACTGTAATCTAAGTATTCATTGTCTACATTAACAAAAAACCTGCCAACATTTTCAGATGACCGAAAACCGCATAATTATTTTAACTGTGATTATACTAAATCCTTTAAGTATTTGGCGTAGTACAAACATCATCAAACAACATTTTTGTAGTTTCATACAGCCGAATGTATCAAACAATATTTCTTTAATTAACGCTTTCATGGACCTGGATGATATCACACATAGCTTGTTATTTAGGACGATATTTGATTACCATGTCATTACATTGCCAATCAGGTATCGATCGTGACTGTTTTCGCGACTGTATCACCCGACAAACTGATGTCACAAATCCATTCACATATTATGGACTATGTTTTTCCCAATTACCTGTTCCGAGGCAAACGAAAACTGCCTCAGCTTTTGCAACTGCGTCCTTGACTTGTGTGACATTGTAATTGACACACTTGTTGTCCGGACAACCTTGACCGTAATTTGTTGACCGGGCCAAGCGCTTAAGTCCATCAAGAGGCGTAGTAGTGTATTGACGGCTTGCGTCAGCACTATAGGTGCCGAAGAGTTGGTATAAGTTATCAGCCATAGGTCCGACCACCTGTAAAAGTCTACATACTGAATATGCACTACCTGTCAAAAAACGTCCTATTTAAGATGCTGTAAACTAACTGAATTTGACAGTTTTTAGAGCATTATAACATGTTTTTGGTTAAAAAAAAGCGCGATGATGAATAAACACATCCACAAAAATTACTACATAATCAACATTCAGAAAAATGCTATTACCCCAATAATATTTCAGCGCAATAAGGTCGGCGCGAAAAACGCTAGAATATAATTACCAATGCATGGTATACGTTTGTGATCCTAATCAATTACACTAAATAAAGTATAATTACATTATTATTTGTGTGCTTGAACCAAATATCAGATATTTGTTACCGCTATTGTGTTGAGTAGGCGTTTTAATGGTAGTAAATTGTTGATGTTTTTCAATAAAACAAAGGATTTCATGGCAGCAGTTAGTGAAATCTGTCTATGGTCAGGACTCTGGATATACGACAGATCCAAAAAGCTATATGGGTTTCTGTCTGGTGGGTCAAACTCGCCGAGTCGCATTCTAGTATAGAACAATGGCTTTACACTTTCACGGACAACATCTTCTGTCAATTTCTTAGCTTTGATCGCTTCAACTGAAACAACCATTAAAATTCTAGATAGACAAATAAAATCAACAGTGAAATCTGTATGACAACAACAATGTAAAAGCTCCCGATATGCTACAATAATGACTGAATGTCAAATAGACAAATGAATAAGAACAAAAATAAAATCTAAATCAATAAGAAAAAGATAAACCATTAGCTGTATGGAATAATCTGTAAGAAAACAGTACTGCATACTCATCGAGAAGTAGATAGGCTTCGCTAGATTAGTAGATAATTCCAGATTAAGGCCAGCATTCACACACAGAGCAACCGTGTCCACGGAATTGTTGAGGTAATGATGGAAATCAATGATGTTCTCTATTGCCGCCTGGTCACTCACCACGTAACCTTTGAACCCCCACTCTTTCCTCAGAATATCCGTTAAGAGATGTTTGTTGCCACATGCAGGAACGCCATTAATTCTTGTAGAAAAAAATAGATGATAAAAAATATTGATAATGGGAAAGAAATGATGGAAGTCTTGAATGAAAATTATTGTCTATAACCTTAACTCAAATTTCCTTATCAGATGGACAAGCTACAAGAGGAAACTCCCGTGGTCTAACCTGTTAAAACTGCACATAAGACTGTAGGTTCCCGCCTCAACGCAACGCCTAAAGGCTGGTAGGAAAGTTAAACGCCAGTCCCGTTCGCTTACCTAGAGAGACAAATAGTTAGCGAGGGATATACTTTTATTACTAAATTCCTAGCTACTATTTTACATGTGCATGTAGTATACGGTGTGATTGACGATTAAAAGTTGGACAAACCATACAGTTTTTTTATTTTTACACCATTATAACTGAAAATGTTACGTTTGCTAAAACATGCTTTTCTTCATACTTAAGTTTTCATGTTCTTTATTATTGATCTTATTTAATATGAACTGGCATTAAGATAAAATGCACTTGATAAATCACACAATTAACATTGTACGACTGCGTGTTCTGTATGTTGGGGGCTATTATGATATTTACCTGTGCGTTAAAAGAAAATCGCGATACAGGTATGTTTTCAGGTCCTCCATAAACATCTAAATGTTTACATCCCGAGTTGACTCGAATATACGTAGGATTGCGACCTTGCAGACCGTTCACAAAATGTGTTGCAAGAACTCCACTGAGGAAAGGATCCTCGCCATATGTCTCCTGAAAAGGTACAGTGATAATTGTTTCATCTATCTTTTCCTGGGAATCGTGATATTGTAATGTTATCAATCAGATAAAATCTATATGATCTATATCTATGTTCTTCGATATTCATATGACTTAAAAGAAATGTTGTCTTTATCAGTAGTCAACTACAAATAACCTTGTCATCAAAAGGAATGAACAGCAGGATGCAAAAATGTAGTTTGATATTGAGTGTCCCTTTGGTTCTGGATGGAAGTTTACTTCATTGATCCAATTTAAAACTTTTATTTGAAAACCGAGCCAGCTATTTAGCAAATAAGACGTATGATGCTTAATGCCTGCAATCAGTGAATTAGGATGTTTCAAAATATTCAATATTCTTTGTACCTGGTTTCGTCCCCACAAGGGATGTCGCATGATGTTGATAACGGGACTAAAACAGCTCGCCCCTTTGTGGTCACCATATTCTTGGTGTTTACGGTAGTCGTTGTACTTGGCGCGAACCTCTACACCAGTGGCTTCTGCTACGTCATATATGACGTCAGTGCTTTAATTGTGAAAATAATAATTACCGCGATTCTTAGAAATGTACTGTCAATATTTAAAACATTGACGAGCTTTATGGCAATTTCTTTTTTACATTTTGAAGACAAAGTATATTTTAGATTTTTCATTTACATTTTTCTTTGTCCAAATATTTATAATCCTGTCAGAAGTCACTCGTTGTGGTGCAACCAACCCTACATTATTAATCGCGATGGCACAGACAGCATAATTACTTTACTCTAAGGTGTACACTGACGCAACCTCATCTCTCAGATAAAGATGATATACAATATAACTACAGATAGAGATTATGAGATTTATCAAACAAAAAGATTTTACGTATAGGCGTAACGTTGGGGTGAAATATTACCTGACAACAGCAATGGGCTGACATTGATAAATCTTTAATAATCAGACAAAAATGACTGTGTATATACACATCAAGAATGAGTTACCTGAACGTGGCGGCTAGTCCCAGGGCTTGTGGGAAGGATGTTGCGTTCCCAGAACTTCCGTCACCCCGTAGACATTCCGTATTCCAACTATAGGTCCCTATACCTAGTCGATTTATCGGCGGGGCTGGTCCTCCCTTTGGTCCCGACCCTCCTTTACTCATCTGAATCATAATCTCTTCAAGGGTCAAACGACTAACCAAATCGTCAACTCTTGTATCCCATGGCAACGAGGTGTTCCGGAATGGGTAATGGTCAGTTAGACTCAATGCGGAACTGATCAAACACATTGCAAATAAATATAGTGATTTGTATCTACTGTGGATGACATGATGCGACATTGCCATGCAGTCCATCGTGAGCTACTAGAGAAAAATTAACACAAACTAGCCCAAGCGTGACTTCGACAAGCATCATATAACGGCCCTGGGCACTTGTTTATCTGTAATAGACATGTATACTTGTATTTGATGGATGTGTGGTAAACAAAAAATGATGTAATGTGTTCTTTTTTTTAAACGATCAGTGTAATATCTGAATTAAAATGACTGCCTCCGGGTTTATTGTCAAGCGCCGAGAAGCATTAAGTGTGACTGCCTAGAAATGTTCTTTTTCACACGGAAAGAAAGTACTCAGTCATTGCAACTGTCTCAAGATTCTTGTTTATTCTATACACAGTACATAATGCGTATCACGAATATTACTCGCTCTTTTCCTCTGCACATTTTAAAAATCATTTGAGTTTTGTTACAAAAATGTAAACGTCGTCCAAACCAACATTAAAATTAATCATGTATAAAACAAATCAGAAAAGAAAGTAGATGATAGATATATAGGATGTAATATACACAACAAGGATTATAATCGATTCCAAATAAAAGATCTTGTATAAATTGATCCTGAAAAATATTGTTATTGGATTCAGGGTTTTGAATGATTTTTCGCGTGATAGCAATTACTACTAAATCTGATTTTGGGTGCAAATTGCAGAAATAAATCACAGCGACAAGTATAATTTCAACCAATGAAACGCCACAACATCTAAAAGTTAACCTTTTTAAACATAATACTATAGTTTTAAACTCTTGACCGACAAAGTCAGCCAACGTGCTTAAATACAGAATGTAATTTCACACATGCAACTTCGGTCGTTAACTGTCGTGTGTCAATATTTTCAGGTTATTTTATATTTGTTTCTTTCCTGTTAGAAGTAGACAACTGCTGCTGATACATACAAGAGATCATAGACTATAGTGATAATTTTCATTTTATAACTTTCATTTGTAAATAAAACACGAAATAAAGAACATTATATACAATCAGATCTTCCTTTTAATTCACTGTCAACGATAAAGTTTAATAGATTTCATGAAATTATCAAACAAAAAGTACACATCAAATTTCGATGAAATATATGAAAAGCAACAAAATAAATGAATATTACATTTCTCATATACATAATATCATATTTCATTATCAATGTACAATGTAATCTCTTTACTGTTTGTGTATAATTGTACATTTTGCATGCGCCTGGTAATCATAAGCTGCCATTAGATTAACACATTATTGCCAATGATAGCAGGGTTTTGAATTGATAATTTCGAATTCTCTCACTAGGATATTGGAGGGTACGTTCATCTTTTGCTTAGGTTGCTGTCCACCAATATAGATCCTCATCTTACCTGGAAAGAACATTTTACGTCACATATGACTATGCTTAAGGAAAGTATCTAGTATTAAGCAAAGATTCTCAAAGAGTTGATCATAATAAAAAAACTTGTTTCAGACCAAACACTCAGTTACTTTATACATTTCTTCATTATCTAAATCATTATCCGTTTGATCAAAGACACAACTGACTCTCCTATATCAGTCACTTACCACAATCTTTTACTACAATGAAACCAACATGGACACTTTCCACCAAGCTGTATGATAAACGTGATTATTTCTATTTCCCTACTCTAAATTTTCCATTTCTAGATAGCAACATCCCTATGATGTTTACATGTTCCAGTTAATTCGATAATAATGGGTCTGTTCTAAGTAACACGACTTCCGTGTAAGATGTCGATACCTTATAGACAAACTTACAATACAGGGTTTCGACGAATGCAGATTGCTGAAAATTAAGTTTTTCGGTCACCAAGGTGATTTCATTGAGAAAACTCTATATCTTTACGCGATATGAAGCCGCACGCGTTTGCTGCTCTATAGTTTCTATGTTGATTCCAATGTTGTATACAATGTTCTCATTTGGGTAAGTGACATTACTAACTTAGTATGACTAATAATTACATGACGGTTTTTGTCGATGTAGCATGAGAGGTTCTTGAACTCCTGATCTTATTTTCCTTGTCTTCTTTTTTAAGATTCTCCGCGTAAACCAATCTATTTTTAATATTTTGCCCTTATTTGATTGTATTTGAAATTGGGTTATGATTCTATTAATATGTTTGCCTTTTAACTAATCTTAGTAGAAATGGCGGTTAGTTCAGGCGATGTAGTCATTTATTTATACCTGGTTCTATAACAAAAGCATTTCCCGTCCACACAGCCATGTCCCTAGGTTGTATTTCCAGACTGGTTACTATTTTGCCGTCAATTCTTAGGAAGACTCTTTGAAAAGCCACTAGCTGTAACTTGGGCATTTGCGTCTTTGTCGTTCTCCATTCCATGTAAATTTGGATTACCTACAATCAGGTAAAAGTAAAATGCCTCTAATTTCAACATCTTGACTTGATAACAAGGCAATAAATGACACATACCAACTGATATAAAAGTTTCTAATCTTGTTCGTGGATGATGTGGCAATATCATAAAGATATGAACGTATGATATGACTTATTAAAATGATATGAAAGATCTGAACACGTGATATGACATTATTATAAAGATATGAACATGTGATACAGATTATTCCATAGGTACCAACGCAAGATATGACAATATTATAATAATTGTAATAACATCCCAATATCACCTATCTGATCCTTCATAAGTCTGATATAACATTTCCTATCAGACTTACGTAACATCCATCTATACCATAAATAAATGAATTGATATGTTTAATCGCGTCATAATCTGTTATGATAATAAGGAGGTAACGTGGGAAAGCTGCAGCATTTTGTTTGCAGTGTTGTATTTAACTTGACCTGAGTTTGTACTATACAACTGTGTCGAGGTAACGACTTCAATCCCCATCGTCTAAGGAGACTTTTTTTCATTTGTTGTTAGCTGTAAGAAGGATAAAAGAACAATTAGGATCCTTACTTCTTGTCCATCATATGGCCCAATATTCCCGACCTCCACTTGTACCCCTACGGGATGACCAGCGATAACCTGGGGTGGCAACCGAGCGTCGAAGTATTGATATTTAGAATAAGATAAACCGAACCCAAATGGATAGAGCGGATCACCCTGGAAATAACGGTAGGTCCTTCCTGTCATTGAATAGTTACTTATAGGAGGCACCTGTAACAACACAAACGTAATATACTGATTGTATCATAGAATTTCAGTTAAAATCATTCATGTTGAGATCAAAAATAAATAAAGAAATAAATATTTATTAATTAATGCTTCAGAGACCTTCCCCTTAACGATATCGTTCGGTCATTGTATCCAAGAAAGTGGAAGACATTTTAGTCCAGTTATTTCAGTTACATCAGTAAAATGTAAGACAGGTCATCATTTTGCATGCATTTTATTTGTCAAGCATTTAAAAGATCATGATTGAGAAATTCAACAACTAAGTTATACAGCTTTTTCAAACTTTTCAGTGAGCAGACATTGAAAAAAAAATGCCATGTCTAGTTTAAAGCTTGGAGTACGTGTATGTGATGGCCTGATGGGATTTTGATTCGCTTTTTTTGTTTTTTGTTTTGTTTTTTGGGGGTTTTTTTTATTATTTTACATAATATTGAATGTATCTATGTGAAACATCAACTATCTTCTCGCCACTTCAATGTTGTCAGGCGAGTGCACACTGGGCCTTGTGTAATGATATTATACAGGTGTGTTTAACTTGACAGGTTTCATAACCTAGGACGTCAGTACTGGTTTCGAAGCACGGTTTGAACTACCGTGTCTGCCATTTCCTTAGATACAATGACTGGACGATAGCGTTATCGAAGGAGGTATCTCCAAAACATTTGGGAAACGAAAACTTTTACTTTATTAATCTCAACATGTAAGCGTTTCAACTTGTATTGTGAGCTTTGATTGTAAAGTGTTGGTGTCATAACATACACGTGTTTCCATTGTGTAAAAATTCCACACATCTCTTATTGTGCATATTTACCTGACTAGCATAAAGAGGCCATGTAAATGGTAGTCTCGCCGCCGGGTTGCCATTGTCGCCATTGTTAGTAAGGACACGGAATATTGCCTCACCTGCAGCTTGCGCAGGGAAAAAACACTCCAATATGGCATCAACGCGACCACTTTGTTCAGCCCATGTAATGTTCAAAGGACCAGCATTAAAGAGAAGCAGTATAACCGGTACATTACCTGCAATTTTTAATGTTTACTGCATTAACTTTAAATAGTCCATAATGTTTTGAAGCATCAAATTTGCATCCGTTATAAACAGTGGGTATATGGATAAAAAGGAGCACATACTAGTGCAGTATTTTATGTTTGTAAAATTAAACCACTAGTGTTGTTATATTTTGTAAAACTGTATAGTCACAATTGCACATTCTGTTTGCAGGTGTCTACCACAGGTGTGTATAAAACACTTTACCTGAGAACTGTACGGCGTCTTTCAAAAGTTGAAGCTGTTTCCCTGGTAAGTCCATACTGCTTCGGTCATTGCTTTCTCCTTCAAGTTCCTGTCCTGTCATATAGGATATAAACTAGGAACAGTTATCAAAATTAAATATTAAGTATGAAATGACTCGAAATTACCTTTTTCGAAATTATGAGCGATAAATTAGCGTTTAATTGACAGAATGGAACATGAGGGTTGGTATATGTATCTACATTTTAATTAGAATTTCTCAATTAGCACTGTCTACTAGTAGGCAGCACATGATTAGACTTCTACCTTAATTGACGTGACTTTCTTTCCCCTATTTGATTATTTGATTATTACTTAAATTCTGATAATAACTGGTAACACCTGTTTTAATTATACATATGATAATACACGTCTAATGATACACGCTGTATATGGAAATGTTTTATTAATTAGCATAGTTACCTCAAAATTCAGTAAATATCTGGTTAATTCATTGTTTTTTCAAATAATTTAAATTTTTAAAATGACCAACGCCTAAATGTTTGTGTTTAATATTGTTTCTCTAAATAAGTATTTTTGACTCTTATAATGTATCCATTAAATAGATATCAGCATAATGTTAGAAGGCAACCCTCACCTGTTCCAAGACAAACAAACACTGCCTCAGTATTCGCCACAGCGTACTTGACTTGTGTAGCATTGTAAAGGACACACCTGTTGTCAGGACACCCTTGGCCATAATTAGTTGATTCTGCGAGATGTTTTAGCCCATCTAGAGGTGTTGTAGTGTATGATGGACTGGCGTCCGCACTATAGTCACCAAATAGCTGTTCAAGGTTGTTTGCCATGGGCCCGACCACCTGTAACCGGTAACAGAATAATTTTGTGATATGAAATGAATATTCATTCATTCGTCCTTTCTTAAACAATTTTCCATACAGAAAAATTTCAAAATAAGTATCTGCACAGTAGCAATAGTATTTAAGATAGTCTTAATCAGTTCCTGTATGATTGCAATAAGTGACAGTTATTACTGTTCCATTTGGAACGTTACAGCTTCAGGACATGTTTTGTGCTAAATGCTTTAACCAATCAAAACTCTCAATAAAATCAGTTTGTGAATTGTTCTTTATCGCTTAATGTCCTGTGTAACTCGTTGGTTAATTAAGGGAATTGCAGCATTAACTAAATCTGTGTGAATGACAAGAGGGCATTTAAAACTCATTATGATAATAAGACACATACCGCAATTTTCTTAAATATTTTATGAAATGGTAGCAAATGGTTGACGTTCTTCAACAAAACAAAAGATTTCATTGCAGCTTCAAGTGATTTAGCTCTATGATCTGCGCTCTGAATGTTGGATAAATCCAGACGGTCGTATGGGTTCATGTCTGGTGGGTCAAACTCGCCAAGTCTCATTCTGGTGTAAAACAATGGTTTCACGCTTTCCCGAACAACGCTTTCTGTCAGTTTTCCAGATTCTATCGCTTCAACTATAGGAATAAAAAAATGGTTGTATAAGATTATTTGCGAAAGCAAATAATAATAAGATGTGAAATATGAAGTGTCTCCAATGATCAAATTTTTGTAAAACAATTTAGATATATACTAACATTAAGCATTTGATCGTAAGGTAAATTTTTTATGCTGGCAGTTGCGAAGGATTCGAATTTTTCTGACGTTTTATGGACTTTTATGTCTGTCTGCAGTCGATGAATTTTTCCCTCAATCCTATATAGGGTCACAGTTGTTCTTCCGTCGATTCCAGACCAATAAGAAAAAGTGGAAAGATGTCAGAATATTTGAACAACGTTGTGATCTAGAACTTCTAATAACCAGTTTACTCTCTCTCTCCCCCCCCCCCCTCTCTCTCTCTCTCTCTCTCTCTCTCTCTCTCTCTCTCTCTCTCTCTCTCTCTCTCTCTCTCTCTCTCTCTCTCTCTCTCTCTCTCTCTCTCTCTCTCTCTCTCTCCCCCTCGGAATAAAATGGAATAAGTGTGTAATGCAAAAGGACATGATACATACTCATAGAGTAGTAGACAGGACTTGCTTCGTTGTTTGATAATTCTAAATTACAGCCAGCATTCACACATAGAGCCACCGTGTCCACAGAATTGTTGAGGTAATGATGGAAGTCTATAATGTTCTCAATAGCCTCCTCGTCGCTCACCACGTAACCTTTGAACCCCCATTCCTTCCTCAGGATATCCGTTAGGAGGCGCTTATTACCACAAGCGGGAATCCCATTTAGTCTGAAAAAGTAAATATGTAAATGTAAATTTGTAAATGAATATCAGCAAAAGACATCATGTATTTGGAACATTTGATAAAATACTTGTAGAATAGAACCAGGTGCACCGAAAAGAAATGATTATTTTGTTTCATCGACGACATCTGTCGTGGGAGCTAATGGGCGTATTTGATGCGTATCAGTTTGCCTGTTGGTTCCATTGTTATATACCTTGTTCTCATTTTAGAACGTGACATTATTTACTTGGATTTATTAGGATTACATGGTGGGTGGCGTCCATGAAGCAGAAGACGCTTACTCTTCCTGAACACCTGATCTTATTCCTCTTGTACTTTTTCAGGAGTCTCCGTGTAAATATTTCTTTTGTATATATTTTGCCCTAATTCTATGGAATTTGAGTTTGAATTATGATTACGCTGCCATGTTAGTATTTTCATTTATCAACACGAGAATGTACAATATAAATTACATAATGTCCATAGGACATTCGTCATCATCTATGTGCATCTGTCAAATAAACTAATAAAATAATAACTTTCGACATACACCAACGGACCTGTTGTAGCTGCACATCAGGCTGTAGGTTCCTGCTTCTACGCAACGTCTGAAGGCTGGTAGGAAAGTGAGACGCCAGTCGCGTTCACTTACCTGTCAATTATATATACGGAAAATAAAAAAATATTTCAATCGTTATACCAAAATTTATATACACTGTACTCTTGGAAGCTGTGACAATGTGATGTTTTCTTGAAGTTTTATGTCAACCAATCGGAAGCTGTTACAGTGTGATGTCTTTGTGATGACATATGTCAATGAATCTGAAGCTGTGACAGTGTGATGTCCTTGTAATGACATATGTCAATGAATCAGAAGCTGTGACATTGTGATGTCTTTGTGATGACATATGTCAATGAATCAGAAGCTGTGACAGTGTGATGTCTTTGTGATGACATATGTCAATGAATCAGAAGCTGTGACAGTGTGATGTCTTTGTGATGACATATGTCAATGAATCAGAAGCTGTGACAGTGTGATGTCTTTGTGATGACATATGTCATGTCAAGCTGACATCTGAAGCTGTGACAGTGTGATGTCTTTATGACATATGTCAATGAATCTGAAGCTGTGACATTGTGATGTCTTTATGACATATGTCAATGAATCTGAAGCTGTGACATTGTGATGTCTTTATGACATATGTCAATGAATCTGAAGCTGTGACATTGTGATGTCCTTGTAATGACATATGTCAATGAATCTGAAGCTGTGACAGTGTGATGTCTTTATGACATATGTCAATGAATCTGAAGCTGTGACAGTGTGATGTCTTTATGACATATGTCAATGAATCAGAAGCTGTGACAGTGTGATGTCCTTGTAATGACATATGTCAATGAATCAGAAGCTGTGACAGTGTGATGTCTTTGTGATGTCATATGTCAATGAATCTGAAGCTGTGACAGTGTGATGTGACAGTGTGATGTCTCGTGATATCTTGTCAATGAATCAGAAGCTGTGACAGTGTGATGTCTCGTGATATCTTGTCAATGAATCAGAAGCTGTGACAGTGTGATGTCTCGTGATATCTTGTCAATGAATCAGAAGCTGTGATATTGTGATGTCTTTGTCAGAAGCTGACAGTGTGATGTCAATGAATCAGAAGCTGTGACAGTGTGATGTCTCGTGATATCTTGTCAATGAATCAGAAGCTGTGATATTGTGATGTCTTTGTGATGACATATGTCAATGAACAAGAAGCTGTGACAGTGTGATGTCTCGTGATATCTTGTCAATGAATCAGAAGCTGTGATATTGTGATGTCTTCGTGATATCTTGTCAATGAATCAGAAGCTGTGACAGTATGATGTCTTTGTGATGACATATGTCAATGAACAAGAAGCTGTGACAGTGTGATGTCTTCGTGATATCATGTCAATGAATCAGAAGCTGTGATATTGTGATGTCTTTGTGATGACATATGTCAATGAACAAGAAGCTGTGACAGCGTGATGTCTTTGTGATATCTTGTCAATGAACCAGAAGCTAGGACAGTGTGATGTCTTTATGACATATGTCAATGAATCTGAAGCTGTGACAGTGTGATGTCTTTATGACATATGTCAATGAATCAGAAGCTGTGACATTGTGATGTCTTTGTGATGACATATGTCAATGAATCTGAAGCTGTGACATTGTGATGTCTTTGTGATGACATATGTCAATGAATCAGAAGCTGTGACAGTGTGATGTCCTTGTGATGACATATGTCCATGAATCAGAAGCTAGGACAGTGTGATGTCTTTGTGATGACATATGACAATGAATCAGAAGCTGTGACAGTGTGATGTCTTTGTGATGACATTTGTCAATGAATCAGAAGCTAGGACAGTGTGATGTCTTTGTGATGACATATGTCAATGAATCAGAAGCTAGGACAGTGTGATGTCTTTGTGATGACATATGTCAATGAATCAGAAGCTGTGACAGTGTGATGTCTTTGTGATGACATATGTCAATGAATCAGAAGCTGTGACAGTGTGATGTCTTTGTGATGACATATGTCAATGAATCAGAAGCTGTGACAGTGTGATGTCTTTGTGATGACATATGTCAATGAATAAGAAGCTGTGACATTGTGATGTCTTTGTGATGACATATGTCAATGAACAAGAAGCTAGGACAGTGTGATGTCTTTGTGATGACATATGTCAATGAATCAGAAGCTGTGACAGTGTGATGTCTTTGTGATGACATATGTCAATGAATCAGAAGCTGTGACATTGTGATGTCTTTATGATGACATATGTCAATGAATCAGAAGCTGTGACAGTGTGATGTCTTTATGATGACATATGTCAATGAACAAGAAGCTAGGACAGTGTGATGTCTTTGTGATGACATATGTCAATGAATCAGAAGCTGTAACAGTGTGATGTCTTTGTGATGACATATGTCAATGAACGAGAAGCTAGGACAGTGTGATGTCTTTGTGATGACATATGTCAATGAATCAGAAGCTGTGACAGTGTGATGTCTTTGTGATGACATATGTCAATGAATCAGAAGCTGTAACAGTGTGATGTCTTTGTGATGACATATGTCAATGAACGAGAAGCTAGGACAGTGTGATGTCTTTGTGATGACATATGTCAATGAATCAGAAGCTGTGACATTGTGATGTCTTTGTGATGACATATGTCAATGAATCAGAAGCTGTGACATTGTGATGTCTTTGTGATGACATATGTCAATGAATCAGAAGCTGTGACAGTGTGATGTGTTCGTGATATATCATGTCAAACAATGTCTTATGTCTGCGAATCTCCGATCTCGTGTCCAATCTTCTCCATTAAACAGTACGTTGTGGCAGAGAAACCGAAAGACTCGGCGACACTAAATACTTCCTGCTATTTTTACAATCTTTTCTTGCAGTTCTCAACATATCAACATACAGAGATTATGTTTTACAAGTTTTCATTTAACCTCGAAAGATGCTCTGTAAAATGAAAACTTTACCTAATTTCACAGATCTTCTATGAAATGGAAACGCATGCAATCATTTCATACATTTTCTTTTTTGATGTTATTTTTATATCGTTCTGCCAATGTCAGGTTTCAGTTTCTCAAATAGTGATTTATTTACCTTAGCATCGAAGGAGAAACGTGACACAGGGATATTGTCTGGCCCACCATGAACGTCGAAGTGTTTACAACCAGCATTAGCTCTGATGTACTTTTTGTCCTGACCTTGTAAGCCTTTAACAAAGTATGCAGCCAGGACTCCGCTGAGGTAGGGGTCTTCTCCATAGGTCTCCTACAACAAAAATGGGCGTTCTGAAGGAACAAGAGTCACTGAACTTAATATATCATCATATATTTTTTTACGAATTACTTGTCATAATACCACATTTTATAATACTTGTCAACGGAATCATAATTCAAACACACATTCGATGAGACTAGAGTAAAATATGAACTAAAAAAAGATTTGTAAGGATACTGCTGTAAAACTACAAGGAGTACAGGACCAGATGATATAAAATTTTCTCTGTTAGCTAACACTAACGGCATTTCCAAAGAAATGCTCGGATTTGCGCGTGCTCACCTATATATATATACATTTTTTTTTTCAAAAAATAATATTCGGTGACGATCTGTATAAAGAATACACGGCGAGTGTCTTAAATAGAAGCTATATAAAATACAGCTTATATTTAAGATACTGAACAGACATTCTATTTATACAGCAACATTTACTGAAATTTCACACTATCGAAACTTCGACAGTTTTGTTTTTCAGTCTTACTTTACCTGACCTTGATGTTGACCTTATCATAAGTTATGACAGCAGATGTACAAAAAATAAATTTGTCAGCACGAGTAAATACAATACCAAACTTAAACGGATGAAGCTGCAATTTAAATGAATTTACGCAAACAGACTTGTTTGGTACAACAGTAAAGATACTTGTAGCAGGTATATTCTGTCAATGACAGCGTCAGTTTCGGGATACAAAAAAATACAGATCTATATTCTTAATAGCAATTAATTATAGAGTAGACATTGCTAATGGAGTAAAAACAACTTAACCTGGTTCCGTCCCCACAAAGGGTGTCGCATGATATTGATAACGGGGCTGAAACAGCTCGCCCCCTTGTGGTCCCCGTACTCTTGTCGCTTCCGAAAATAGTTATATTTGGCGCGAACCTCAACACCAGTGGCTTCTGCTACGTCATATATAACGTCGGTACTACAGAATGGCGAAAAAGAAGTAAAAGATTAGTCGTGGTTTGTGGAACTTTCTTTTCATAGCGACAAATCAACAAAACTGCTTCTAAAGATTATCAGAAAATTCAATGAGATTTTGCTCCTGGACCATGCATATTGGACACTCCGTTTCTGTTATTTTCGAAAAAAAGGCACAATAGAGAAACATATATGCAATAATATGTTATTCAGCCCGGAACCCTAAAATTTCATGAAGATATGAGTCCAATGACTCAAATCATACATGATACAACTTTTAGGTTCCTCAACAGGCCCGGCGGAAGCAATTTGACATTGGGGGACTGACATACATAATTAAGGCAGGGGGTCCGTGGGCTACCTTTAGGCTTCCCATCGGGTCCAGGGCAAAGCCCTGGTGGGTGACCAGGGGCGAAGCCCCCTTCAGCTGGTGGATTGTAGCGTTGTTTGGTTGCAAATTTAAAAGCTGAAATACACATAAAAACTTTGTTTCCAACCATGTTTTTTTTAGTAAAATTGCTCAAATTGTGATGATGACAATAGTAAATGTAAATTGCAAATCATTACTAGTCATGATAAAACTTCTGATATTGTTTACTTTTGATACCAGCAACTAATGCTGTCAGTGAACGGTCAGCATCAGCATTGTGCAGAATCAAAACCTATCTGCAATCAACAATGACACAACGTCTTAACAACTGCATGCTACTCCATGTCCACAAAGAGGCGACGGCATTTATTAATTCAGTTGATGTTGCAAATGAATTTGTAAACTATATTGTCACAGAATTGTGTTTTGACAGTACAGTGTATATGATATGATGAAAATCGACCTGCTAAAACTTAATTATCATTGAATATTAAATACCATCTGCAAAATTTGCAATTTTTTTTTTATTTTGAAAAAATTATTGGGGGAAAACCCTGAAAACTGATATCTCCTTCGATCGTTTCCGCAATTTTGATAAAAATATTAATAAACTTTTTTAACAAGCTTTGCATTTTTAAGTATTATATAATAAGAAAATTAATTCAAATAATTATGGTTGATGGTTGATAGGTTTTCCGTCTCCGCGACTCCTCCCGTGCCCGTGCATCGTCTCACCGACGAACGTCAGTGTTCAGGCGACGTGTAAATACCAAAAATGTGCCCCTGCTGTGTATCGAACCGGTCCTTACCTGAACGAGGCGGCAAGGCCGAGAGCTTGTGGGAAGGAAGTGGCGTTCCCCGCACTCACGTCTCCCCTGAGGCATTCCGTGTTCCAGCTGTAGGGCCCTATGCCCAGGCGAGGTATGGGTGGTGCAGGCCCCGCATGGGGACCCGAACCTCCCTTACTCATCTGCAACATGATCTCCTTCAGCGTCAGGCGGCCTACCAAATCGTCCACGCGAGTATCCCATGATAGTGAAGTGTTTCGGAATGGATAGATCAAGACAGACTGTGTAGAATGTGGCAATGCACGGATATTGGTAAACAATAGGCATATAACGTTCCAGAGAAATGTGCACGAGAATGAACCACGAGTGAGATACATAGTGTATTAGACTTCACTGGTAGACTCTAGCTTCAGGCTATTACCGGCTGAGCTTGGCTGTCTACTCGGTTATTCGAGAAAGGCTATCAACTCGGTAGTCGTAAGGCTGTCGGGTTATTTAAAACATGTTTCAGTAAGTGTAATATTTTGTACGCGATAAATGTTTTTTATTCGATCTACTGAAATCGTATATAATCTTTGAGGACAATTTTGTAAAACATAGCGGAAATCGAATTCAGAGCGAGGGACGAATACATGTATTATATACCAGTACATGTACACTGAGTACACTGCGTCATACAATTCACGTTTTCTTAAAGTTCGACGTTCCATTTATTCCCGTATAACGAGATCACACAAGAAGAATTAAATGCACATATGTCTCCCTAAGCGAGACGCACCTTATACATTGTAGGTATGCAATACAGGCGTGTCAATAGGGATAGGTGAATATGTCGCAGCGTGTTTATGGGATTAACAAGCCGGGTTTATCATTTTCTTATCACACTACTGCCAAGACAAATGAGTATATTGATGGTCGAAAGGACGAAACAAGGTATGACTTTAAATATTGAAATAGATAAATGCTGATTGATGACCAAAGTCAGCAACACTTGAGAGGATTACTGGAGTCCTCACCTAAATGTACTTTATGTAGGCACATTGCGAATAATTTTACCCTACAATAGTATTTGACGAAGTTTATTCCTATAAAATATCGAATTTGTATATCTAAACTTCGCCTTTCCGCACATAATTTGGCCATTGAAACTGACAGATATAATAATATACCGAGAGAACAAAGACTTTGTCCGAGTTATAATTTAGACACAGGAGATGAATATGCATTTAAAGTAATTTTATTTTGATATGAAGGAAATACCGAAATTTAAGAATGAAATATATAAAACCATTTTATTGGCGAATTCCTTCTATGTATAACTTATACAATTGCTTAGTGTCGATAACTTAAACGACCTTCGTAAACTAGCTGGATATATATTTTAGGCAAATTAAGTACGACCATAATTGATAAAATAATTATAAAATCTAAAGTCAGTCTGTAAATAATAAGATTATGCAGAATATATATTGTGGTCATTTCTTGTTACGTTAATAACACTGTATTTTTTGTTGTCGATGTATACATTAGTTGAATATGGTGATACATACACGACTATTCTTGAATGCATGTTATGTAATATCATTTGTAAAAATGTATGTTTTCAACAAGTTGATAATGATGGAGTAAGGACGACCGTTGAATGTATGCTATACTATATGTCATTTGAAAAAATTCTTACGTGTCCAATAAGTTGTAAAAATTTACGGAATAAAATTGATTTGAAATTGAAATTAATTGTTAATCCCTTAAGTTTTCAAATTACGGGATTTCATCAGACAACTTCTTTATATTTAATTAAATCGTGAAAATGCTAGAATTACCTGATATTTCTTTCTTTTTCACAAGTATTCTACAAATTCCAACATCATTGTTGTGTCTTATTTAGTGAACAGCAGGGCACATCTAGATGCAAACGAGTACAGAGTATAACAACTGCAGTTCTTACATGCACGAAGGGTGGGGATATAGCAGTATTCATGTTATGCAAACAAACAGCTTTCGAAAATGGGATATATCGTTCTCCTTTAATTCTTATTCTTTTTGGAAGGTTTGAAGTTTAAAGTGAACAACTTGGACGAAACAATTTCGACGTCAAGCATTTTAAACCTGGAGACCATAGGCTTACCGTTCTGCCATATGGGTGTTAACGTGGTCATTGTAAGAGTTGTTTCCCTTTGAACGCAGATTATATTCGTGCGTGTATTCTTGTCGGTTAGATCAGCTTCACATTTAGTTCTGGTTTTAACACTTACCTGATCTTTTAAGATGTGATGTTCATTGACTCGATGAGCGATTTATCTATGAAAAGGAACGATGGCAGTGGAGTCGAACGATAATCGATGACAGAAATCTACCTGTATTTTAATTGAAGATTTGGGGTCTCGTGTTGGAATTACACTTAGGGTCTTGTACAATACTTGAACGTGGTAGGCACATATGTTGTTTGGATACATAATTTTCAGCATTTGTGCTTCAAATATTTGTCTGTGTTACTTTTGTAATAAGTGACGTCATAACCTTGGGTATTGTTAAGTCACATGGTTGTTCCTGTCCTAATTTCCATCAAAATAAGAGTTGCTACAGAAATAGTATTTAATACATATTTGTCCAGAACTTTGAAACGTGACATTGGTACCAGCTTGTACACAAAGAACATACATTTAGACGCGAGTCACTTATTTCCTACACTTTATATACGGTCAGAGTTCTGACGTTCATTGACTCCAGATTGATATTAAAGGAAGGTAGATAGAACGTCGTAATAACATGGACTTGTTTATTGCGTGATTGCGAATGTTTATAAAGGGAAATTCTAATGTACTTTAAGTCACCCTTCCTGCATGCTCCACGCCTCTATAAAAAGACCAGTGTCAGCTTCACTTGTTTCTACAACCCACTGCACACTAATTTCCACAACCAGGTAACCATGAAAGGGTCTTTGTGCAGAGATTCATAGTAACACACCTGTAAGAACAGGGGAGATAATCAATCAGTTATTTTTAAATCGGTAATATAGATGAAAGGATCGATTTTAATCCTACAAACATACATTTAAATCCATAGCAACATTATTATAATTTATTGATTTCCACATAATTCACACAGATATCTTCCTGCTTTTAAAATTTCCTTGTCATTGAATGTAAAACGTCGTCTCCTTTTTCTAGGAAACTACATTGTATGTATTGTTAAGAAGCCTTTTCCTTGTTTACAAAATGACACATTCAACTACATGTACCATTCGATGATATAAACACTCAGGAAATACATGAAGTACTTGAGAATTGAAAATCCCCGTGTATGAAAATGATTTTAGTATTCTATATGACTGTACAATATACTTTAGTTTCCCAAGTTCCTCTAACTCGCGACCTGTTTTTCCCCTGGTATCCGATATTTTTATCCTGCTGTGACACTAGAGTTTGAGCTATCCAATTTCAATTTTTTTTCCTGGTCCTCTCGGAATATGATTTTTGTTGAATAATCCATAATACCCATTTTATATTTAACTTATTTAAGATAAAAAAAAAAACATGTACATTATATCGTCTTCTTAGGAAAAGAATCCTTTTGATAACGACAGGCTTATACCTTTACTGAGAACAAGAGTTCCCTGGCCCCGAGGCTCAGAATCTCTGTGTATCATAACCCTGCAATTTTTAGCTCGTTGCGTTATACAAAAATATTATAAATGCACATACATAATACGTTTATTTTCTCTGACACATACAAACATGTATACTTAATTACTTCCTCGTAAAAACATATGTGACATCATTGTCGCGTGACGACTATCCAAACTGCGGTTCGCATCGATAAATAAATACACCGGATGGATTTGATTTCTATACACATCAAAACTTGTGCTGAAGTAGTAGAGTGAAAGTAGCAGTAAGTTGAAGTCGGAGCGTAACTTGAAACTATACCAAATAGCGGTCATGGTGATCATCTTGGATTTCGAACAGTCCAGAGAAGAGGACCAAAGTCTATAGAATTGGGGGAAATATTTTGTAAGTTTGAACTTCGGAAATCATTCGACCAAAGGTTTGGCTACATCACAATGAGTAAACTTCAGGCAAAGTTAGGACGTGTTACCTATGTATTTGCTGTACACGTTACACATGTATCGAGTGTTGTTAAGTATTGCTTCATTGATTTTCTCTCTATATAACGTATACTGTGCGCTGTTGTGAAACCTATAATGATAGTATGTACTCTATCCGTTTCATAATAAAGTGCAATAATATAAAGATATACCTGTTTATCAGACCGTGACCGTAGCATGCACTAACAAGCAAGCTCTTAAATGTAAATATGTTTATTCATAACTAGTTGATATCATACGTAATTATAGAAATCTATTCTAATCATACAAATATATTCGGTATAATGATAATTGCCTGTTGTCGTTGAAAGTGCATAGATGGATGGAGTTCCCCAATCGATTGAAGTAGCGAGAAACCAAATATTTCCGCCTCGTCTTACAAACAGGGTTTCAAAAATATGTGTATTACAATATCACTTGTACTGAGACAGGCATGAAAATTACCACATCTGGTAACTTTAAGGGTATTTTAAGATTATGGCCAATTTGCGTCATCATGCATAGATTTAGATACTTTGAGAAAGATTTTTTTTTAAATATTGGAATTACATTTTATCCTGAGTAAAGACAAACCAAAATCTCTGTAGTTCGATAGTCAAATCTCTACGGTATAACAAATGCTAAAGACAGCACGATGAACTCCGTTAATGCCGTAATCTTTTCTGGCTCAGAATACATAAGCTTGTATATTTGTTACAATGATTATAACGAGATTACTCGTTGAATGCTTAATATACTAATCAGTCAGAGATCGATTATGACAGGTCACTAGTAATCGATCTTTGACTCATATCAGGTCGTAATCGATCTTTGACTTTTTAGCATTCAGAGCATCAATGATTAGTCATAACCGGTTTCAAAACGGCTCTTTTGACGCGAATCCATCTTTCCACACAAACGAATGCGTTCCGTTTCTTTCACATGATTTCCTGTTCCGATAAACGAGTAAACCAAAATATCTTCTGCTGCTGCTGGGATCGCTGTCAGTGCATCTTGAACTGTGGAATATAATTGTTGGCATTACCTCAGTATGGATATATAGCATGGAGTGTGTGTTAAAATCCTACTTATCATAGTAAAAAAATATGATTAGGTACGGCAATGCCAATAACAATGGTGGATAGTCCTAGCCTACTGGGCTTTCTCGTGAAAGTGGTTATGCTGTAAGAGTGGGATGTGAATAGCTAATACACCAACGATCAGCTGATCGCAGCGTGACCTTCGCCTTCCCAACCAGCGGTATCTAGGCCTAGCTCATACAAATCTAGATAATATTTACAAACGCGGGTACGTGAAATATACAGATGGAACTGTGTCGGGTTACATTTACTGTCTATGTTTTTGTAACTATTTCACTTGATACGTTGACAATCAGCTGACACGGTAAGTTGAACCGCTTTTAAGATACAAATTACACCTGTTCGCCTGACGGTAACTTCATTGTGTAGGAGACATACCAGTATTGTACAGGAGTATAAGGTAAAAGATTATCACCGTTTATATGTTATGTTATCCCTAAATAAAACAGGTTCGTGATTTGACCAACATGTTAGATGAATTTCGATGTAATGTCAGGAAATATTTAGTCATAAAAGTACAGTATAAACTTATTGTGTAAGTGCATATGAGTACTAGATAAAATTACCAGTAGATTAGAATTTTGAGAAATTGTTGGTTAATTCCATTTCTTTAACACTTTGTATGATGATATAACACTAGATTTGAAAGTCAAATTTATTTCAATATCTAATAATCAATAGATAAGATTTTATAACATTGTCAAAAATGCACCTTGAAAGTTACATCTAGACTAGTGGCCATATCAACATTTTATGATATCCATGCATGTAACACTAGGCCCCAATTTTGATTGCTATTTCTGTTATACAGAAAAATATTTCTTCCACATATTTTATTAAGTTTATTTCAAGAAAGATGCATCTAATTTGTGCGATAAGACTCATGGTAGATATTTCCAGACACATGACAAAGATGTGGCAGATAAATAACTGTTAACTATTTTGTTCCTCTGTATCATAATAATGGAAATTTCCATTAGATGTAGCATGGTATTGTGAAGCATGGTGAAATGAACTTTGGTCAAAATACTATAATCAGTAATTATGTCACTATTTTTTTCACCATCTTTTTTTTCAAATTACCCTGATACATTTATTTAAACACACATATAAGAAAAAATACCCATTGTAAAGTGAAGTCCTCTGCCCCACCAAGTAATTTCCCACCCTAGACATATTTTTTGTTAGTGTAGTTAAACTTTATTGTTGCAACAAATTTCAAGTGTCACCAGTTAGTGTGTAGTTAAAATGTTAAACTTTAATAAAGTTTGTTGTGATTGACTCCTTACCCGTCTTTAAAAATAAAGAATTATCAAGTATTACTATTATTATGTCCCCACCCTTGTTATTTTTATCTGTTTTATTATTTATAGAGGAAAATAATTATGTAAACAGATAAAAATAACAAGCGAGGAAACGTCAATTGAAAATAAATATAAAGAAACTTCACATTACCATGGGGGTTGGGTCTTGGGGGGAGCATTTAACATTTTCACCATAATGGTGAAATGAACCATGGGTCACTTTACCATGGGCACACTTTATCATACTACAATATTGGGTTATAGAAAATCAATGTGGAACAGAGCTTTCTTTAAAAAATTATTAGGAGACAAGCATGATTCAATCAGGTTCAGTCTGTATATACTACAGAACTCTGCAGTCCCCAGGTGCCAGGCCCAGGAATGGAGGTCATTGGATGAATATACATCTCCAGAAGGATCTGCAGCAGCAACATGCTTGAGTTCGAATTAGTTTGGAAAATTTAGAATAACACTTCTTTCTGATAACGTAGCCTTTATCTATTAAATGAACTTATTTGACATACACCGTAATGTGTTATTGTGATTGTAAATAAGTGTTAAAACTAGAGGTTTGGGCAACTGTGCATTCACATTTCAAAATTTCACATTTGACATGCTATTAAACTTATTCCTATTAATTTGAAATAAATTGGGCATAATATCCGTGCTTCTTTGTTTATGAGGACGATGGGTCTATAAACCTTTACTATTAAAATAGTAAGTTAAAAAAGCTATAGACAAAATAATGTTGAAGGATAGCTGTTATAAAGCACATAAATGAATGGGGTGGGGGGTGAGGGGGGGTGAATCTATTCAAGCACAAGTTATTCATGAAAAAAAAAATCCCTTTGATAACTGCCAAAATAAATTATTTACAAGGAACAACATATGAAACTTAACATGAAATTGTGAATCAATTTATACTTAACTTGTCGCATAATATTGTGTAATATATCTCATTTACATAAAAGCATGGCAGAAGTCTTAAAAATGATGTATTATAATGGTTCTGGTAACGAGAATCCAGGGTTTTAATATTATGAAGACATATCACCTGTTTAGACTGAAACATACATGTGCATACTTGTATATAGTTGAATACAAATCAATGTGGTACCTGCTGCATCAGATCAATAATTCAGTAACGTTCATGTAGACTGGTGCAATATTTAGTTTGAGATATTTGTTGACTATATATGAAGTCACAGTTAATTAATTGCTGTTGTGAAATGTGCAAATGTGTTACACTAACTACTGATTTAACTTATCAAATTTACCACCTTATAAAAATTCCTCAATAGCAGAGGAATAATCAAAGTTTATAGCACAAATTAATTCTGAATTCATAAATATTGCTAAATGATGTTATTTTTAAGTGTTTTCTGTCATGTCTAGTACAGTATAATGACTCATGATGACTACTTGCAGTGTAAGCAATGTCTTAAAGTTTTATTTATATTTAATGTGATCATTAGTCATACTACTTGACTGTATGATGATACTTCAGAGTATTATTTGAAGTACACACATGATTGAAACATGTTTATAACCTTTGTATATCTGTTAGCTTTTCTTCGTTAATTTTGAAAGGAGCTTTTTGTCTCGTTTTGTTAAAAAAATGACCAGTTGGGAAGTAAATTTTGTGAATGATGATCAATTTTTTTTAAAATATCAAATTTTCTTAAATAAATGGAACACATTTGCATGGCTGACAATACATGTAATACTGGGAAAAAAATTGTAGAAAAGAAAATCTCCACTGTTTTAATATATGGCATTTCCCTATGTTTATATCTGGATACAACTCATCATTTGTACGACTTTCGGATTAATCAATTCTAATGAACTGCAATTCCTGTACACAGGATTGGTTATAGATATTTTGTGATGAAGCCTAAGAGATGAAGTTGAAAGGAGAGAAAAAGAGACCATTGTAATGTTGAAATCTATCAGTCTGAATATCATCTTAATTTACATTTTATCTATTGTTTTAAAAAGTGATAAAATAACTCATGTGACTAGATAGATGGTTAATATACTGCAATTAAAACAGATTTGAAAAAAAAAAGAGTGAAGGACAGATTATGTGCATTGAGTTGGAACTGTTAAGATCATTCCTTTCTATGGGGGTTACTCCTGCTAAAGATGGTCACATAACACAAAATGAATCCCTTTGAAGAAAAAAAACTGTCGAAGTTAAAGAAATAGTAGATAGAAAAAATGCTACATATCAATATTTTTTGTAGGATTTTTCGGGTAAGATCAGAAAACCATTTCTCAGATTGTTGAGTCCCATTACCAAGAGATATTGTGGATCCTCAGAGTTTAGTGAGTCCCAAAAATCACAGAATTCTCAAGTCTTGCTCAAAGCGGATCAGTTTGGGATTCTTTAATACTATACCACATTTAAGTCATGAAATAGGATACAAGAGCTTTTTTTCCCAATATGTCTTAAACAGAAGGTATATTGAGAAACAACTCTATTTCTTAGGATTACTAAGGAAGCACAGTAGAGTAAACATTCTTTTGAGTATGTGTGTGTGTGTGTGTGTGTGTTTGAACATAGGGTAATGAGTAAGGGAATTGCTTTTGTTTGTATAGGTGACCATGTTAGAGAACTGCTGCTGTTTGTATAGGGAACCCCCAATTAAAAACAAATTGTATAACACACTCTCATTAAGCAAAATCTCTCTTGTATGTGTAAGATAACCCCATTAGAGGAACCACTCTTGTTTCAGCATGGACCTTATTTAGATCAACCTTTCAATCTGTATGTTTTTTGTCATTTTTCTCATATGTATAGGATGTCATCGTTAGGGAAACTTTTCTGGAATATTTAGAAACAAGTTCTGTGTCTGTAGAGGACTTACGATTTAGAAGGCAATCTCGTACATGTATCTCTGGGGAAACCCCTTTTTTAATGAGAGGAAATACTTAAACCAACTTTTTTGGTAAAGGACCAAAATAAGAGAAGGCAATGCTGTTGCTGTAGAGAAGAAACATTAGAACGTTTGCTGTAGGGGACAAACCTAAGAAAACTAACCTCATACTTCTTTATGGCACACATGATAGAGAAAGTGTTCTTTTTTGTTGTTGGAAACCTTCCATAGAAATAGATAATTCTTGATTCTGTAGGTTACCCACATTGGGGAAACCACTGCTGTTTCTGGTAGGGATAATGTGAGAGACCAAATTAGATAATCAACTCATGTTTTGGAATTGTAGTCATGTTAGAGAAACCACTCGTGGTTGTATGGAGGACTTGCATTGGGGAAATGTTTTTGTAGGGGACCCACATTAGTGCCACCACTATTGTTCTGTAGCAGACTTACACTAGAGAATCACTCTTGAATTTATGGGGTACCCACACTAAGGAACCCACTCTTGTTTTGATAGAGATCTTCATTTGAAAAAAGACTTTGTATGTATATGGTACCCACATTAGTGAAACCATTTTTGTATATATAGGGAACTCAGAGAAACCATTTTCGTTTCTGCAAGCAATCTACGTTTAAGAAACCAGTCTTGTTTTTTGTTGGGGACACAGGGTAGGAAACCCACTTTTGTTTTGTTAAGGATCTATGTTAGAGAAACAGCACATGTTAGTGTAGCATACATTCATTAGGGAAACCACTCATGTATCTGTAAGGTGTCCATGAACCTTCTCTTGTTTCGATAGGGAGCTACTTTACCGCTACCTTTTAATTTGTGTCTTCCTTTTGTATGTATAGGATATCCTTGTTAGGAGAAATATTCTTGTCTGTACAGAGAAGCTTAGAGAAGCAACTCTGTTTCTGTAGAAGACTTGCATTTTAGAAACCAATCTGGTTTTTGCGGAAAACCCACACTAAAGAGCTCTCTCTCGATTCTATAGAAGACTGGAGATTTCTAATTTTGTGCTTATTTTATTAGCTCCCCCTCCAAGAGCATGTGTCGTATGCTGTGATGCGACGTCCAGCATCAATTTTTTCCTTACCTTTACTTTGGATATTTGGCCCATAGAATACTGGAATGAAGGGCTACTAAGTTTATTCAAATTAATAACTTCGACCCGCTTTCAAATTTACATTGACCCACATTGACATGGGGAAAGTGTCTTGAAATCTTGAAACGACCACAAAAAAGCCCATAGTACTGATAATTGAGCATGTAGGATGATGAGATGAAGAATTGACATCTTTTTGCAATTGAATCTTCTTGAACAATCGCGACATTGAAAGTTACAAAGATATTTCAGCTACTTCTTTTTAATAACCAGGAGGGCCAAGGATCATGGTACTGTTCTTGTATCATGTTGGAATGAAGGACCTTCAAGTTTTGTCAAATGAATTATTTCAATCCAAGTTTAAGATCATAGGGATTAAATGTGTTAAAATCTTAAACGTCTTCTCAATAATCAATTGGCCTTGGGTTATGGTATTTGTGTAGAAACATGTCATGGAAGTGTGCTTTCAGATTTTCAGAAATGGACTTAACTGACAATGTCTTCTTAAGCTGCAGAACAGATGAGCGAATCAAGCAAATTATGACTCTAGTTTGTTAATTTTGTGTTATTAATCGAAGAAATGAAGTATAATTGAGGTTTAAGGACAGTTGGTTCAGACGGACACTGCCATTTAAAGAACTGTGTGCATTTTATGGTTTCAAAGTGACTGAGTAAACATCTGAAGCACCATAAACAGATGACCTTAATAAATACTTGTTTGCTATACCTCTTGTGAGACCCGCGTGGTGTCTTTAGTGAATTTAGAAAAAAAACATGTAGGTCAGTGATACCTAAGAGGGAGTGAACACAATGTATATCAAAATTACATACTCATAAATCAAGTCATGATTATTGTTAAGATGTTTTCATTGCATAGAAAAATCTTGTGATAGATATAGTGCATTGTGCATAAACTTTTTTTTCTTTTTTTTTAATTCATCACAACCAAATTCTGTCTGATGCATCATTGGATGAGGGAAACCATTTGTTAAATTCAGAAATATGATTCTGCCCTAGGGTTGAGTAATGGAGCTAAAAGGGGGAATTGTCGAGATTAGCTTTAAAACCACACACTTATTTCTTAAATTCAGAAATATAATTCCACCCAAGGGACTTCAAGCGGGCCCCAAAAGAGAACATAAGAATATTTTGCTATTCCTCCTTATTGCCTAGGTAGATTTCAACCAAATTGGTGTGAAATATTGCAGGTGAATTATCATTTCTTTCATTTAGAAAGTTAGTCGATTGGAAGATCTTGCCGCCAAAATTGACGAAGTTATTGTTCACCAGAATTTTATTCATTGTAACAATTTAACAACGTATTTTTAACCTTTCTTTGTGAAGAAAGCTCTCGTAAATGACAACGAAGTGGAAAAACTAAATGTTCTTTCAAAAGAAAAGTCTTCAGGAGAGGGTTTAAAGGATTGTTTAAAATTCACACATATATATCAATCATTCCATTTCTCAAGTAGAAAGTTTTACAATAATACTGAAGCCATGAATTTATAGCACAACGATTGGTGGAAAGAAGCTTTGATCAAGTTAGTTTAGCAACTAAACGAGCCAACAATAAAACGTTTATACAGATTCTTGTAAAGTTTATGGATCTAGGGAAGTTCGTATCCTTATCATGAGTAGACAATATGAACGATTGTAATACAGAGAAGTGATTTAACAGTATTCCTTCCTCTGCGATCAAGCCTAGTCTTTTTTGTAAGTACGAAGTGTAATTATGTCTGCAAGCAAGGATAAGGTTATCATATCCCTTGTCTGCAGGCACAATATAGATCACCGTTATTCTTAACCTTTTCATCATGGTGGGTATCACAAACTGTAACGCAAATGCTTTCACTCCCTTATGTATTGTTTTTTTCTCTTAAATCAATTGTTTGTAGAAAACAATAAATTGTTTTGAAATTCTGAGATGCTACTTTTTTGTGTGTGAGTAACAAAAATGTGAATAGAAATGAAATCCTGATGATTTAATAGTCACCATTTTCAAGCCTTCTTAATCGCTTAATTGCTGTCATTTTTCACACGTACTGTAAAATATTTTTGTCGCTATATATTTTCGTTGAACTCCGGGTCACTCTTAATTAATATTCACAGGAATTGTTAAAAACAGATACAAATTCACACGGATTATAGTAGCTGTTCTAGTGGATTTTTGAGGAAGATTTATTTACGAAATCAAACGAAAACGCACATTAATGCAAACCACGAAATTTGAGTTCCATGAATATATGACTTTACAGTACAAAGAAAATACATATATGCTACGACCAATCACCATATGATTACTATATAATTCTAAATAATCTTAATGGTAATTTTCGGTGAATGCCTACTCAGGCTATTGATTGCATGATACTTTTCTGAAAAAAGAAGTTTCGAATCTACCCTGTCGTGAACAGCATCAACATAAAAGTTAACATAAGATATCTATATTTGAAATTGTCAAGATCCAAGATAGGCGGATACTCCTCGTCAAAAGAAACGATAATTTGAGTCATTTTTTTATAGAGGGATACTAGAGGCTCAACAATAAATTACATAAAATTATAACAGAAGAGGTGAGGTTCTTAGGCCATCAAAGTTGTGTTGCTGCTGCATTTGATTACTAGTATTGGTAAACAAGTGTCTGAAGAAGACTCTCGAATAGTATTTCACTCAGGTTTTATAATCACTGACATAAATGTTTATTGGTAGAGAGGCAAAATTGCATCCAATTTGTTAAAAGTGGCATGCCTCCCATTTGAATCGATCAGAACTAAACTTTAGGTTTGATAAGTGCTTTCTTAAATTTACAATGTTTTAGTATCAATGGGATATAACACTATATATATGTCATATTGCTGTTATATTGCTGTTATCATACATACATATTCGTTCACAGTTTCAAATGGAATCATTGGAGATTCACATTGAATGTTATAGCTTTGTCTAATTCACTACTCATGAACACGTTGTTCTGATCGCTTTATCGGACAGTTTTACTTCGTACACACCTCGTGTTATTCACACTTACCCACTCCTACATGAACAAAGTTAACAATACAAAGTTCAGATTGTACGTTAGGGATTGCATAGTTGACAAAGCCAACATGCGACCACATCCATGTAATTGTTCTATATTTCTGTATAATTTTTTTTCTTAATCAGCTACTATTTAACATTGATGTTCTCACATACAGCTTATCACGAATGTTCCTTCATATATATATATATATATATATATATATATATATATATATATATATGTATATATCTATATATTTGTATTTACAGCGGTGAAAGATTAGAGAAAAGTTCACCCGACGCCTACTTAACAGCTAACCTGAACGTCTGGATAAAGATTATTAACTGTATATAAATCAACTTACACAGTGAAAACCTTCATTTTAGATCACGATGAGTGATCATATGGATGTCCAGAAACCTCTAAACGCTCACGGGAACGGCATGGAAAACGGAAGTCATCATGCTGCTAAGAAGAACAGTAGCCAGACTATGGGTGGTGAATTCGTTCACCCTGATGGAGGTTGGGGATGGGTGGTGTGCTTCACATCCATGCTCACCAATGGTACTGTGTTCGGAGTCATCAATACATTTGGAATCATATATGTAGTGATGCTGGATGAATATGCAGATGGAGACCCTAATATTTCTTTGAAAACATGTAAGTATCATCGATAATTATGCTAAATTGTGGTTAATAAATCTATATGTTTACGTTACCCTTTTTTTTACTTTTGTCCTCTAGTTGTCCTCTGTTTGCTTTTTGAGTTTGCTGTTTGTGTCACATATCAACACTTGTGTATGCCTCCTCATTTGTGTACATTCTGTGACGGATATTAGTTTAGGTTTATGTTTAATTAAAAAGATATATGCTGATATAATTAATATTTTATTCATATGAGGTACAGATTTTCATTTAAAACTGTTCAGTGTACCCATATACCTAACCAAAATCAATGGTATTTGACGTTATCAGATATCACAGCTGTCTGGTGATATAATCTGTAACATGATACGATAAGAAAATTGATGAAATAACTTTCTGTCAATCAGTTCAGGTTAATAAATATTAGCTTTGATAATGCTACACTGCAGTCAAAAAAGGTTTACACATAAATTTTCCTCGTCTTCTGAATATCCATTTTGTATTCTTCACTTGGAATTGTATTTAAGCTAACTGTGACCATATCAAACAGTGTCATACGATAGTAAAGAGTTGTCCTACACTTCTTCAAATTAACACACCTTACGTAATATGCACAATATCTCGATCGTTTTCAGTCTTTTTAAAAATGCCGAGTTACATAAGATGAAGCCAACATATACTGAAACTCAAGTCACTATGACAGATGCGATTACGGTCGATTTGTGTGGTACCTGAAATCTATATATACTGGCAATGTTGACAAACGATTTTGCTACCACTACGCACTTTTAATCATATGTTGCAACAGATATCCATGATATCAATAAGTTTTAGTTACAAGTTTGTATAAAAGTATGATTTACACAAAATTTTACTGATTTACTAAATATGTTAATTTATAAATATACACATCTAGGTAGGTCAAAATACGCATTCCAATCATGATCAAGATATTCAATGAAAACAAAGTTTAAGGCTGCGTTACAGACCTTTGTATACCTGTCTTTGTTTTGAGCGAATATGTAGTTCACTTTGGGTGCTGATTTAAAATGTGTACACAATATATAGTGTAGCCTCATATGACCTTGACCATGTCACCTAAATGGACGTGATTGCACTTGTAATCTTGACATATTTATTAGTCAATGGCTTTTCGCTGGTCTCATAGTTAGTTTGTATTTGATAGTGTACTTGGCGACTGAAGAATTCATTGACCTCTGAATAAGTATTTGATAGATTGAATTAATATCAGTAATTTTATATCTGTGACTTTTTTATCTTCATGTTGTGTCTTTGACGTTTAATTTAAAGTTTCATTTTCGTTTTGTTTCTCTCATGTTTCTGGTATTGCTATACCCCATATGTACCACCAACAACGGTACAAATCATTAAAAAAAATCATCGTTTAACCAAATCTACTGTTTGAATTATGGTTTGTCACATGCTTGGCGAGGTTACCTAGTGCGGTCAATGGCCTACGCAGTGATTTCCCAATTAAGACGACAGTGTCAAGTTGCTGGTGGCTGTTGAAAGGATAAGGTGTATTGATAAAAAAAACTGTTGTTGAGCTATAACACATAGCAGCCACAAACACATGTTTTGTATTTTGCTAAGGAAAGAGATACATGATTATTGACACGTAGACAGTACCTCTTGTAATCATATAGTCTAGACTAATCCGATCAACTAACGTTGTTTTGTGTGCAAACAGTCACATACATTATATAATACCATAATATAATTAATATTATAAAAATATATTCTCCGACATTGAACACTTTTGAACAATTTTTGCCGATTATAAGGAAAAGGATATAAAAATCAGCAAAATATCAACTCAAAATTGAGTGTGAAAGGAAAAACATTGGAAGCTAGATACAATTGTTGGGAAAATGTAAAGACATTAGTTATTATTTTAGTCAACGACAAGTTTGCAAAGAATGTCCTATGTTTTCATATACTAATCTACACCCAAATCAATACATTTCAGGCAAACAGACGAAGCTCGGGTTGGTAATACGTTATGGGTAAAACGCTATATCGCGCTAATTATTTGTGTTGATATCTTCTTGTTGCATTACGCTTACTTTCGTCATTAACATTCTTTTTTATTTCATTTCATTGTTCAATGTTCTCATAGTGATCAAAACTCTATTTTCAGCCTTTGTTGGTTCCGTGTGTACTGGCGTGACATTTTTGATGTGCATTGTATCCAGTATTCTAAGTGACAGAATCGGAATTCGACCTATCGCTGTGATAGGTGCAGTGTTGGGAATGACGGGCCTAATTATCAGCGCCTTTGTGACGGAACTAGAGATTCTTTATTTATCCTACGGAGTTTGCCTTGGCATTGGCGCAGCATTCTCATATTCTCCATCTTTGGTGATCCTCGGACATTATTTCAAAAAACACATGGGACTTGTGAACGGCATGGTGGCGTTCGGTAGTGCCTTATTCACCATAGCTTTGTCGCTTGGTCTTCCAAAAATGTTAGAAGCATTGAAAATCAGATATACATTTCTTGTCCTCGCAGGCTGCTACTTCATCCTCATCCTTGGTGCTCTGACTTGGAAACCATTAATTAAAAAAGACAATCTTGCAGCAATGGCTTTATCAACAGAAAGTGTGTATGAACACTGCAATGATTGTTGTACATGGACACGAAAGTTTTTAAATGTCAGAATATTTCGGAACAAGGCATACGTTGTGTGGTGCCTTTCTCTTGGTGTTGCGCTAATAGGCTACTTTGTACCTTTTGTACATTTGGTACGTATTTCTTACAGATTTGTTTTTTAAATGTTGATTAATTACATTCATGTGACGTTTAGTGTTAAAAAAAACAAAGTCAAAGGGGGAAAAAGAATTTTTATGATGAATTTAGATATATGTCGAAACTCGTCCACGCTGTCTAACCGCCTCAGTGTGGAACGATAAAGTTCTGTCCCCTGACCTGGACAAACAAACAATTATAAAATTACTATTGATAATTGTTTGAGACACAGTCCAAGGTCATTTTGAATTTAAAATATCGTAATAGATTAATCTAATGAATGGGCCAAAGTAAAAGTGTTTTTATTCTCAACTAAATCATATATTCTGGGAGGTTTTGACAACAGCATTTTAGTCGAGGAATTTCATTCTATTCTTTTTATATGGATTTTTCTTCATTCAATAATGATTTATTATAGAAAACGAGATTTTCTCTGAGCAATGCAAGTGTAAGTAAAATTTATATTCCAGTATTCATTAATGTACCATTGATTTAGAATTAGAATGACCAAATAATGGTAAGTTAGACGTCAAACCCCAACATTCCGAACAATTCACTTATTGAATTGGCCTGACGTAACCTATATCTCTCTTCTTGACACATTTTTATTTTCGAAATTGGCTTCTTGATCATGGTATTATTGATGAGGCCTTGATATAATTAACGGCTGTACAATACCGTTGAATTCACTATCTGTCATATCCAGTGCATCGTATCACTATATTTGTTAGGGTTAGGGTACACGATGCTAGGCCTATTCATTTCTGTATCTTTATATCGTCCGGGGACGTTGCATTATATTGGTGGATATATGCTCCCGAGGGTTTCCGATGCGCTTTATGTCACTATTAAATCGATATGAATGGATGTACTGTTCAGAGGATACAAATGTGTTTTTACATACATGTAAAAACAATGAAAATGTATCAAATATGTTGATTCATGTGACATTATCAATGTGTTGAATACATGTGTATGATTATTCATGGAGTTTATGAACCTCTTTATGTATAATAAGCTCATTATTATAAGATGTGGGACAGTTCATTCGTACTTCGTACCTTATCCGTAGTTTAGTCATCTTCCTTTTAACAAATGTAGTTATAACTTTTTCTAGAGAAACAATGGACGGATCTCTCTAAATGAATGAACGCGGGTCTCCTTTTGTCTCTAGTTATGCCTTTAGCCCTATCGGAACTGATCTTTAAAAAAGCAAAAGGACTTGAACACTGACGTTTTGTTATCGATATTACTAGAGTAGTATCGCAATGATTTCAAACGCACTTTGTACCTGGTGCAACGTTCAGTCGTCCGCCCCTTAACAAATGTAGACATCAATATTTTTCTGAAAAAAATATCTTCTACATTATTTCATTGGGAAATATTCTATTGCCTTGTGTGAGGATATGTCTACGATCATGTTTGATAGAAGTGTTGTTGTATACCTTGTTCTCATCTTGGAACATGACTTTACATTCTTGGATAGACAAAAAATGGTCGTTGAAGACTTTACCTTTCAAAACATATTTTATAAATCTCCTTTTACATTTTCAGGGTCCCTTTCGTTTCTTCATATTTTGCTCTAATTACACATCGAATTGATGTAAGATCCTGTTAACATGTCGGTATTTTGTTTGTTATTCGATCTCAATGATCGCACGCTATATTGTTTTCAGACTGATTTGAAAAGACTTCGATATGGGCAGTGAAAGTTCTTATTTAGCTATTTTTCATGAATTTCTTAAATTCCGCGCATAATCCACTTGGATTTTTTAAAATAGCCACATGTTTATTAATGTTCACTAGTCAACACAATGCTGAAAAGTTCAAAGGTGCATAGTATCAATACGCATCATTAGATATTGGGTGCCAAGATCTCTATGGAATTTCTTTCACTCTTGTTTCTGCTCATTTTCATTTCTGGATTTTCACACTTAAATACCTTTTTTGAAGGTGATTGTTGTGGAAAATTTCCAGATGTTGAATGACTTTGCCCTCAGTATTTATCAATCGTTGATATCCAGTTTATGTAGACTAGTGATAACAGGTTTACGCTTAGGTCGACTGTCTAGGTCTATCTCTTCTAGTACTAGAAACGATTTCATTTCATGTTCCTATTTTTTTTCTGATAGCAGCTTATAGAGTTTGTGTCTAAACAGACTTATAATATACCCAAATCAATTATAAGGGAACCTGAAAGATGGTTCGAGTAAGCTAACAATCCCTAGCAAGTTGTCACTGCTTGTGGTAGCAAGTTTTTTTTATTAATTATCTTATTAAATTTGTTTTACAACAAATGTCAAAATTCATAATCTTTTGACCTTGGACTGATTATACACCTATTCATACTATCCCTAAGTATACGATATTATATATCATCTAGGCCAGTTTCTCGACGAAGATGTCCATATGTACTGTCTGGCAGACAAAGTTCGTCTGGGAAAGCGCAATAAAATGTTAATAGTGCATGTAGTTTTTAATGACGGTACACGCGTATTGAAATCAAGCAGCAGTACATATTGTAGATAACCATGTCTAAATAGTACATTAATTTACCACGTCCATCGTATAAACTCACCTGAAAAGGAAATCAAGGGCATCAGTCGCTTATCTCGATCTTTTCCCACAGCGAAACAAACGCGGACAGCTTTCCACCAGGCTGTTACGTTTAATAAGTTCAATTTCCCTATTATTAATTTTCCATTTCTGGATAACAACATCCCTAAACCTCCGACCTGTGGTTACTACATGAAGCAGGTGACTCGACATCCAAAGGCCTGTTTGCATGTTTAGGATTTCTGTGCAAGAAGTCATCAACTGACAGACAAACTGATACCACAGGATTCAAAAGGTTATGAAGAAGTTTTAGGTCGCCATAGTGATATCATTGAGACAAATTCAGTTTCTAATCTTTTTTTTTTTTTCATAATTTGCCTTAGTTTTATTTAATTGAGTAAGGGTTATGATTATGTTGACATGTTAATATTTTCTTTCAATTTTTTTTCGATCAATTAGTTTGAATGCTAAGTATGATATGTCCTTCACTGCATTTCAGGTAAAACATACAAGAGATCGGTTTCCTGGCACAGATGGCAATTTGCTGATAACTTTTTTACAAATAACGTCTGGAATTGGACGGTTAGTGTTTGGCAAAGTTGCTGATTTTCCCTTTGTCAACCGCATTTACCTTCAACAGGCATCTTTTCTTATCATGGGTGTGGTAACTGTATGTATTCCTCTTTCCGGTAGCTATGGAGGACTTGTTGCTATAAGCCTAATATTTGGGCTTTGTGACGGAATTTTCGTTTGCTTGCTTGGGCCAATTGCCTTCGACATCGTTGGACATAGAGAAGCATCACAAGCAATAGGCTTTTTACTAGGCATCTTTGCTGTACCTTTTGTAGTTGGACCACCAACAGCTGGTAAGCTTAATGATTGCGATGTAATGTAGTTTCAAAAATTTGTCGTAGCATTTCAAAATTAGTTGAACAAAATGAATTTTCGAAAAGATCGAGTAGGGTATTAGCGTAACATTCACGTACTTTTGTTTGATCTGATTGATCCGGCATATTATTAGTCTCAATTGAAAGTGTATGTAGTTACGGTTTTAATTTACCCAAACCAGGTATCTCAGGGCTATGTACATGATTATCAATTCATTTAAATGTATTCGAAAATTCGTTTATCTATTTGTACAGGTAGCAGGTCATTTAATAGGATCAAGACGTGGTTTTTAGTCTTTGTCTAGTTTTAAGTACAATGTTACGGCAAACTATCTAGGTCTTCTCAATATTTAAGTTTATCAAAATCTAGCAAGTGGATTGCATGTCTCAACGACATGTCCTACAGGTGACACTATTTTAAAGATATTCAGTCGAAAACTGTACTTAAAGTAAATGTTCGTTTATGACGTAGGTTACGATTCAATTCAATTAAGTTTAATTCTACACCATTTAATTGTTCAATGCTTGCTCAGGGTCTTTGATTAAGGTCGCGTGTCATTGCAGGGGTGATATACGATACAATGCACTCCTATGACCTTGCATTCTACATTGCTGGAGGAACGCCAATATTAGGTTCGCTGCTTATGTTCCTAATTCCAAAAGTGAAACAGGTTAGTATATTTAGGCTCATAAAATATTAAAAGAGCATTCGTTTCGTAAAGGTTAATCACCTATTCAGTTCGATCATAGTTACATTCAAATTTAGTCTTATTGTTATACCATTTTATCGAATTCTCCCAAGACGTTCAGAGATTGACAGTAATACCTTCAGTGTTTGACCCACATCAATTTAGAACACATCCACTACTATTCAATACTTAATTTGTTGATTGTTAACATACATACTTAAAATCTTGCGCATGCCTTTACTTAATAATAACCGTGAAACGTTTTTTTATTCGCAACATATTGAACTGATCCGAGGAATAAAGAAATGAACTACCTTTATGAATTAAAGCCTAGCAAGGTGCATTAAAATGTGATATTAGCGCTAAAATTAGACGATTCCGTGATTTGTAAGGATTTTTAGGTCATCTGACCCGAAGGGTCGAGATGACCTATAGCCATCGTGCTTCGTCCATCGTCGTCCGCCATGCGTCGTCTGTAAACTTTTCATTCAACTTCTTCTCAAATACTAGAAGGCCTAGGGGGCTAATACTTGGCCCATAGCATGCTGGCATGGAGCCATACAAAGTTTGTTCAAGTGAATGACCTCGACCCACTTTCTAGGTCACAGGGGTCAAATATGTTAAAATATACAAACAACTTCTCTTCAATAAGCGAAAGTCCAAGAGTGCTGATAATGGACCTGTAGGATGCTGGGATGACATGCTACTAAATTTGTTCAAATGAATGACCTTGACCCACTTTCAAGGTCACAGGGGTTAAATATGTTAAAATATGCAAATGACTTCTCAATAACCTAAATGATTAGAGTGCTGATATTGGGCCTGTAGGATGCTTTGAGGAAGTGTTACCAAATGTGTTTAAGTGAAACCTTGACTCTCTTCAAATCAGTTCTTCTTAACCAAAAGGCTCAGAGTGCCGATATTGGGCCTGTAGGATGCTGGGAGGAAGGACTACCAAGTTTTTCAAATGAATAAAGCCCACTGTTTTAACAGCAGACTCACTGTTGTTAGAGTTTGGCTTGCTTTTTGTCAGATGACCGTTAAAGCCCATGGGCCTCTTGTTATTTTGAGAAGAGTAGGTGCATGTATTTAGGAATTCAACAAAGTGCCCTGGGAATGCTTGTGTTGTGAATGCATTTTCGGTTTAACTTTTCTATTCCATTTCTGGCGCCAAATTTAAACATACGTGACGTAGTAAATGAATTTACTGGGTAAACTTCATCAGCTTTTAATGTCATGTTCGTTGACTTCTTTAATCAACGTTTCATCAGAAATCTTCTTCGACAACCTGCTTGTTTGATAAAACATGTGATCGTACACTATTTGGCATTTCATATGTATAACGCTTAAGAATTTAGATTTAATAACGATACGTGTTTTATGGTGGGGTTTTCATTTTATAGTATCCAAATAGGATGTAGATGTAGATAATGGTGAAGGAGATTCATAAATGAAAAGAAAATTGAGCATTCAGCAACAATATTTTATTTTTTATTTGACATGGCTAATTAAGTCCATGGACCAATATATTAGAAGGAAATATGCCCTTACATATATGAGCATATCACACATAATTCATTAACATAGTATTTCGTTTTCTTAATTAATTTCCTTTTGTGTACTTCATTTAGAATTATCCGGGTGCCACAGAAGCAGAAAATTTTGCATCAATTTCAATGTTGGATCTTCGTGAGAGAGTTTCGCCAAGAGGTTAGTTATCGTATACTTCTGACTTGTTTTGTCTTGTCTGCTTTGATATTGCCATACCACCATTTTTACGTTATCGCCATCGAGTACTTCATATCAATCAATCTATCATATAGGATTTATTCAATATTTCGAATTATTTTAAAGAAATAAATTCTTTGTTTCAGTAGATATTGAAAGATACAGTAGTGCCTGTACAAAGACGGGACCGTCTACAACTGAACTTCAGATTGTCAATGCAGACGACATCGTCTTCAAAAATGGCCATATCATAGCTGATGATATAGATGTTACGCTCAAGGTTGAAAAGTTTGAAAGAACGACTAGTTACACTTCAGAAGAAGCAAACTTATTGTCGGATGATAGAGCTGATGTTAATGAAAATAAGTCTTACATCAAAAGTAATCTGCAAAACAACGATAACAAAGTCGATCCAAGGACCGGTGATCGGTCTTCAGATTTCAATGATGGTGAAGAAGTAGCAAGCACACACGATGAGACATTAGACATTAACACCTGCGAACAAAGTTACGAAGCAGATACTCTGCTTAAAGAGGTGAATGAATGCTTAAATGAAAGGCAGTCGACAATATCGGAAGTTTAACTTTTTAAAATTGCTTTTACAGAATTACTCAATTTTTAAATCACCTGAGACAAAGTGGCATTGTGACCTAGTGCAATCACCTTCATCCGGCGTCGTGCGTCCGTAAACAATTTAACATTTTTTCTTTTCTAAAACCCTTGATCCGATTTCAATGAATTTTACAGAAACCTTCCCTGAACAAAAAATGTGAATTATACAGTCCCTTCTCCACAGGAGCCTAAGGGGCTGGGCCAAAATGAGTCAAATTGGCCCAAATTCAAAAACCTTCTTCTCAAGACCCAGGTATGTTAGAAAGAATCAAATACTCTTCATGAGTGGAAGCATCTTAGGGTGCTTTACCAAAATTGTGAATATCATGGCACCAGGTTGGGAGGGGGTAACGTTTACTATAGTTTATATAGGAAAACTAGATTTTTGAGCATAATTTGTTTAATTTTCATTAGAAATATATCAAACTTGCTTAGAATTTTGAGTGAAGGATGACGGCTTAATGATATGCCCATATTGATCCTGATTGACCTCCAGGGGCCCGGAATTGAACCATCTTAAGGAGGAATTTTTTTTAGACTTATTGTAATTTTCATAGAATAGAATGCATTTCTGAGCATAACGTTGGTTATTTCAGTGTCACAATTCCTGTTTCATAACACTTGATAACTATCCTTTAATGTTTATATTCAATATTGCTTATCTCAAGTGACCGTCAAGGCCGCTAGGCCTCTTGTTTAATATAAAATCGTAATTCTAATCTCAATGTTCCAGCATGTAAGAACGATGATTACGCACATATTTCATCCGTTTCAACTCTTAATATTTCCAAAATCATTGAATTTCATATTTTGTGCAATAGTTTATAAACGATGGAGCAATTTATTCTACAATTTAATACCCAAAACAAAGAGTCAAATTTATCCCACTGTGTCCAAATATTTCATAAAATGTTGACATGTGCTTCGAATACATTGTCATTATAATTTAGTGTAAAACTTGCCCCAAGGCAGGTGAAGAGGGTCTGGTCAGTGTACAGGGATAAGGCTTACTGATATTTTATCTTTGACAAAGTTTGATAACTAGCCATAACTTATTTTGCCATTCTTACAATGATTGTACGAAAGACAACGCTCAAGTGGAGAGCATCATTTTAAGATTATTGAACTCCATCAACCTCAATTATCTTTTTTTTATATTTTGCTGAATGTTTGATTATACTATCACATAGGTGTTCACTTATATTCTATACATGATGGGCATTAATCATTAGATTAAATCGTAAAATGCTCACAACAACTGATTTAGAACAATATCTATTTCTAAATAAAAGAATATGAGTGTTCATTTTGCCTAGTTTCACCGCATTTAGGTTTATGACCAAGCTTCTTGGTAACTGTTCATTTTTAGTCAGTTTGAAGTTTAATTTTTCAAAATTGTATGTTCAACAAAGATTCCAGGTTCTAATTGATATAAAGGTAATTTAACTTCATTTTTTCGTGATACAGTACAGTAGATCCGTTTTATTGCCTTCCAATGTGCATTGTTTCAATATGCTTGTTTAAGAAGAATGGTGCATTTTCATTACAACAAAACTATGGTAATTGTGACATAGGAAAAAGAATCACTGTCGAATCTGCATCGTCACAAATTTATTTTTTCCTCTTTTATGCATAACGAACGATTGCTGTGGTATCATTCTAATATTGCTGGTGTGTGTATGAGGTCAAATACTGCTCTCCAGTCGAATCTTACAACGAAATCCGTCTCATAGTTATTCGACACACCACTGTTGTGGTAACAGCGGAATACATTACTTGGTTATGACGAGACTATCGATTTTGTATATTCCGATATATTGCTCTGATTTGCAGTCAAGATATATATATTTGTCTCACAATATTGTTGTTTTAGTTATTTTGTATGCGGATACATAAGCAATGTTGCGTTTGCCATCATAATGCTGATCAAGAAATCATAGATATTTGGTTAGACTTTATTCCATTATTGCTTTCCCTCGTTGCAGAATAAAAAAAACAAAGTTGTTTTTTCATATTCACAATTCTGTTATGGGTATGATGTTTTGAAAGCATCACTTACGTTATCAGATGGTAAACTTTCTGTTTACTCCTTTCTTGTTGCTTCAGTTAATTGAATAAGAGTGGTTGTAAAATATAGCATAGAAGATGTGAAGACAGCGCACAACCACAATGAAAACAATTTCATTTGAACATAAAAAGAAATTATATTGTTTGAAAGAAAAAGATTAAATTTAATAATTTCTCTAAGATTGTGATACAATTCGTAGATTTAATTTGATGTTATAACATTCTGTTATTGATATTAGTTTGGAATTGTGAAATGTGTTTCAGTTGCAATATTAGGATTCATGTAATAAATAAATTGTGTTGATATACACACACCTTAGTCAACCATTGGGCATATTGTTATAAAATGACGAGTTTGCTTTATACATGTGTATACTTATGTTTATTATCATATGTTCTTAAGTTTAACAAAGTTTAGCGTTTTATATGATAAAATCAATTCTATAGTCCCAGTTTCGTGATATTTTTCTTAAGTAAATAAATTATTCATATTATATCAACATTATATACAAATTTTATTTTGCATTCGTTTCAGACTTATATTTCAGGTTTGAAATATATTGTCATGTTAGGATATTTTATGGTAGAGATCATTAACAGACGTCGACATCTGGGTTTTCCAGCTGATGTATGTGTATGTCAATGTCTGTCTGTGACTATGAATTTAGCAGTCGGTTGATGTTCATGGACATGTTTTGAATATCCAGAAATGTGTCTTTGTGATTAAGTAACCAAAATAAACATCAGGAGAGAATGTTCTCTCTATCTGATATCCATATACACTTAAACGTTCAGTTGCCTACCAACATGCTTTCCTTGATTAATTGATAAACGCATATAATGAATGAAATAATTAATTTGCATGTAGTTTTCCATTGGTGTGTTCAGAACATTTTTACCATTTTATCATTGGTTGCTTAAATTTTGCTTTTTCATTTCTATTATTATGACTTTCACATTGGACTGCATGTAATTGTTAAGGTTGTAAGCTGGTATTATGGTATATCTTGGAAGATTGTATATAAGACACAAATAGATGATACACCTTACATGATAAAGTCAGTATTAGACACATTATATACATAGGCGGTGGAGGCAAATCAAAATTGGTCAAATCAATATCAAGTTATATAGATGAAAAGGTGTCCTATTCTCGTGATATATTTCAATATTTGGGTTTTCATAAAAAGTAGGAATATCTGTATATAGTGAACCATACCACAGTTGATATGAATAAAAGTTGAAACGTAACATGCAGGTTTAAGGCAAACATCGGGAACTAATAAAAATCAGCAGCAGTCCCCCCTGAAAATTACAAAAACAAAAAAAAAAAAAAAAAAAACTGAAAAAAACACGCAAGTGAATGGCATCTGCCGGTACAATTTTAGTATTAGATGCATTATGTGCCAAATAATGAACTAAACAATCTTGTCCAGCTTTTTCGTCCTTTTAGGACTCGTAAGAGATGAAAGGTGTATGGTTAGAATACATATATGTATGTAATATTGAGAAATTTACTCATCTGCACATGTTTATGCTTATGAATAAGCAATTCATTTGGATGCTCCTCTGGAGATTGGCAACAATGAGTCACAAATTGCTTGTTCTCAAACACTTCACTATTATCATGGAGACTATAAATCATGTTTGTAAAACATAATGGTTCCTTTTAAAAGGGAGTAGAGATTACGTGTGTATGTGTTCATTTCAAATATAGAGTGTGATATAATCAGATGCTTTTGTTTTAAATGTTTTATAAGTTTACCTGTCAGGTAGTGATTTGCGAAATGATATTAATAATAATTATTTGATACTGTGTGATAACAGATTTATTTTTGTTAATATCTGAGTTGCCAATCAGTGTGCAAATACAATTTGAATAGCTGTGTGTTGATTTTGTTCATGATAACACAATGTTTTGCTACAATTTGAATAGCTGTGTGTTGATTTTGTTCATGATAACACAATGTTTTGCTACAATTTGAATAGCTGTGTGTTGATTTTGTTCATGATAACACAATGTTTTGCTAACAGAATTTTCTGAAGAAACTATCTTTTTATGACTTCAGTTTTTTTGTTTGTAGCCGTCCGTCAACAAATCAACTTCTGTAAATGAAATGTGCTTTAAACTTTCAAGGATAAATACAACCTTATAATGACAAACATCCGCTCCACACGTTGGACATTGATATTATAAATGGCAATAATATATCATTAGGCTGGATTAATTGATCAGGTTCATTTTGATGTGACAATGATACTCAGATGATCTAATTATCATGTATTGAAAATATTGTAAGGCAGATATTTCCAATAGAAAACATAGCTATTGTTTTGGGTTTTAATAAATATGCAAGTAATATAGATTATGGTCTCCCTGTAAGAAAAAGCAAAATTGATATCCAATGTTTATTTATACTGTACTTATTTTTAAAAAGTTCATTCCCTAAAAGTGCATATTTGACAAGATTTGAAATTTTGGTTTGAGTCAGATTATTGTAACAAGACGAGACATCTGTTACATTTTGAAATTAGATATACGCACTAAACTGAGACTGATACTTAACTTATTGTTTTACTTGAAAGTTTGTTACAAATTTTGTTACTGATATAAGTTGTCTTGTAATTTCATTGGTAAATTGTTAGTTGAATAAAACAGATGGAAATATTTGACAGTTACCTGGGTTTTCATTAAGACAGCGAGTATGTGGCTGGAAAACAGTTTTGAAAGAAATTGTCTGATTGCTTGTATTATAATTTAGATAGCACACTGTGTTGAACTAATGAGTCACTTGCTTAAACTGCTGGATCTAGAAAATTACCAAAGAATCATGCTAAAAAAATTTAATAATGTTAAATCAGTATATTGATCATTAAGACATTTTTTAGATCAATTTAAAATTTGTTCTTTTCTTCATCAACTTTAAAAAAAAAAAAAAAACCAAGAGACCCATGTGGTATTTATTGCTAACATCAGAGTAGGACAATTTCAAAATATTCAAATCGAGCAATTTTCCTACATACTAGATCTTAACATTTATGTAATGGATATATTTAGGATTGTAATGCACTGTATCATTAGATCATTAGAATTTAAATTGAATTTAGCTCATTTTAATAACACATAATTTAATTTCTTTCTCGTTATCTCATTTGAATGTTTAAGTGTATCACCCTTTATCCTAGCATATCAATTATACATTCAGACGAAGCTTTTAAACGTAGATTACTTTTTAAAAACTTTAAACCCTTTACTCCTTAATTCTTCTACCAAGTTTCCAACTAATTTCAAACTTCCGAGCTTGAAATTTGGTCACTGTTACTCGTCCCATCTTGCTACTAGCCAAATACGACCCTGGATCTCCCATTTATTTAGAGGAAATTAAATAATGATCCTATAACATTTGGCTTCTGTGGGTTAAGGTAATTCATGAACAATTTTCACACTATGATGCTAATACGTTGATTTTACGCTGATGACATAGCCTTAATCGAGCTAAGAATGTTGTTATATGTGACACCAGACCAGATTTACTTTGATACCACAACACATTTATCTCTGCAATTGATGCTTTTATGAAAAGAAAATGTCTAAAATAATGTGTTCAAAACATGATCAACTCTTGTGGCTAAATAACACGATACCGTACATGCTTTTTCCACGAGACTTTCAGGGTTATCTGAACACTGTAACAATAGAAGATATCATTGCCACTTGACAAATTGATTGCCCTTTACAGAGCATGCTTGTGGTTGAATGACATTACCCTAGATTTCTTGTTTATTCTTCAGAAGTTGTTTAAGAACTTTAACAGATTTTAAAGTGAGTTAAGCCTTTAAATGGAAGAAACTTAATCACAACATTCCAACGGAGAAATGTAACATTCAGTCTTCTTTGCAGTCAAAAAAAGGCCACATTTTATTTGTATGACATTTTAGGTGAATGAAGGTCATTCAATTTTGAGTGTGGTACCACATCATCCCACCAACAACAATGCTTTCGCACAAGACCTTTAGGTTTATCACAACTTGTTTGAGGACTTCAGTTATTACTGTGCAACAATATTGCAAATATATAAACATATTTATTTATTACTGTTTCAAAAAAGAAAACACAACAATATTATAAAATTGATATTTTTTCAGAGATTCTTTAATTTCATTAAAATTGCACAATCAGTAATTTGCCAGTTTTTTTTATATTTACATGTATTCAGAAATTCAATAATTGCATAACAGTATATCTTTAATTATTCATATCAAAACATGTCTTTGCACTAATTTAAAAATATGCACCCGGTATGAAGATTGTGTAATACACTTCCCTTAGAAAAGACTTGAAAAATCCTGTGTAGTGATACTGTATCGATAGATATTGGAATTTACTAAGTGCATTTTTGAAGTATTTGCAAAATAAACCACAGAGTCATTAATGAGCATCTTTATGAAATAATGATATTCAATATCAACAGGTTTCCATGACATTCAATAAATTAGTTTATATCTATGATGAATGATTAAATAGTACATGAATTTATGTAAATGTACAATTTCATTAAGAGGTTTAACCATCATACTTATCTTATTTATTAATCAGACAAAAACATCAAAGCTTGTATAGTTTCAAAGCTTCCATTAAAAAGCATGTAATATGAATGTTGAATGTATTTACAAAGCATGCTCTAGATCAAAACACAGTGATATTCAGTCTGCACTATATTACAGCAAAGACCAACACCTGAACAGCTGACTCTCATCAGCTGTCTTCCATAGACCCAACAAGACAATAAGCCTGTCAAAATGGTTATCTTAATTAATAAATGAAGTATAATGGATTTCCACTTTATAGCATACAAGAAGAAATAACAACACATGACCCTACACAATTTGTTGCTAATTTCCTTCTCAATTGATCAACTATGTAAGTTTACAGCAGTCTTTTAGCACTAACGTGTCACATGTTTTTTCACAAGTATGAAAAGTAATACCCCAGAAAAAGTATGTACCATTATATATGATATGTGACCTAACCATTGCTGGCCATAGGTTAAAGAATGGTAACAGGATGAAAAAAAATTGTGTCACAATTATGTAAATCTGGTTTACTGCTGAAGAGCGATATTAAATCGTTAATACTCTCACACAACAAAGAAATCATCTCACAAGCTATGTTGAAGACATTTTACATATCTGTATCATCATAGATATTCAACAACTGCAGTAAGAGAAATGTGTCTCTTCAACTTTTTAAAAAGTGTTTTGTTATCCCAGGCAACTTAACGGCAAAGAGAAGTTTATTGCAGGTCTGACAACACTTTCACTACTATACCTTGAACCAGGACGGAAATGTGATGCTCATTGGAAAAATAGTATCTTCAAATCAGGTGTTTGATTTTTTTTTTTTTTTTAAATCATAAAGAATTAGATCCTACAATGACCTTTGTTTCTTGTAAATCACTGTTTTTGTCTGGAGAGGAAGTGAATATGAAATATTTGAACCATTGGCATATGTATCACATTATCTAAAATCTCCTGTTAATATTTGATATTCTGATACAGTCAAAATAATGTTAAAATATTCAGATATTACGTTTATTACATATATGTACATCAGACAATCAATACTAAAGGATACTATATATGTATAAGAATGTTCAATATGTAAAGCACTAAAAATATTAGATTTTGTTGGCCTGAAGCAATGTTGACGGTAATTTTCAGTTCTATTACACTGTCAGTATCTCAACATTTACTTACATGTTCTTCACACAAACGGTATTAAGAACCCTGAATAAATATATTTTGACAAATTTCATGACAGATCACCAATACAAAAAGGTTGGAAGGTTTTCATATTCTCTAAACTGGAATATATATTGCATGCATACACAGAGAAATTTTAATGTTGAATAAGCACATAAACAGCATAAGATATGGTATAGTATAGAACTTTTTATCATGAACAGTGTAGGAACCAATAGCCCTACGATATATCTTGCAATAAAATTGGATTTCGTTTATTATCAATTAGTATCAATTTAGTACTTGTAAATATGCTCATTAAATCATACAAGAATGCAGCAGACAATGCAATCTCTATTAATATCATCTAGTATGATAGAGGATATTTAAATCAATTCCTCAATTCTGTTTTAAGATTCATTATTGAAAGGAGGTACATGTTGTAACATTCTGGATCACAGATTTTATCATTAGAAAAAGGAACTTGTTTACAGCAGCACCATAGGTTCATGGGAATGTATACAGGTATCTCGTCACACACAATTAGCAACTTTTCACAACGATGAATAAATAAAAAGGAGTTCCAAAATACATGCAATTACCAATGCTACAATAAATATGTATGAATATAGAGGTGTTCCAAAGAATCAATGAATATGCACTCACACAGTAGTATGACGTAACATTGTTGTGAACAATAAGAACCAGTGTAAACTCATTTCATTCACAATCTAGATCAAAGTCACAGTTAAGGAGATATATATCATCCATATGGTAACTATGGCAATAGCTATTCCATCTCATATTGAACTTATATCGAAGACAATATATAGAAAGTGAGATTTAATATGAACTGACAGAGTACATAGAAAAATTAAAATTCACTGATGATGAGATCGGTAACCAGAAAGTTTCATGTCTCTTGTTCATCTGATGTCATTTCACAGCAGAAACAAAAATTTGGCATCCTGCCATATGTCATTCGCAATATTACGTACATGTATAAAAGTCACAAGCATGAAAAGTGTCATTACCACACTGTAATGTCATGATTTGGATTTTTTAACCCTGAAACCTTAATCACGCCTTGTCAAATGTGTACACTTCATTCACATATTAACTCTTTCATCCCAACCAATTCTATTATTCACACATTTTATCCTAACTTTTCAGATAGACACAAATTCCTTGACATCAATCAGGTCCTCACTGATGAAATAGGTTGTCCTTGCAACATTCTACAGAAAGGTTAATACTACCATTTTAATTCATCTTGAGAACAAAACTTCTGTCTAGCAGACCATTTAAATATAGAGACTGGCATATATCCTTTTCAACATTATGTATAAATAATTAGAACAGTGAAAATTATTTTGATGTTAAAGTTACCATTATTGGCATGCAGTGGTAATACAAGAAATTAACAATGTTAATGCACTTTAAAAACTCTATGTTTTTAAATGGAAACCGTTTACAATGGTATTCTTAATAACTGATATATTGCAATACGCCGTGACTGGTCAGAACACAACCAGGTTGCTGAATCATAAGTTTGTTTTACAGAACAGAAAATTCACATAAAACTTATTTCATATATAACCAATAGTCATTCAAGAGCAGATACATGTGATAAATAATCAGATATCAACGACACTCTGTGAAATCATCTGCCATGATAAAACATACAATCTGTCACTGCTAATTCACGAAATAATCAGATATCAACGACACTCTGTGAAATCATCTGCCATGATAAAACATACAATCCGTCACTGCTAATTCACGAAATCATCTGCCATGATAAAACATACAATCCGTCACTGCTAATTCACGAAATAATCAGATATTGAACATACACAAAGCTAGCATTGATACTTTCTAAATAACAAACTGCTACTTCTAACTGCATAGGCTAATTTAATATAAAGTATCAATATTTGATTAGAAAACAATGCAGTGACATTTACAAGTTAGATAACTTGTTCAGCTGGACAGAGTTTATTTAAACATCATGACATTATCAAACAAGTTAGATCAAAGCATACATTATCAATGCTTACTAACAAATAAAAATGAACTGTCATTCTTGCTGCATAGACTCCACATACTAATACATTTACATTTAATCACACAACAAAAAGTTGACGAAACCTACACAGAACTGAACTTTGTCTCTATACATTCTACGATAACTGACAGTTACAGGTAAAAAGTATATTACAGTTAAACGCACCGAAATATTTGCCATTTACAAGAATTAACAAGCCCTATGTGGTAATGTATTGACATTACAAATAATTTAAGCACTAATCACAAAATTTTCTCCTTCAATCATCATGTATAAAGGATACAAAGTTACTTTGTGATAACATGCTGACTCAAATTTACAACTACCTTACAAGGAACATCTCATCACACCCTGTAACATTCATGTTATAACTGGTCAACAAATTCAGATTAATTCTACTTTGAGAATGTGAAATGAAACCGTGTAATTAAGTAATTTGAAAAATTTAAAAAAAACTTCCAGTTCGTTTTGAGAAGAGTAACACTAACCACACCAGTCCAAATCTAAGACTTTGCAATTAGACACAAAACTTAAGGGACTAATGTCAATTAATGTAAATCAAAATGATTGTTTTTCAAACCAAATCTGTTTCTGTATGTGAAAGGTTTCTCTTTTCTCATCCTGAAGAAAAATCCTCTGAATCTCTCATTGGCAGAGAACCTGACAACCCCTTCAATGTATTAAAGTTGCAATAAAATGAACACATCTTTGAAATTCCCCCAAGTCCTGACAAAATATACTTTGTTTCATTCAGATTCTAAATTACATACTTAATTCCCTAATGTTTTATATACATAAAACCAAAATCATTGACCAATTTGCACTTGGAGGTGTATGAATATTTTAAAATCTTGAAATATTTATATGTATTTCTAGAAAAACAATATTGAAGTTCATGTACATTTTTATCAGTATCAACATAAAGTCTGAAATAGCTCAACTGCTTTACATCATTAACATGCTTACATTAACAAAAGTCTTTTATACTATAATTTGGAACAGTAAGTGTCAAACTGGTCCAAGAAAAATTAAATAAGTCCTATTTCTAATTATTAAGAAAATCTCATTTAAAGAAACAAAATAACGATAACATCATTCTTGCATTTCTTTTTTTGAACAGGTATTATTAAATAATTTAAAACTGGTATTGACTAAGCTTATCGATCAATGTCGATTTAATGATTGTTTTAAAAGTGATCTACGGTAAAGAGAAGTGGTTCATATTCTCTTGATTTTCCAATCTTTACACAGAAACTTGCATCAAATATCTGTGACCCTTTCTTAACATTGTCAAGTTAAATGGGGTATCACATGTGAAGTCATATTCATAAAGGCTATTTTCAGTAATGAAGGTGTAGGCAGTCTTTACACAGTTTGACCAAGATCTACACTTACAAATTACACTTGATGATGCATGAAAACAACCCCCACGTTTCCTGTACATATGTCAAATTTAAACTGCCACGTTTCCATCTCACTCTATGCACCTTAGGTACGAGAAACCAAAAGGACTTTAACAATGTCATGATTGCTTTTACTTCTTATTCTTGAGTTTCTCCACGATATTACAAAGTTTGAGAACTGGGCCAAGCTTGAGTCCCATGTATTTCATCATCATGTCACTGTTCAGTAACAACAGAGCTCTTCCATCTATTTCCTAAAAACACAGCAACACATAATTAAAGCATAACCAACAAATAAATATGTTTTATGATTGTTAAAATAACACAAAAGATTACAAAATATCATCTCACCATGAGGTAAAGATCAAATTATACATTACACTGCAGCTGGTATTTCAACAAATTCATTCTGGAGAGAGGGAAACCATTACAAACAGTATTGTTTAGTCCTGGCATTAAACTGACTAAGTTTAAAGTTTAAATTAAAAAACATGAGCCATCATTTCAGCTTTAACATTCAAATTTTAAATTCAACTTGACATTCCTATTGACAAAAGGATGAAATGGGGTACAGTTCAACTACAGTGAATGTTTGCTTTTATTCTGCCTTCTTCAAGGTTTATCATAATATCAGAAATTGTTAATTTATACAGATAAGGCATGATATCATACTTACATGTTTCCTAAAGAGTTCTGTGTGGGGTGTCAAGGCAGCATCTGTATCACATATGAAGTGGATGACCTCCTCAATTGACCATTCCAAGGGGTCATTTCCTAATTTGTGAATCGGTCTTGGGTCAGCAGTGGTGGAGCTTGCTGTGAAAAAAAAGTATTCTACATTTCATATATTTCATTGTCCTTTACAATATATTACGTTAATAAATTGGCACAAATACAATATGAAACATTTATCAAACATCAGAAATTAGTGAAAGAATAATTCAGCCCTGCATTTTATATATATCATCATACATACATACATTCTGCTCTGCGGAGTTGGACTCAAATTAGCCATGTGCAACAAGTGATATATTTGGTCAAAGGTTGATTCAAATTTTCAAATGAAACAAACAGAACTAGAGAACAAAAATATATCAAACAGATAGAGATCTATTTGTGCTCTTTCTCTTAAACATTCACACAATTCAATAATGAAGTTTAAGATCTTTTATTTTCAGAGTTGAAAAGAATAAAATCTTCAATTAGGACCATTGGTAATATTTTAGTTATTCACTTGAACTGAAGAACTGTAACATACATATCCTCAACAGTAACAGTTTAAAATTTTCTAATCAGGCCATGTATCTCTTGTTACAGAGGAATTACATTGTGTCGCAGGACAAAGGATATCATGTACCTTCAGCGGTGTATTCTGAATACCGTCTCATCTTTTGATGTTGATGTTTGGCTCCTTTTTGACTATCTACTGACTCTGTTGACCATCGTCTCTTCATAATAATTTTTGTCATTTTTTCTGAATCGTCTTCTGAAATAAAAGAATACCTGGTAATAATGAAGAATTATTTTGTGTAACATTTTGCAAATTTGTGCTAATAAAGGGAGATAACTCAAAATATTTCCAAACACTTCAACACACTAATTAACTGTATCAGTATTTCAAGTATAAACCTTTTCTACACATTCTGTAGATGAACATTTTTTATGAATACTAATAGAGATATCCAAATTTTCAAATTGTTAAATCATTAACAATCACTTAAAAACAAATCACACTAGATATATTTCACTATCAAACTTTTGAACAAGTCTAATGTTAAAAATAACCTAAGGATTTCGAAGTTTCAACAATTTGTAATAAAATCAAATCAAGTCTTAATTCGTAATCACAGAATTCAAGGGACCATGGAAAATAATTTGACATTTCCAACTCAAACTGTCCAAATAAGGTTGAGAATATCAGTTTCCTGACTCTGATTACAGTTGAATAAAGTAGAGATAAGATAGCACAGAACAATGTGGTACAAACAGCATAAAATAATCTGTTATTTAAAATGGCAGTAAACTAATAGAAACAAAAAAAATTACCGATTTCTCCTTTTATTGTTTATTCACCCAAACAACAAAATATGTAACAACAACACCAATCAAATACATTTAAACTCACATCATTCTTCCAGCACATGTGTACTGACCAAGTGCTTACAGGTCATATATCTCATAATAGAAATAAAATTTGCTTTTGATACACTATTAGAAAGGATGTATTAAGCCACAGATCATAATGTGACTTTATTATGAATAAACGTATGACTCAAGCAACTTCAATTTTCAATTTCAAGGGTTTTTTTTCCAGTTTTAATTATAGTCTCTAAACTACTAATTTCTGATCTTTTTAAAAAAGATTCATTCTTCATCCAATTTGCAGTTCAACAGGAAAAATAAGGTTACTAACCTGTTTTACTTTTGCTCCTTCCACATTTTGGACAAAATCCATGAAGTGGTTGACTTGTGAACAGGTTTTCGCAACATCCCAGGTCTTCCAGCATGCGCTCTATGAAACACCACAGACTTGATACCTTGTCGATAACAGGTAACCGCTTTGTGTGGGTTTTGTTTCCTTGGTTTGCTGGCAAAGAAGCAGGAAAGTAACGCATATACTCTATGTCAGACACTATGTTCAAAAGGCATGAACATCAATTATAGTGTTTGGGCAGTTGTCATTCGACATTGGATCAAACAAGAGGTATGTAAATGATAATAAGGTACTAGAAAGAAGTAAAAAGAGATATACCGACTCACAGGGGTGTATTGCTAGGTAGTGGTATGAACAGGGTTAATGAAGAGTACTCCATATAGACAAGTATACTATTACCGGGGGTATCTAAATTAGGGCTATTGTACGGCTTTCTATATAGAAATATATAATTAGTACAGAAATCAATAGATACATAATGAGGTTTAAAACAGGGTTATCGAAGGGCACTCCATAAATTGTCACCTGTAAATTATATCTAAAATATGGTTGTTCTATGGTACTTTGTCTAGATATATATAACTATACCTCAAACAGGTCAATTATCAGGGAAAAGTCTAGGGCACTCAATATATAGACACATGTGATTTCATCTAAAACAGGTTTATTGTAGTGTTCAAAATTTAGACACGTGTATATGTTATGTGATTTGAAAAACAGGGTCATTGTAGGGTACTCTTTCATCCAAAACAGGTTATTGTATGGTAATAATATCAATATATCAAATTAGACCTACAACAGAGTAATTGTAAGGTACACTCAATAAAGTTACATGTATATGTATTGTGATCTCAAACCGGGATATTGTAGGGCCAGTGCAGATATATCATTATATCTAAAACAGGTTATCTATGGTATGCAATACAGACATAGGAAATTGGATCTTTAAAAACAGCACTATAGCAGGGTACTCAATAAAGAATATTTAATGAGAGCTGAAACTGAGCTATAGTAAGGTACTCAACATAGACAAATTCAATAATACCTAAAGTTGGGTTATAATTGTATACGCGATACAAAAATTTTTAATTAGATCTAAAACAGGATTATCTAGTCAGAAACGAGATCTACATGTAATTAAAACAAAATTAGCATAGATATACCAAGTGAGATCTAAAGAGAGCTACTGATATCTGTAATTAGATTTTAAGATGTTCAACTGTATATATTATTAGATCCCACCTAAATTGTACGTTTATCAGCCTGTTTTATCACTAAACAGTATACACTACCTGTAACAATGACTTTACCACTGCCTTCCTGAATACAGTTATACACCTGCTTTTCATGTGTAGCACTATCAATGCATGTTTGAACCACTTCTCTGAGCACCTTCACCATTGTTCCTGGACCAAACTGACTAGGTAGCTGACAGATCTTTTTTGATTGTAGGTACATTCCACAGTTACAGCCATGGTTCACATAGACACACACTGAAATTTACAGACCAGAATTACAGCTAAGTACTTAATAATCTCATTTTCTGACAAAATACAATGTTGAAAAGGTCTGAAATTGATCCTTGTCCTTTCATCGAAGAGAAGCAAAAAATATGTCTTCTAATAAAAACAATTTGCTGGGAATTAATTAGTAAACATAGTGTAATTATTAATATGTAATCTTGTATATCATGAAACTGGTAAAAGATACCTGTAGCAGCACTTGGTGAACTTGTATCAGGTTCTGTGACTGTAACAACAGGTGACTCAGCCTCTCTGGGAGAAAGTGGTTTGTTATCTGTCAGATTGGGACTAGTAGAGTTAGAATGGAGGGATTTCCCAGCTCCACCTCCAAGAGATGGTGATGCTTTAGATCCATTATTTCCTGAGGTGTTGGATGTGGGCAGAGATATAGTCAACGGCACTTCCTTTCCTTTAGAAGACTTTAAAGGAGGATTTCCTTTAAACATGTAACATAATGAAAACTGTTATTGGTCTTTACAACACCATGTGTATACTTATTGGACACTTCAATAAAGTGATGAGTACATCCCTATGATTCAAATCATTCAAACTAATTATATGAAGTAATGCTGAACACACTGAGAGTATACGTGATACAGTTTACTTGGTAAATATATACAGTTGTCAACATAAAATTTAACCAGACACTTTTAGTGAAGTAAAGAAGTGTGAACTGTACATCAAATTCAGCATCCGTAACATGGATTAATCAGAGGTATTCTTAAGCATACATCAAGCAAGTGTAATCCTTGTAGTGCTATTAACTATCAATAAATGGATGATCAGAAGTACTTCTTCAGATAAACATATCTAGCTGCCATATATATCTGGTGAACTTCACAGAGTGCAATATCCATCAACTCTATAACATTAATGACAAAAAAAACTGCCACAATTTCTTAAACTTTTATTTATACTAGTGAATTATTTCTAGTGGAACTATGTTTTGGAAAATGAATACCAGACCTGTTCCCTTGGCTAGATTTGAGTCCTACCTTTCTGGCCAGGAGGCTGGAGATGGTGGCCACTCTTGAAACACCAGTTGCAGGGAAATAAATCCCTAGAGTCATATCGGCACCAGTAATCAAACGCTCCTCTCCATCCATCAAATGTCACATGAATCTGGTCTCCATTCACTGCACCAACCGTCGCTGGACAAATGAGCTGTGGATTTTTTCTATCTACTGCTTCCAACTTCATTCCCACCTTAAACTCGTTACATTTAGGTGTAGGAGGTTCCTATCAAAAACAGGTTTTTCATTTACTGAAAATCTCTTAATTTTGGACTTTGAAAACCATGTCAATATCACAGAATAATTTATTCAGCCAGTGCATTTAACTTTTATAGAAGAGGGAAATAAGATGTAGACTCTACACATGCTCTGTGACAAAGATCTTTATGACCTAGATTCTGAGACGCTTGTCAAGAGCACACGTTACACAACACAGGCCTTGGGTTGGTAATAGGTACTAATGTTACAGGAAAGGGTACCTAGATACAGTGAGTTATAGGGTTTACTAAAGCAAACTACCACTGGCAATGTCAGCAAAAATCAATACTAATTTTCCTTCAGACAGCTATAAATATGAAGTTTGTCCTCTTTAATTGTTCCAAAAAGTTCTTTTTCTGACAAAAAGTCAACAATATGATCAGCTACCTTTTTAAAACATTCTTCTGGGGCAACTTCTGCTCCATTTAAAGTCTTCTGTAAGAATGCTGGCCAGGATGATGGGTTCATTCGAAATCCTGAAAACATCACAAACAATGCAAAGATTTTTGTTTTCCCAGAAGTGAGTTTAAAGTCACAAAAAGCAGACTTACATTCTTTCACCACTAGTTACCAGTTTACTCAAAAGGTTGACCTATTACACAGGCACTTAACATGATTAATATTTTTATTTTATACACTGCCAGGCTACCCACACTACGATATTTACATCTTAGAATTCCAACAGACAGACTTCCCTCATTTAATGCTTATCATTCATGATATTTGGGATTGTTATTCTCATGAAATCAGTTTCAGTATATCAACAGGGCCGACATATGGAATTCTTTCTCTCATGAAAATCAGTTTCAGTATTTATATACAGGGTCACATTAAGTTTGCTACCTTAACCTTATGCAGCTACATGTACAGTGATATACAAGATCAATTCTGGTGGTCGGGTGGCGCAGTGGTAACGCACTCGCCTTTCACCTAGTCAACCGGGGTTCGATTCCCTGAACAGCGTGAAAAGGTAAGGGGACACCTGCCCAACCACATGGGTTTTCCCCGGGTACTCTGGTTTCCTGCCACAATAAGACCCCTCACATGCTTACATAAGGGCCAACAAGAGTGATTAGTATAAGTTGACATAACTTGTTTCTCAATTGTTGTAAAATAAATCAAGTTTATATTTTAATTCTGTTTAAATCTAAAAGTTGCACCCAAAATGCTCTTCATGTCAGCCAATTTGTTCTTTTCATCAGACCCAAAATCAAATTAGCACAACTAGAGACCAAAGGGAATCTACAAATGAAATTTATGAAAGATCCATTCCGTAATTCTCAAGAAATAGTAATAACTACCTTTCAAAGTCAAATCCAAGATGGCTACCTGTCGGCCATTTTGTTTCTTTGATCTGGCCCAAAATAAAATGGGTACAACTAGGGAAAGGGGAACCTATGTAGGCTTTTTGAGAAAGATCCATCCAGTACATCTTAAGAAATAGCGATAACAAAAATATTTTTATGAACAGACGACGAACGGACACAGAGCAATTTGAATAGCCCACCATCTGATGATTGTGGGCTAAAAAGCTGTTTTTGATTTTCGCAATTGATTCTCTTAATGTGAGAATCTGGTGCTTGTAATCTGAAACTGATCCAGTGCTGCAATTGATGGAATGTACATAAAACAGAGAGCATTACCTAAGGGGGGTTGTAGGAGTGCTCCGTACAATTCACAATAACCAATGAGGTGGAGATCTGAGGAATCAACAAGTCTCCAAAAGTCGTTTTTGTCATCACTTCCATCCAGCCGCAGTCGGAGTCGTGGCCCAATCATTCCCACAACTGTTGCCACACAAATTGAGGTCAGATTTCTGGGGTCAACTGCCTCTATCTTCATGTTCAATTTGAATTCATTGACAGGAGGAATCAACGACTGAAATGGTCAATTAGGTATTAGATAAATAAATTCCCTTGTGTGTACACATAAAACAAATGGCTTTCATGATGTTGTTTTACAGATAGAAGTTATGTATTTTCTCATCATATCATCTTAGAAAAAGGTGTTATTACCTGTTTAAAACAACTTTCAGGAGCTGGTTTTGATCCCGTTTCAGCTAAGTACTTATCCCAGTCAAAACTGCCTGTTGATAAAATCAAAATATACCAGGTATTACAGTATATATGTACACTGTTTAGTTCACATTAAACCAATGTAAATTTCAAACACTGAGTTGATGATAAGGAAAATTGAGTTTGAAGCTGAAAGAGATCATCCATTTTCAACAGTTTTAGTCAATATTGTGTGTAAATATTGCTAAGAAGACAACCTGTACAAATATGTTGTAAATAATATGAGCTAGCATATCTTTTCCTGATACCTTATATTAATGATAAAGTGAAAAATGGTTGTCTTTATCCTGTATTAGAGAATGATCCCATTGATCAAGCATACATTTAGCTTAAAATATTGAATAAAAAGATCCTAATTTCCAATAATAGAATTTACTGTTTACAATTCTCACCTTGAGTCTCAAACTGGTATGAGATCCCTTTACCAGCTGGTAATGCAGCCATAATTTTTGTTTGCCTTCTTCCAACACAATTCAATGTTACCTCTCTGGATTGATATATCTGCAAAATGAAATTGATTTGTTTCTGTTTTGAATATCTTGTTATCTTAGGGCTGTCATTCATTTATAGCAACATTATCTGCAAAGGCAGTAAATATCAACAGCTGCTAAGGCAGTAAATATCAATATCAATGCAAAACATTTTCTTTATACCATGTAAACAGGGAACTAAAATCATTAATGACATTATATTTTAGTCAACCAACGAAATACATAGTCTTTGACATCAAGCAAACATGAATATCTAAATAAATAAACAAAGCATCTTGTACGATTTACATTGTTTTTTTTTTATTATTTGAGTGCAGACAGGGTAGACCTTAAAATATCAAATTTCTCCACAATGATATGTATCGATTGATGCAGGGTACATCTACCTGCCAATACTCTGGAATCTAAATGGACTATTGCACGAGATGCAAACTTCAAACCTCAGACAAAATGCATAGCAATAGCAAACTTTACTTGGCAAAATCCATGATGGCTGCCTGTCAGTCATTTTGTTTTTGTGATCAGACCCAAAATCAAATGGGGACAACTAAGGACATAGGGAAACTTACATATCAAGTTTTGAGAGAGATCCATTCAGAACATATATACGAATTTTGAGAACAGACCATGGACCTGCAGGCCAAGGACCACAAATATACCGCGATTTGAATAGCTCACCATCTCATGATGGTGAGTTAACAAATGAAAGTGTGAAATAATGTACAAACAAGGATATATTCAATACATGCAGCTTTATTCATAGTAACAACTGTCAATAAAATTATGTTCATGTTACTGTTAATACATTAGAGATTATTCCTTTATAATGAATAATTTATTACATCAAAGTGTCATACAGCCTATCTGGTAGATCAATACACAATCAATATATTTGAATTCAAATTTACAGTCTTTATGGCTTATGAAAATGTGCATACATAATCATGTTCTAAAGTTATGGTCACAAGATGATGATCTGTAAAAGTTCCAGACATTGCAACAAATGTAGAAGTTGAGTGTACAGGTCACTTTACTAGCATCAGCTAGTGGGAATTTCCCTGTAGTAGTGGTAGAGTGTCCTGCTAGAGACTTAGTGGTCGCTTGTTTGGTATAACTCCTTCAAATTACACAAACACCTTATTGCTAATATTCTAGAAAGGTGTGAAAAGATTGCTGACACCTATGGTCTTGTTATAATTAATGATTGAGCGTATCACATAGTCACTTGGACCAGCAAGGTTGTGTATTTGTGTATATGTACAGTCACTGGCTAGAACAGTGAATAAAACAAAAACAAATAAAGGTGAGCATGTGTCACATTACTGTTGAAGATCAAATCATTATGATGATGAAAGGGCATCACACCAGGGAAAATGACTTAACAAACAGTGCTGTTACACAAATAAACCCTACCAATTTAATTACAGCACATCTAGATAACTATAAATGGCTATTTTCTACTCCTTTGAAAATGGACCTTTTGATTTCATTTGGGGAAAATGTAATCAATTGGGAAGGAAATTTTTAGGAGTAAACGACATATTTTGCGAATCAGGACATATCTATATCATGAAATAAATCTAATTAGGAATGGGCTCAATATTTGGCCTTACAGAACCCATGGAAAAAGGCCTGTTATATAATAACGATTCAATACTGAATTAATGTGAATTTTTTGTAGTCAAAACTACAAAATAACCTCAACAATCATTTGACAAAACACCTTGATTCGTCAATTAATGAAGGTGCCAACCAGCATTGATACCAAGAAGTCAGACAGATGTTGTCATTTTCACCAGGTTAAATCAAGAAAAGGCCTAAAACTGAAAATGTTGAACAGTATGGTGAACAGCATAATCCCGTTCAAATCCTACATCTCTATCTAATTTTCCATACTGTGTTGAGTTTTGTGATAAACAAAGGCTGATATAAGTGATACCTACACTGATATATGGGTAGCTAGGAGCCGTCATATATATGTAACAGTTAAGTTTGCCAAAGTTAACTTGTTGAGTTTAATTACAGCTTGTTACTGAACATACTGTATACCATAATACAAATGATTAATGATGTCGACATCACATGTACGTTGTATTTCCGTGTGGTTTGAAGGCTTTATGGTTACTTAAGGGTGACTATATTTGTTGTTTATGTACAAAGTTTACCTCTACATATGTATGATCACGCACTTGAACTTTAGTTGCAGACTACTGCTTGCTGGATTTAAATACCAGGTACACTGCAAGACAATGTTGGAATCTGGGAATTATATGTTATATTTATAAGCAAGGCTGTTGATGTTATTGTCTAAAATTTTTATAAAGTTGAATTTGTATCTTTGTCATCTGTCCTCCTTTACAACAGCATAAAAGAATCAACAAATGTGATGTGTCTGCAGTGTGTATGAATGTGCTTTGTGACACAAAATGGATTCCTTTACTCAAGATCATTTTTCATTACTTTTTTATCCAAATGTATATCTATGTGAAAAATTAGGTAACAATTAAAAGAATTCCATTCAAGATCGGAATTATTAGAATAATGACACGATATTATTAGGTAAATATTAATGACCTTAACAATAGTTTTGATGTTACATGTTCGAAGTATATTCATATGACAATTATCTACTAAACATCGTATTTAAATATCCTACCTCTTGTACTACCTGTACTTGTGTACGTTACACATTGTAGAATTAATAAGGGAAAACACATGACTAGTGGCGGTTTCGGTAATGAAAATCTTGTAACAAAATTTAAATCACTGTGAATCACATAAACCCCGAAATAAAAGTCTTCTTGACCAAAAGATTGTTAACATTAAGCGCGGGACATCGACGTATATCGTGCCTTATATAAAAACTGAAAATGCGAAGTATCAAGATTCAGGGAGTTGTTAGTACATTGTACATTGGAAAAGGGTCATTTAAGAATTAAAGAGATAGACAAATAGAAATAATTGAATAACAAATAATCTCACGTTATGTCACTGCGTAGTAAGTGTCAGATCGATCGATTTGTTGCTGTGATGAGGATGACTTTCCTAACTTGTAGCCATTTTTTCTCGTGGTATGACTAATACAAAAAACGGATACGGAAAGTAAGAATAGAAGCAATCCGTACTTTTTTGTAAAATGTTACATACGTAAAAATCACTAAAGCTTAAGCATTCTTGAATGTAATTAGGGTCTATCTTATATACTTTAAATGTTATGAAAATATTGTATATCATAAACCTTTCAATTGGAAGTCACAGACTTCAGTTTTCACGGTGACAGGTTTAGATTGTGTGAGCATGACCCTGTGGGAGGAAAAAAAATCCAAGAATGTGAAGTTTATGTGCAGCATGTAACTCACTGGATAAATAAATGCATTTCTTTTTCGAACATTTCGTTAATAAATCGGTAAGTTCTATCGCCAAGCTGCGGAAATCTTTAACCCTACTTAAGTTAGCACTGGGTGATAAGCTTTCCAAATATCATGTTGCCATCCAGTATGTAAATCATACTTCAGATCTGTTTCATTCGCTGAACATCTTTTCTATATGTTGTACATGCATAATTACACGTGTAATTATAAATGTGATAATAAAGTTGAACTGAATCATGTACTGAGTCGACATTTTTAACTAATATCTTTTATCACAGCTACACAGTGACACTATTTACTGACGTAAACCCACTCACACACATGCATAATTTGTTAAGTTGATTTTACCTTGTTTATCAGTTATCAAATCTCAAGATAAAGTACTTATCACTGAATCAAGTATATTTACATCAATTGCCTTGTTTACAACCGACATGTTTAATTCTGGCGCAATAGCCGTTGACCAGTGACAATATATAACGGAGTACATTTAACTCAGGGGTCATTTAAACTATAAAACTGAGATCATCTATTTTGTTCTGCATTGGGTCTAGCTCATCCTTGCAACATGTTACGTGCTTGATGTCAGTGTTCACTATCAATTTTTATTGTTGTTTCATTTCAGGCTCGCTCATTAAGAATAGAAATAAGTTATTGCCATCTTACTTGTACATAACAAACATAAATAGCCTAGGTAGTCGGTTGAAGTTATTCCAAGCACAGAGACAACAGACACCTGATGTAATACGTAGCCACACATCGAAGTTAATAGTTGATCTTACAATACAAAATTTAGACTCTATCTTAAATGTTATGAAATATTATACAACTTGGGAGTCATGGACTGAAATACATACAATACACATACCGAGTCTACAATCTTACCCTTTCTTCCAATTTCAAGGTACAGTTGTCGAAGGGGTTGCTTTACGAATTCAGTGACGAGTTCCATGCATCCTACTACGCATTCAATCAACGAATGAAATTATAAACCTAGAATTTTCCAAAGAGAGGAAAAAACAGGACATTTTAAAGTTTGTCATTATTTCAAGATTCGCGTTAATAAGTTGAATCAATAGAAAAAAGGTCCAGTCGAGTTTATACATACATATATGTTAGTATAAGTGGTGATTGGATTTATATCAAATTCTTACCCTCAAACGCGACGGTATTGGGCAGAAATACATTGCTGTGTATGTATCATCTACAATATGTAGCATGTAGAGGAGTTGGTCAGTCAAACTTATTACTATATATGCTAACAGATACATTGAAACGAATATCGAAAGTGTTTCAGGGAGATCACAAAATGAATCTTATCACCGTGGGTTAACGTTTTAAGTAGAGACGCATTGGAGACTATAATAAACGTCATTATTTTTTATGGATAGCATTTTCTTCTTAGTGACAATTATCTCCATCAATATTACACGATTATGGCACGTCTCTGAATATGATAATATGCAAGATAAATTAATTAATCGTGATTGATATAGCGAATTAATTTACAACGATACAGCAAGGCAAGTTGTCATTTATTCATGTAGCAACTTTGATCCAGTCCTTTATCAAATTATGATATCATAATTACTAAACACGATACCTTAAACAATAAATGAGATATATCATTTTGTTAAATACCGGATTAATAATGTCAAGTTGGTTACTGTCCGGAAAGTTACACCCGGTTGCGAAGTTTATGATTAGACGTTCAACACTCACATCCGGTAGCTGACCTTTGCAGGTTGAAAATATTGCTGTTGGTAAGTAAATTATATATTTTGTGTTATTTCTTAGTATTTTATTTAATTATTTCGGCAGTGAGCTCTCAAACGACATACCGATGACTTTTGTTTCGTTTTGCTATTACTGGCATTCCTCAACAGTCTTTTTATCTTGCTCAGTATTGGTTTTATGTTGCAGTTGATTGCCTTGTAGAAGTTGTAGAGTTCTGTATTATGTGTCAATAAAGTAAAACATCTGGGAGTGTTAAGTACCTCTAATAAATTAAATTGATAAGTTCCAATATAAAATCATCCAATGGACAATGGTCAATTTGAATAGCCTACCGTCGGATGATTGTGGGATACAAATTTCTCTTAATCTTAGTGAGAAATTGAATTTGGTATTTCAGTTTTCTTCGTCTCTACTTAAAAAAATAACATATATCTATTGATATTGGTTTGTTTGTGAATCAATAAATAAAAAAAATGAATGATGAATGTATATATCGTGAGGACAGAGACTTTCATTAGGAGTGTATGAATGAAGTTCTAAGTAAACCTTTTAAAGAAGAAAACTGATTTGGAGTTAGCTAGCTAAGATCTTAACTAAAATTAACCATACATTTTAGGGATATATATATTAAACATCCCAAAATATTTATATGTTATAAACCATTGGTGCTAATGAGTAATCAGTAGATACTTATACAGCTAATTCCCTGTCATTCTGATCTCCCAGAGTTAATGCCCTTGGTTTTCCCTCTGTCATTATCTCCGATATATCCTACCACTTTTTCTGGATCAAGGCTGAGACGTAACCTCTCTCATTTCTACTGGTAGAAATTGGGAGTAGATAGGTTTAGACCAATTAGAGTTGATCTTACATATGCAGTTCTGTTTGAGATCAGGTTTAAGAACATACATTATTTTAAGTCTGCATTAAAATTCTCCAAAAAGATTTGACAAGGTGTTGATTTTCTAATTTATTGTTAACAATGTACCGAGATGGATTTGAACAGTCAAATGCTTCAGAATTGTTCAAACGTCAAATGCTAAATAATGATGTAGATACCCAAATTTAACAATGATAGTATTCAACTTTTAGAACTATACCAAAATGCATAACAGTCTTCACAAGCTGTTCATTATTATATCATCTGAAGGATGTTTTGTGATTGTCCATCTGATTAAAAAGACGTGTGCTTGTCAGTAATGGATGATGAAACTTTTTAAAGAGAACATAGATCAAGGACTTATCATGTAGACCTTCTATAGATACTTGGACATTTAAGTATTTGAGTGTAATTGAGAATATTTAAGTATACATATGTTTGGGGTTTTTTTTACCTTCGAGGATGACTTTTAAAAAAATTGCATCATAATGACAAAGCAGGACAGATGGCACATACAATTACACGAAATTCTTGCTTTTATTCAAATTGTCAATAACTTTGTATAGTTGTTCAGTTGATAATGATATGATGTGGTGGATTCCCATTATACTCTGTGATGGTAATTAATTAGGCACCATAGAAAGTTATTCACCTTAGGTTTCTTCGATTTTAAAATAACATTTTTCACAAACCTGTATACATGTAGATAACCTACTGGTAGTCTAATACAATATAATTAATTAATAATTAAAACTTTTTTCCCTTAAAACATAATTACACCTGTTGGTTACATAAGGTACATATTGAGATTATTTGAGTGAATTCTAGATGTATTTGAGTATATCTGAGTGTATTTGAGTAAAAAGTCATGCATACATGCTTATCAATCCTTGATAATGCATTATACCCCCTTTGTAGTATGTGAGGGTTTAATGTGGATGTATACAACATGTTTGTTTTGTATTGGAATCATATACTAATCAGCTGATTGATATATATTGAAAAGCATTGCAGTTAAATTGCATGAAAATAATTTTGGTGATGTTACATTTGATATTTAAGTTTTTAGATATATAAATATAAGCCCGCAAAACAGTACCTGATTGAGTACTCTGTATATTTTTTTTTTATTTTTTTTTTATCGCCCTTAAGAATTTTTTCATTTCCGATGAAATTATAGATGTCTATGTTGGCACCCATTTTTTAAGAAAAATATTTGGTGTGGGGCACAATTATCAACTTTTTTATGAGTCCTATATGACAGATGAAGAGGGTTCCACTTCTAAAAAAATTAGAGAGTTTCACAAAGTAAAGTGTTAGTTTAGATCCAGGATTCAAAAAAGCATATCTGTGCAAAAATCACTGCTTGTATTAGTCATATAAGTTCCATCGTTTAACAGGACAACTCTTCGATCACCATGTATGCCGCACATGCCCTTATTCTCAACATTAACAATCTTCTCTTGGTAATACTATATGCTTATGAAATACAAGTTATCCCCCCTTACTCATGTTTACTGCTATACAGCTATTTCATGTGAAATTTGGCCTTGTTTTCATTTTGTGTTTGCACAATAAATCGGATAATATATTTCCAATTAACAACAGGTGGAGGTATTTAAAATATCAAAGTACTAGGTAGTCCTTGTAAATTACAAGGTATAACTGAATAATATATATGATATCCTTAAATATATGAATACAAAAATAAAGATTGACAAAGTGCTCCCAAAATTTATCATACAGTCACTCTTGATAAATGAGGTCATGCGTTTTTAATTTAAGAACATGGCTGGAAAAAATTCCAGTTGGAATCCATGGGAGATGTTCAAAGAAACACCAGAGGAATTACAGAATATTGAAAAACGAAAGGCAATACGCTCTGTTGCACGAGCTGAATGGATGAAGAAAAAGACATCTCCTTACAGCAGTGGTTCTGGATATATTGTATGTATATTGGCTATTTTGTCTCAATTATGATTATCTATTTCAAGAACTATCATAGTAACTAAACACTTCAAGAATGAAATTAAAAATGTGATGTTATGTCACGTTTCCAGTCAAAAGACCATAATGATTTTATTTTGTGTTTCCAGTTCTTTCCCAGGTTTCATAACATGTAACCCTGTATGATAGAGTACAGACAGTCAGCAGTAGAACATGTAACCCTGTATGATAGAGTACAGACAGTCAGCATTAGAACATATAACCCTGTATGACAGAGTACAGACTGACAACATTCGAACATGTAACCCTGTATGATAGAGTACAGACAGTCAGCAGTAGAACATGTAACCCTGTATGATAGAGTACAGACAGTCAGTAGTAGAACATGTAACCCTGTATGATAGAGTACAGACAGTCAGCAGTAGAACATGTAACCCTGTATGATAGAGTACAGACAGTCAGCATTAGAACATGTAACCCTGTATGATAGAGTACAGACTGACAACATTAGATCATGTAACCCTGTATGATAGAGAACACATTGACAACATTAGATCATGTAACCCTGTATGATAGAGAACACATTGACAACATTAGATCATGTAACCCTGTATGATAGAGAACAGACTGACAACATTAGAACATGTCACTCTGTACATATAACCCTGTGTGATAGAGTACAGACAGTCAGCAGTAGAACATGTAACCCTGTATGATAGAGTACAGACTGACAACATTAGAACATGTCACTCTGTACATATAACCCTGTGTGATAGAGTACAGACAGTCAGCAGTAGAACATGTAACCCTGTATGATAGAGTACAGACAGACAGCAGTAGAACATGTAACCCTGTATGATAGAGTACATACTGACAACATTAGAACATGTAACCCTGTATGATAGAACTCAGATAGACAACATTAGAACATATAACCCTGTATAATAGAGTACAGACAGACAGCAGTAGAACATGTAACCCTGTATGATAGAGTACAGACAGTCAGCAGTAGAACATGTAACCCTGTATGATAGAACTCAGATAGACAACATTAGAACATGTAACCCTGTATGATAGAGTACAGACTGACAACATTAGATCATGTAACCCTGTATGATAGAGTACAGACTGACAGCATTAGATCATGTAACCCTGTATGATAGAGTACAGACTAACAACATTAGATCATGTAACCCTGTATGATAGAATTCAGATAGACAACATTAAAACATGTAACCCTGTATGATAGAGTACAGACTGACAACATTAGAACATGTAACCCTGTGTGGTAGAGCACTATACATGTGTATCCTTGGAGAATGTAATCATTTTTTTTTTATGTATATCTTTTTTTTAATCAAAAACTTTGAATCAACTATTATTTTCCTATCTGGTCATAATGTGCATGTGTGTGAGGTGTACACTAAAATAGAAACAATATGTACAGTTGAAGTAATACTTCAGAAAAGATAACCACATGTATAGAGGAATTAGGAATCTTTAGTATTCTCAGATTATTTACATCTAATTTTATTTGATTTCAGTTTGATCCAGCACTGCAGCGAATTGTGTCAGCAAAAATGACAAGATTTCAACACTTCAATGTTTCTTCCAGAACAACATTAAGTGGATTTCTGTTGTATGTATTCCCTATAGGTTTGCTTTGTTATTCGATGGACAAATATAAGGTGAGTAATATCAAACCAGTCATACTGACGTCATAGAGATTATTACAGTGACAATATCAGTTTTTCCCAAATTGAAAACCTTACTGATGTCATAATAAAGATTATCACAGTGACAATTTCAGTTTTTCCCAAATTGAAAACCTTACTGACGTCATAATAAAGATTATTACAGTGACAATTTTAGTGTTTCCCAAATTGAAAACCTCTTGTCAAATTATGAGGACTGATCAGTAACACTGAGTAATTCTGCATTTTCTGTACTCCATTTCTGTACATTATTGCACCTGGTTGTTAGTGAACATTTTTCTTCAAGGGTTTCTTTTAGCATGATAGCCTTTTATGATAAATGGAAATAAATTTTCAATTTAGCTTACAGTTCTGATATTCAATTATTGCATCAATTCAGCAGCATCAAGTATGAAATCTTTTAAATGATGCTTAGGGAAGGTAGACTACCATAACAACCCACATAATGTGTACAGTTCTTTTTTTTTTTTTTTTTTAAATAAATATCTTAAGTTTGGGTTGCGCACATTACATAGTTATAAGATTTCTTAGGGTTTTTCTCTTATGGAAAATTTGAAGATTCAATGGAGCCGCCATCCTTGTTTTCCAGGATTATCTGGTACTCAAAACTGACACAAAAAGGATTTGACGATTTATTTATGAACAAAAATATAAGATAAGATAACTGTATATATTGATTCAAACTATCTGAGTGAATCTCCTGCAAAACTTGGACGATGTGATTGAAAACGTGATAGCAACTAGACAGACAGAAAACTAACAATTGGCAAGGACAGTGCCCTGTTTGGGACATTAAAAAAATATGTCAATTATAATTTTATTATCTTTGAAAGCTTAAATGTTCAGCTGTTAAGAAAATGACAGGTTTTATTTTATTTTCCATCACATCAAAAATTTTTCCTTATTAGAGACATTTTTAGCTCACCTGGTCCAAAGGAATGGTGAGCATATACTGTGTTTTGGCGTCTGTTATCCATTCAGCATCTAGCGTTAGGCATCTGTCAGCTACTAGTCATGAACGACTGAACAGATTTCGAGAAAATTTTTGTGGGAGTGGAATATGTAAACGGTAGCCCAAAATAAGAAACGTAGTGAATTCTTTGAAATTTTTCTTTTTTTAGGAATTACAGGATTCTGTCCAAATTTGGTCTGAAGCATTTGTTGGTGAAGGGGAATAATTTTTAAGCTGGCCTGGTCTGTAGAGTCGAGTGCACTTTATGTGGAGATGAAGCATCTTTTGTCAGTCCATCAAGTTTGCCAAAATCTTTAAAAGACTTCTTCTAGAATGTCAGAGAATCATGATATTTGGTTCGTAGGGAAGAAGTCAGACAAAGTTTGGGAAAAGAAATAATTTGACCCACATTTGAGATCACATGGGTCAAATTTGTTACAATTTTGAAATGTCTTCTTCTTACCAACCAAAAGGCACAGAAGCATGGTATTTAGCTGGTATGTTTCTAGGATGAAACGCGACAAATAGTGCAGAAAGAAATTACCTTGATCCATATTCAAAGTCACTGGGGTTGAATTTCCTATGACTTTTAAACAACTTCTTTCGATTTACCAGAAGGTCTAGAAACATATTTATAATTGGCTAGTAATTATCTGAGATGAAGCCTTACATTGTTTGCAAAAAGAAATTACTTTGACTTGTGTTCTATTATCTGGTAAAACTTCAAAACAAATAGCAGTCTTGGAGATTAAAAATCGAGGGAAATTGCTGATCGGTTTTCAATCTCATAAGACTGCTGTTTGTTTTGAAGTTGAATCTAAAAGTGTAATACAAAGTTAATGTTTAAGAATCAGTAACTTACTGAAACATAGTCAAGGTAACCCACAATTTTTGTTTTGTTTTTTCTTTCTTTTTCAGACTGAATACTACAGAGGTGTGAATTCAGGAGAAATTACAGCTGACAAACAAACTTTGCGATTTATGTGGTAGATAAAGTTTATTCTGGTGTTGAATGACTGTGAACATTAAGTGACTGTACAAGCTCATAGAATTCTTTTCAATGGAATTTATTTGAGCAATCCTGAGTAGACAAAGTCTTAACAATAAAGAATTTTGTATTGTTACTCTGCAGTAGTTTGTTATTAGTCTCTAACTCTCTACAATTTGATCTTTTGTATTCAGTTGATAGTCTGGGATATTTTTGTTGAGGATGTTTTGACATAACAATAGATATCACTATACTATCCAGGAACCAGCCTGTCTACTAGTATGGATACTAGTTTTCACCCAAGTCTCCTATAGGCATTCTGGGGCATGCTCTCTCTCTCCCTACCTCCCTCTCTCTCTCTCTCTCTCTCTCTCTCTCTCTCTCTCTCTCTCTCTTAGTTGCTTCAAGACATCTACTTATGCACTTTTATTAATACTCATTAGGTCACAAATATATTTTATGAACTTGAACTAAATGTTGAACATTTCATGACACTCCTGATGGGAAGTGTTCCCATTTCCCAGTTCGGAGTTGTATTAATATTGTAGGGGTCCTGACTTAGAAATTCACCAGTTGATAGTGCTATCATGACTATTTATAACAACATAATCGGGTTTCTTATCTCCCCAGTTCTTTTGTCAAGGTCTCCAATTACAAACACCTTATGTAAGATGCTAAACCACCAATTCTTTATCATGACAATCAGTTGGTAAACACAATAAAGTTATGGAGACACTTTTCTGACCAGGGAAACGGCAAATATCAACTATATCATAAGAACGAAGCAAACCAGACATCATAAAATGGTGTTTATCAATTCCCAGTCTAGTCTAGATTAATACACTGTCTGAGATATCAGTGATTGATCACTTTTCTTGATTTATGTAGGATGATTGCCTGAATGATTTATACTGGGCCATGTACAGTAATTAGTATACATCTGCTGATTATTCCATACATTTTCAAAACCAAGCTTTTTTTAACAAAACAAACCCAGTTCCAACAATTTCTTTTTTTCTTCATTTCTTGAAACCATCATTTGCACAATTCAAAACATAATTTCCTAAGTAAGTAATTCAACCCAATATTTAAGTATTCTAAACTTTCTGTGATATTCAAGTGGAAAACAACCAACATTTAATTTAGTTCACAATCACTTATTCAAATTAATGATATAACTAAATGTCCAGAATTGTTGAAATATATCCTTAATTTGAATTATTGATATCAGTAACTGGAATTGAAGATATCACTAAATGAATTAACAATATCAATAATTTGATGTTGTGATGTCAATAGATATTTAATGATGAGCAGTTCCACCTGCAAAGACACCGTCCAGTATGGTGTTCCTTTCGTTACGGAGTGCATATTCTTTTTCTTTTTCCGTGCCACAAAGCCCTATTCTATGAAAGATCGTCTCAATTAGAAACGAGATTTCATTCACGTAAGATACAGTAACTCATATACATTATAAGACATCTGATTTATTCCAAAATACTTGATATGGAAATGAAATCTATAATGTTTAAGATGTAAATGATACCAGGTTTATGTTTATTGAGGATATCTTGTCGAATTTTACATGGATGGGATATTTTATATGATTTGGTGGAACAAAAGATTAATACGATGCAGTATAGAAGTAAATTATGTGCCAGGAGACCTTTTACCTCTGAAATGATTGGCTTTTATCACCTTCTTATGCGGAGTATGTACTGATCGGGACCATTCAATAGCAAAAATCTGAATCCAAAATATCATGAAAGAATGTGGGTACATGTAGAAGAAAATACTTCCCCGCAGTTAACACTCATTAAGAATACTATCTGATAAATCCTATTCAAGTTAATTTGGTCAACTCAACAATCGATAAACATATCTCATTATTTACATTGTATTATGACTGGTATTTATGTCATCTACTCTTGATCGATTCTTGAAATACTCGAATGAACCATTTAAATTCATCTGAAGTCTTGATGTTTTATGTAATGCAAACTTTTGATAAGATTGACGTGGATTATATTTTCTTAAATATTCTAAAATATCACCCTCAAATCTCATATATTGTCTCGTTTTCTTTGAGAAATCTTGTATATGAACTGGTCGTTCATGTCAACGGAGAATAAACCGTTTGGTATATTCATACGTGTCCTCTCGTGTCATTGCCCTTGACCAAACTAAACATTTTCACGTGTTGAGGAGCGTGGTCTGATGGGTGACACGTTGATATTTCCAATAATAGAGGAGCGTTTTGAAGTCAATAAAGACGGATTTGGCAAAAATAATCAAGAATACTCCAACTATTACGTCCACAATATGTATAAATTTATGGGAAACCTACAACATTCCTTCCATTATGAATTAATACACCACAAGCTTTATGTAATTCTATTTACTACCATATTCGGATTTACTACGTTCTGAACATGAACGTCAGATACACAAGACAATAAATGTGAATGTTGTCTGTCAACACTGCTGCTGCTATTGAATGTAAAAATGTAGTCACACGAATTACGAATGCGACTATAAAGCCCACCTGTTAACATTTCGCCTTCTCGGGTATAATGACCTATACTTTTTTTCTTATTCATAATATAGATCACAGGTTTATTGGTTGTTATATTGTACACATGCTAGAAAAACGATCTATTTTCTTTGCCCATTATTATTTATTATTATTTTTTTTTTTTTTTTTGCATTTTTAAGCAAACTACAGTCACGTGTTATTTCACAAATGGAAGTGAAATCTGTCAATTTTTGATTTAGCATGACACACATACCACCTCCCATTCTAATATCCAAGAGGTTTTGCTGTTTGTTTGATTCTGTCAGATAAGCTGGACGGACGGTAGGGGGTCGAGAATGGCCATCTCCCAGTGAGAGGACTGAACGGTTTCAATGTTGTATACAATAAACACTAAAATGGCCAATTGCCATTTCATAATTATTACGACATCTACATTTTGATAGAAATGCAATATCATATTGTTTATATTTAAAATAAGTTTTTTTGTCTTAAATTTTGAGTCCTACATCTATGATCCGGGGCATGATGTAACCGTTTGCAGGCGTGACCCGGCGCCACGAAGTCATAAATAGACTAGATTATTCTAACCGTAATTACATGCAGTATTATTCGTACATGTACATACAATAAACGTATTCTTAATTAAAACTAAATCTTATTATTTGTTTTTACAATTTATCCTTCAACTTAACACAAAATGTTAAGTCGATTATATAAACTTCAGTGTTATAGTGTGTAGGGCCTGAAGCTATTATATTGTCAACCCAACCTTATGTGATTATAATGTTAACCCGGTAATCGTCCTGTAGGACCTTATGTGATTAGAATGTTAACCCAGTAATCGCTCTGTAGGGCCTGAAGCTATTATAATGTTAACCCAGTAATCGCCCTGTAGGGCTTGAAGCTATTATAATGTTAACCCAGTAATCGCCCTGTAGGACCTTATGTGATTATAATGTTAACCCAGTAATCGCCCTGTAGGACCCGAAGCTATTATAATGTCAACCCAGTAATCGCCCTGTAGAACCTGATGTGATTATAATGTTAACCCAGTAATCGCCCTGTAGGACCCGAAGCTATTATAATGTTAACCCAGTAATCGCCCTGTAGGACCTTATGTGATTATAATTTTAACCCAGTAATCGCCCTGTAGGACCTGAAGCTATTATAATGTTAACCCAGTAATCGCCCTGTAGGACCTTATGTGATTATAATTTTAACCCAGTAATCGCCCTGTAGGACCATATGTGATTATATTGTTAACCCAGTAATCGCCCTGTAGGACCTTATGTGATTATAATGTTAACCCAGTAATCGCCCTGTAGGACCTTATGTGATTATAATGTTAACCCAGTAATCGCCCTGTAGGACCTTATGTGATTTTAATTTTAACCCAGTAATCGCCCTGTAGGACCTTATGTGATTATAATTTTAACCCAGTAATCGCCCTGTAGGACCTTATGTGATTATAATGTTAACCCAGTAATCGCCCTGTAGGACCTTATGTGATTGTAATTTTAACCCAGTAATCGCCCTGTAGGGCCTGAAGCTATTATAATGTCAACCTAGTAATCGCCCTGTAGGACCTTATGTGATTATAATGTTAACCCAGTAATCGCCCTGTAGGACCTGAAGCTATTATAATGTTAACCCGGTAATCGCCCTGTAGGACCTTATGTGATTATAATGTTAACCCAGTAATCGCCCTGTAGGACCTTATGTGATTGTAATTTTAACCCAGTAATCGCCCTGTAGGACCATATGTGATTATATTGTTAACCCAGTAATCGCCCTGTAGGACCTTATGTGATTATAATGTTAACCCAGTAATCGCCCTGTAGGACCTTATGTGATTATAATGTTAACCCAGTAATCGCCCTGTAGGACCTTATGTGATTATAATGTTAACCTAGATGCCGCACGGCCTATCCGCGACTGTTGACGCAACGTGTCTGCAGCGCAGCCATCTTGGGAAGGTATTGCCGCTAGCGCCAAACCATAGCTACACAGTGGGCCTCATGCTAGAAATCCCACTGAAAAAAGTGTAGCTCGGTCACTAGCCCACGTACCAACACAGATAATACTTCATTTTAAAGCTGAGAAAAAGTTCTATGCTGTTGTCATCTCAAATAGGAGGAATCAAAATTAAAGAAAAAATAACGGAAATAGTCAAAATGTAAAAAATATTGAAAAAATATACTCTTCAGTTATTTTGCATAGGGTAATTTTAACAATAAACTGACATATAATAACCCACCCACCCCCAAAAAAGGCGGGAAAAAAATCCAATAAAATAGAACAATTAAGAAATAATAAATAGCATTTTATTCAAATTTATCCTTTTTTGAAATAGTGATAAGTAACTTGATTGTGGCAATGAAAAAGGCTATATAGAAGCGAACATGTGGATCTATGGACCTGGTCCCTGGATAGGTGTTCACCCCAACATTAAATTTATTTTTAATGGCTTACATATCAAAGTGCGATCGGGGGAACGATATACACCAGGATTTACGCACTTAATTTGAAGAGTGAAAATATGTTTGAATACAGCAGCTCACGCCCTCTGACCATGAGATGCACAAATTAATAATATTTATATAGTCACGTGCAGCGTGACTGTGGGAGTCTAAGTAAAAACATGAAACTAAGAGACATTTTTATTCATATTTTAATACATAACAATATACAGGGTGAATCTAAATGACACAAGAAAATCAGGTGCACATTAAAAGTATGCCTTGATATTTATATGAGTAATTAATAAATTATATAATCCCACTGGCTACTTTCTTGAATTTTTGGTGCATTAGGAATGAGGAGACCACAGTAAAACAATGTAAGGTAACATACAATCGGATCTCGCTTAAGGGCGATTCTAATGAAGCAGCATGTTGTTTGCCTTCACACTGAACACTCACATACATGTGCAGAGAAGGTTAACCTATCACCTAACAACAGTTTAAAATTGATGCAACGACAATCACATCATTCATGACAGTAATGAAAACAAGTACAGTGTGTACTTGCTTGAAGTGTAAACTACTTTATCTTAAGTCCCATATTGCACCAGTCAATTACAAAGTATACACTCTCTACATATGCAGCACTGATACCATAAACCAGTCAACAAATCATGTCTTCTGTCTACATGTTCTGTATTCATCACTAATAAGCCCAAGATTTTGGTATATATTGTACAATTTATAGGTTAGTTGCTTATTTTGTGACCAAAATGAAACTACTGTTAAACACAAAAGGTAACTGTAATTAATCACACTACTTTGCACACATGTCAGTGCACAACAGCATGTAACAGCAAAATAACAAAAGAACCATCTCTTAGTATAGCTGCTCAAATACTTAATTATAGTATTTCAAAAACCCCTTTCATCATTACTTGAAACACTGCCTGTTACAATGACATCTACTACTTAAAACAATATATATGTTTACAAGTCAAAATGAATAGGCACTATCATACAAAGGTAAATCGGATAAGGCACACATTCTGTAGATCAATTTGTACATGTTAGTAACTTGACAGCTTGTACAATACCTTCCCAAGATGGCGGACGGCATCTAGGATTAGATATTTATGGATTTGACGACGAACGCTATCGTTTATCATGACTGTTTATAACATAATCGGGTTCCCTATTTCACCAGTTCTGCTGTTAAGGTCTCTAATTACAACACCTTACGTAAGATGCTAAACGACCGCTTCTTTGTCGTGACAATCAGTTGGTAAACACAATAAAGATAAGGAGACACTTTCCTGACCAGGGAAACGGCAAATATGTCATTATTACGAAGTAAAACAGACATCACGGAATGGTGGTCATTTGTGTTATACTCGTTACACAAACGTGCTGCGGGGGCATTCCATGAAAACTAGCATTCCACGCGGTGAACACGATAGAGTGCATAATTTGTCTTGTTTAAAGTTATCGCCATATGGGATCGTATCATTTACATATTTTGCTACTTTCGCGATCCTTTTGAACTCCAATCAATGTGGCATTAAAACCCAGTCATTCTATGTGTTAACGCCAGAATTCAGATGTCGATCATATTGATTTTATTGCGTTTTTAAGAGAAAACATTTTGATAAATAGATATTTTGAAATATCAAAAATGTATTTTAATAATGATATTTACGGCCGATGAAAAACATTAGAAAATACCAACAAGTCAACTAATCATAACTCAAATTCAATAAAACTGGGGAAAATATGTACAAAAGAAAGATCTACCGGTGACTCATGTAAAGGTACAAGGAAAGTAAGACCAAGTGCTCTAGAAGAATAAGCGTCTTCTTCGACTACACCCGCCATGTAAATCTTGGTCAATCCAAGTAATTAATGTCAGTTCTCAAATGAGAATATGGTAAACAATAAAATAAAACAGATGATTTGGAGCCGTTATTTCTACTCAGGATTGAGCTATTTGCAAGTCTGAATTGAACAATATCTCAATGAATACACATGGGAACTGTATAATATGAGAAGTTCACCATATTTTCAATGTCATTGCATTGTTCAGAACTACTGATTGAAGTCAGATTTAGTAACACATAGACTCTTTCAATGTTGACTAAATAAAAATATTTGAAAACGGTAAGTCCGTCATTATCTCAGAAAACACGTTCTTATCGTAAATGTTAATGGTTCTTAAGTGAATATTGCCATCGTTAGTTTTTGTAAATTTTATTGGTTTTGATTTTGAATAACGAGTACGAATTTTCTTTGACAATGAAGTGTCTGACACTTGTCTGACCTGCAATGAAAACCATCTGAAATGGATTCTCTAAATTTCTCGTTGTCACAAATCCAGAAATCGTTAATTGTAACTGCTGTCAGATATGCTTTATCTGTAATCACGAATAAAGCCAAAATAGCTGTAATGATATAAAAGTGATGTAGAAAAGTCTAAAAGATCAATCTGTTTCTGTCTGTCAACCAAAACCAAAATAGCCGTAATGATATAAAAGTGATGTAGAAAAGACTAAAAGATCAATCTGTTTCTGTCTGTCAGTTTATAGATGTTACAAGTCTAACGTTATGATATTGAACCGACACCAAGTAAGGCTTGACATAGAAAACGAAAATAAAACAAAATGTTGTTTGGACATAGATTTACTGGCATTTCAGATATACACAACAACAAAACTAATTGTTATGTTGAACTTCCGTAACTTTTAGACAGCTGTTGTAACGTTGACCACCAGAATAGTAATCGCTCAGTATTTGATACGATTCTGTATGTATCATTAAAAATCCTTTAGCATATATTTCTTTTATCGTTGCATTTTTGCTTGATATTTATCAGGTAAAGCGACATAAATTGTGACTTAGGTTTTTAACAACATAATCCAGTTTTAATGAGCCACATGTTTGATAAAATATCTAATTCGTTTGATTAAATATCACATCCTTAAAACCTCATAGATTTCAAATGGATTTCCAAAAATATGTTCACAATGATGTATTAAATTTACTGAATATTTGAATATGAATACATATTGTAAATATCCTAGAAATGTTTAAGATACACATACTTCAGGTGTATAAAACATGCCAGCGGCTGACCTCAATATGTTGCATGCATGTTGTACGTTGGAAACAGAAAAATTATCGTAAACTTTCGGTTAATTGATGATGAAATACCAACCAATGCATATAAATAACACTAGGACAGTCAGTTAACTCATAAACCAGCATCACAACGCTCTAGATAGAACATCAGCAGTGTCGGTAAGTTTTATTTGCGGACTTTATTCTATAAACAAAAATAATAGTGATAACATATAAGGCATTTTAAGTCAGAAAATAAACGTAGGATACTAGTAAAGCATGACAATTTTACAGTTACTGAATAATTTTGAAGAATATTTAACTGTAACAGTGCAGCCGTGGAACATCTAGTTATGATAAAATGTTGTGGTGCTGTTATTGTAAATCTTGTTGTGATATGTTGTAGGAATATTGCTGTATTAACTCGCGTTGTCACACACGACAGTTATGGTAACTTTCTTTGTGACGTAATGGCGTATTGTATTTGTAAAAATGTCGTCATTGAGAGTTGTAGAAGTAACTCTTGTTGTCACATACATAGGAGTACTGTGCTAGCAACTATTATTGTCCTTTATATATGAGTGTGGTAACTCTCGTTGTCACTTATATAGGAGTGTTGTGGTAACTATCATTGTCACTTATATAGAAGTGTTGTGGTAACTATCATTGTCACTTATATAGGAGTGTTGTAACTCTCATTATCACTTATATAGAAGTGTTGTGGTAACTCTCGTTGTCACTTTGTTTGAAATACTCTGCTGGTAACTCACGTTTTTATTTTCGTTGTTAAGTAATGTTAGCATATTGTCTTTGCCGTTGTGACGCTGGAGTATGATGGTAACTATCGTCATGATAAGACGAAAGACACCCATGCATTGCCAATAGAAATTCTATGGATTGTGATAAGAAAAGACCGATTACTTTTCTAAATGTCTGTAGTATATGATCAGTTTCGCTGTAAATACATTGACACATTACTCTTCAGGTATACCCGTTTACATTCAACCCAACGATGAAACTGACACTTTTTGTTTTGGCAATTTGCATTGCTGTTGCGATGGGAAATACTACTAGTGCCCCACGCAAATTTAACAGAGCATGTAAATGTACGAAAGAAATGGATCAAGTTTGTGGTGACGATGGCGTTACCTATGACAACGACTGTCTACGAAGGTGCAAGTAAGTATACATAGGAGGTACTTAATTGATCAAAACTACTATAGTTTTAGAACAAAAATGCTTTCAAGAGGTTACTGGAATAACGCTAAGGTTGCCTAGTGTTTTCGTTGAAGATTCCCTTTCCAAACAATGTTCAGTTATCAAGGCAGTATATCAATGGCTGCCTAGAGTTTTTCGTCGAAGACCCCCTTTCCAAACAAAGTTCAATGTTGTATATTAATGGTGAATTCCTTCTTGTGATATTAACACGGTGAAACACAGATGTACATTGTAATTAATCAATGGTACGTGTACGCTATAGATATTTATTTGTATGGAAAATATTAGAATACATTAGCTAAAACTTTTAAGCTTATATATCTAAAGTTGTAGCAAAGTGATACAGAAACAGGAATTAGGATTTTTGCCGATCGGTTCGAAATTTCTTAATATCTATTTGTGTTAAGGAAGGCATAAGTACAGTATCAACGTCATTCTGTTTCAGTGAAGTTGGTCTGCTGCACACTGGAGAGTGTGAGGATGACTTGTGTATCTGTGGCAGACGGTACTATCCAGTGTGTGGTGATGACGGACTTACATACCCTAACGACTGCGAGATGAACTGCAAGTAAGTAACTGTGATGTAGTCACCCGCCGTCGGTGATGACGTATGGTAAATAGATTAAATGTGAGGATTATTTTGTAAAACCGCTTTTTTTAATGTGTGAATACTATTGGAATGGATAATACGAAAACAACTATTGATTTACGTCTGACACGTTCTGGGTTATGAACTTTTTCTGATCTCTTCATATCGTTTTATCGGTCTCTCACTTTACTTCGTTTTAGAACACAGTGAACAAAATATTGAATTTTTCCTTTAAATACAAGTTGTCGGTGTGTGCTGTATGCTAAAATGACATACGATGTTAGATGCATTGTAAATAAAACGCTATAGCCATCGATTTAACTTCACTTTTATCTCTGTTTTCAGAGGAGTGAATTTTGACCACGACGGAAGCTGCGATAAGTAAAAACTACAAAAACAGACGAAACATTATGAATAATCAAATGTAAATTGAAATAAGACATTGAATACACCATCAAGGAAGAGACTACGTGTCTTTTACGGCGTAAACACTACATTCAATAAAGTCTTTGTGTTTTGTCACCATGTACATGTATGTCACCAGATCAAATGTCATAGTTTATGCATTAAACATGAAAATTCCTTTGTTTTCTGTTGTATTTATTTAGAGTCGTTGCTCATGTGGATTTCATTTGATGAAATGCTATTTCTACATCTTCTGGTATATATAAGCGGGTTTGTTTTTGTTTCTGTTTTTTTTTTTTTTTTTCTTTTTTTTCTTTCTTTTTTCTTTTTTTCTTTTTTTCTTTTTTTTTCTTTCTTTCTTTTTTTCTTTTTTTTTTTTTTTACAAGAGCATCAATATCTTTCTTGATAAAGACGACTGTGCATTAAAATTCACAATTGTTTCGAAGCTTTTTGTTATACTTAAATTCTAAAAGGATATAAATTCTATAAATTCATTGTGGAGCTAAATATTCTTATTTATATATAACTTTATGCCTCATCCCTGATGATACTAGAAAGCTTCATTCAAAATAGTGAGGCACTTAGTTTTGAGTGGTTGAATATATAGATCATTTACAGAATGTGAATTCGCCAAAACATGGTTACGTGTGAATCAATACAAGACATGGTTACGTGTGAACCAATACAAGACATGGTCACGTGTGAACCAATACAAGACATGGTCACGTGTGAACCAATACAAGACATGGCCACGTGTGAACCAATAAAAGACATGGTCACGTGTGAACCAATACAAGACACGGTCACGTGTGAACCAATACAAGACACGGCCACGTGTGAACCAATACAAGACTTGGTCACGTGTGAATCGAAACATCATTAAAAAACATTTACAACACGTTAGTGAACTTTTTACGATGTTAGTTATTATAACGTAAATAACAAATATTCAAATCAATATGAAATGTGATAATGACGTCGACTTCACTTATTCCTCATGATAACACATAAATACTATGTAACCTAATCAAATTATGTCAGCCTTTACTGTCATTATATGCCAAACCGAAGTATTACATGAATATAATCAGTTACTAACATAACAACATCACGTGTCAAATAATTTTCAAAGAAGTCCATGTTTTCAGTAGAATGTACTGACATTGTATGGGAAATTTGAAAAACAGAAAAGACATGAGGTACTAAATACGCTTGTGACAATTTTTAGTACAAAAAACAACAAACAAGACAGATCTTATCTGAACCAACAGATGGTCAGTTACTTTTTTCTGTGTTTAACTTATACGATTGGGTTGCCTCATTTATTTACGATTGGGCAAGACAATATATTTTAACGGAATATGTAAAATGTGTTAGTTTGCTCTGTCGGTATAATGCCTAAATCTATATTCCTATTGTGTCTGCACGCCATGTCAATACAGTGTATATAGTTTTGAACAGGCGATAAATCTAAACAAAACTGATTTGATTTACGAAAAAAGCTTTATTCTGCATTAAAGTTTGAAAACGTATATGCACGCAAACGTGATGTTGATCTGGCAGAAACCTGCAATGAAAGAGAATACTCATAACAACCGTCATCTTTTTATAGATTAAACGTCCTCCGAGAGTAAGTGTCATAGAACAGGTGTCATTTAACGAGGATTATAAAATAGGCGTTATTAAACTTAGCGACAATCTTTAACTGCGAAACAGTAATAAAAGGCAATACAATCACGTAAACAAAGAATTAAACTAGGAATCAATATGGTCAAAAACGAGCACCGCTAAACACATCAAAAGATAAGACGAGGTGTTCGGGAAGGATAACTAATGAATATTACTAAACACATCCAAAGATAAGACGAGGTGTTCGGGAAAGAAAACTAATCAATACCACTAAACATATCCAAAGATAAGACGAGGTGTTCGGGAAGGAGAAATATTGAATACCACTAACACACAACTAAAGATAAGACCTGGCGTTCGGAAAGAATTAATTATCGAAACCCCTGTTCCAGGGGGGTAATAAATTAAAGCCCCTTAGCACACCCAATCATAGGAATAGGTGTCCGAGATGGATTCACATTGGAGATCCCTAAGCACGTCCAATGATAAGACCAGGGGTTCCCAAAGGATGATCAAATGAAACCCCTAAACACCAAGGATGAGACAGGGTGTTTCAGGAGGATAAATAATGGAAACTGCTGAATACCTCCTATGATAAGAGGAGGTGTAATAAAAGGATAAACGATGGAAATCGCTAACTACACTGCTTATAAATTCAGATGTTCCAGAATGGTAAGCATACGCCATCTATGCAATTGAATTAAGAACTGGAATACAAAGGAAATCTTACTTCTTTTTTTATTCTTAATGAAAATAATGATGATATGATTTAAACGACCGTGAATTATAATGTTTGAAAATGCTTTGGATTGCATTTTGAAAATCACTGATTGAATGAATTTCTATTAAATTAATGGTAGCATTATTGGTTGAAGCGTGAATACACACACCACCACCACAACCACAACCATCGGCACCAACACCCTCAAACTAACACACCTTCATTAACCGACTCTCTTTTTTCACGTGAACCTTATTTAATCAAATATCTAATGAAATGAAGAAGAAAGTTGTGATCTTGCGAAGTCAAATTTACTTTTCTATATAATTATGAAATTCCCTTTAGTAAATACTAGCTACTGTCCTAAAGATATGACGTAGATTTGGAGAACCACCATGTACTCGCTTTGAATATTATGTGAGAGAACATGTATTGAACCAAGTTAACCAAAGGTATCATTTTAAATAATATGTTTGAAAAATAACTGCATATGATAGAAATAGAATATATGGCACGACTTACCTGTTATGTTGCCTACGAACATTTAGTTTCAGGATCAACTCGTGTGGTATCACTGTTTGAAATAAAGCAAAAAAACAAATTGAAAGATTCCAGAATTAATTATTGATGAGAGCAAATTAATGCACATTTAGACTCGTGTTATATGAATATGAGATTTTCAAATAAAGTCATTTGACCTATTGACAATATGTCATCGCCGTGTGTTTGTAAATCATAAATATGCAATTGAATTTCGCTACACATGCTTTATTGTTATAAAAATAATTTCAGATCATTGTCAAATGAAGATAAAAGGATACAAATACTTTGCACTAAGCAAGGAAAAGTTACCACAGAAATTCCAATAAGCATCTTATATTTAAAGTGATTTTGGATCCTTTCTAGAATTAAGATAAATAACAAAGTTTGATTTGTTCATTCAAATAACTTTGATCGTCTGTTTGCTTGTTTGTTTACTAATTATATTTCCCTGGAGGCTACGGGATGCCCATTACACAGGTTTGTGAGAAACAAAAATCACTACGGGTATGGAGCGTCGAACACCGTTACTCATGACAATTATATTACCTTGTAACACCGCCCGTAATAGTCTAAGGTCACTCCTCTGAAAACAATTCAATTCATATCTTTTTAAGCTTATTTGTTTCCATTTTGTTTTTTTTTATCCAGCTGTAATGCATGCTTTATACGTAGTCACATATATATTCATTAATTGATGATTTCAGAATCATGAATTTCCTTTGTCAGTTGTAACACTTGGTTTTATAGTAAATAAGATGTATATGGTAATGGCCTGATTATGACAACTAATTATGCTTGATAATTAGTGCTTCTTTAGAAAAATCAACTGATTAGAAGCTATTCTTTCTAAGTCTAAGCTTGATCAGAGGGTTTCTGGTACAAATTGTATTATCTCGCCTTTTTGTTTCGCATTGCTAACTATGCTTAACGTTTCGCATCGTAAGTAATCATATCAATTATAACTTTAAAAAACTTAAATGTATTATTAGTTTGTACTTACTCGCACTTCATTGTACACTTGTTATTGTAAGTATTTCCATCCATTCCACAAACAGGAGAATAAATCTTTTGACACGCACATAGCTAGAAATTTAATATCACAAGCTTAGTACACACGCACGCACACAAAAGGCTTATAGATATATACGGCTTAATATTTTCTAAGTATTACGTTTCTTGGCGATAAAAATTTTCAACGACTATTCCATATCATTATCTGTTACGACGATACGACTTTACAATACAATACCTTTCTGCATTTCCCATCATAATCCCATGACACATTTCTGCAATGACAGGACAGCACAGTACAACAACATGAAAACACTAACTTGTCAACAAAATCTTAATTCAAATTCACGATCGATGACACGAGGGCAAATTATTCACAAGAAAACATTTAAGGCCAAGTGTTCAGGATCATTAGATGTCTTCAACAACAACAACAAATAAACCAATAATTATTCTAACAAGCATCTTATCTTAAGAGTTAGAAATGGAAATATCACATTAAGAAACCAAAATCATAATGCCTGTCATATTGATCAGTGGAAACATGTCCCTGTTGGCTTTCTTGTAGGAAAATATCGTGGTAAACGGCTGATGTAAAAAGGGTCAGTTGTGGCATGCGGGTTATGGCAAACCTCGAAGAACTAAGTTCATCAACAGAATCTATCCTTTGATTATGTTAAGAATCATAAAGTGAGAATGTAACGATTAAAATACCGTTTTTGGTCCGTTTTCTGTAATTATCTTGACTGCTGAGAACATTATGACTTAATTACTTCTTTTGATGATATTACATATTGTACAAAAGTGAATAACACCTTTCAGTACAAATTTAGAATCAGATACAGTAAAACTGACGAATAAAACTGCATCATGCAAGTCTTTCGTTCATCTAGAAAAGAATATCAAAATCTAAATGAGGTGTAATACTAGTCAATAAAAGTCGCGTTTTTCATATATCTGATCATTTTGAAAAGGCGTCCTCCATTGTTCATGTATATATTATGAACCGTTTAATTCATTGTTTGACTCTAATTTATCTTATTCTAAAAGATATGTTAAAAGATTCTTTTCACTTCTATGTCTTCTGTACAATATAGAGGACTAAAAGGATATGATAGGCTACATGAAATATTCCATAATTCAATGGTCAACAATAAACGGATTTTATGCTTACTCGCAGTTCATAGCGCACTGGTTAGGGTATGTCTTCCCATCCATTCCACAAACAGGATCCCAATTCAGCGGGCAAGCACAAACCTATACATAGTTGTAACATTGATTTTATAAAGCATTTCTTACACATGAGAGAACGTACTCGAAGGCCGAAATCAGTATATTGATTTGAATTGAAATCGGGCCATTCCGTGGACGTCTTTTGACAACCCTTATTTTTCCCTTGCAGGAAGATATGTTTGGGGGTCGAAATCGAGAGGGGACCAAAATGAGGAACGGGTCAAAATGGAATTGCTGCTGTTCAATGTTGTGAAATTGCAGTTTTTGTGTTTTCTGCAGAATAAATATAAGGTTTCAAGAACCAAGTACAAAACAACTTTCAGACACCTATGAAAAAGGTCACACTTAGACAATGTATACTTCGTCTATTTTCACGAATTTTAAATTGCTTCAAACCTTCCGGTAACCGACCTTGGAATAAGTGCTTGGTGACCATGAAGGGTAGAGAAAGGGGAGAGTTTAAGGGATTAGCAAGCACTTTGGGTGGGTACTAGTATATCTTCGCATCCTCATTTGCCAGTGATCATTTCTACCATATTTGACCGACACAACAAGGAAAATAGCAACATGTAAACAGAATCTTAATTATACGACAAGTAGTCTTCTAGAAAATACTAAACATTGAAAATGCACTTTGTGACTTTGTTTCGAGCCACGCAATCATGCTTCTAAAGCAACTTTGGGAGCAGCAATTTTCAAAGTACAATAATGATTTTTGTGTGTCGATAAGCATTGTATATATTTTATGCTGTATTGTATTATATACATTAGATATATTAATATAGCTTAATGTAAATATTCGAGTAATTTTTATTTAGAAAAAATCTTGCTTCATAACACCTATATCCCCATTCCTAACCACTCTTCTTAACACCGAAGTGTTGTGACCGCACAAATTCTGACAACGTTTAAATAGCATACTGAATGCAGTTGATCTTAAAGTACCTTACTGCAGACAAAACATGACTCAAAATAGTTCAAACTGGCACCTACCCTCTTCTTTTCACGACGTCCAACAAAAATACTTCATCTGATATTTAGTGAATTTCAAATCTATCTTTATCCATTAATTCTTTTACGTATATTTGATATTTCTACGTGTGGTATTAACGATTCCTTAACGGTCTATAATATCAATACCAAAATTGCCAGGTAGCGATAATACTATAATCCATGAAAATTAATATATGCCTTCACAATTAATCTGATACCTGTTTGCATACCTAACTGTCACGTGCTGGGCTATTTGTATTGTTTTATTTCATTATTAACACATCTTAACATGTTATTGTATTTATTATCATAATCCCTATGAGCACATTTCGATAACTTTTTAAAGATGCGTCGACTTAGAACTTAACCTTGTTGCATTTTCCACGATAGTCCAAGGAAACTCCTCTGAAATTAGAAATTAAAAATTGCATGACATGAATATGATATAGATATTGCTTAATATACATTATAGATATTGAGTTCATATTAATATTTAATTTAGAAAATAGCGGCACGGTTTGCTCTTTGATTCGTAAGACACACTTCAAAGGGCCATAAAAGCTCATATCACAAGAATTAATATTTCATCGATCTAAACGTTATTTATGATATAACTTGAAACATTTGAATTCGTCTTTACTTACTCGCAATTCATTGTGCACTCGTTATCGTATGTATTTCCATCTGTTCCGCAAACTGGGGCATAAATCTTCTGGCACCCACATAACTAAAATCATATACCATAGCATCTTAAGTATATGATTGGAGACGATAATATTTCACCCGTACTTTTATGTAAGATTTTTAAAAAAATAACTGACTACCATTTTTCAAAGTATTTAATGCGAGTTTAAGGCTATTCGGTAAAGATAGCTATATGATACATTGTGACGTAAGAAAAGGTTAATAGAATGACCTCACATGACGATACCTTTTTACATTCTCCATAATAGTCCAAAGAGCCTCCTCTGAAATCATAAAAACGCATTTTAATGATGCGTCCCATCACATTTTAAGTATAAAACTTTTTTGTTACACGTGATACACCGTTCATTTTTTAAAATGTATTGCAGTTATAAACGTTCAATCTCGGAATATTATAGAAAATAGTCTGGAGCATTATTTTTTCTATCACAAAAGACTGACGGCTGCAAGCACGGCAAGACACATAAATATGGCTTAAATGTGTGAGTGTACCAAAATGTTAATACAGCTGATTATGATCAGAGATCACTGTAGTTCTTGGTTGAACAGGCGAGACGAAATTCTACCAAAGATATTTTCTCAACGCAATGACTATAATCAATGTGCTTACGCGCAGTTCATGGTACACTCGTTAGGGTAGGTCTCCGCATCCATTCCACAAACAGGATCCCAATTCAGCGGGCAAGCACAAAGCTACATGTAAAATATTAATGAAATGTATTCCTTCCACAAAACTGTATAACACAATTGGATCTACGTAAAATGGTGGTTTAATTCATAGTACAATGCTTCCTTTTTTAATCAGTTTAAGCATTAATGACCTTGAGTAATGCATAATACTTAGTAGCCTGTTTGGTCATATCATGAAAATGGTATTTACAAGTCTAAATGGAGACCGAAATGTTCTCATCCTCAATACTATACCACTAGAATCTGATATATAGATAGGACAACCATAAATAAATACATGCACTTTTGCACTTAGTGTTTCGTGAGTTTGGGTGTGTCTGATTAGCTAATGCTTTTCTTACCTAGATTAAACTGTTCGTCATTTAATAGAAACTCTTTGATAATTACCTTGTCACAAGTGCCGTAAAAATTCAATGATACTCCTCTGAAAATTTATCAAAATCACATGATACGCATAATCAAATATTCATATGTAATGTAATTAATTTATGTTGCTGAACAATATTAACATCATTTGCGATCGTGTACGAAGGAAATATTTTGCTTACAGAATATATGATATATTGAAATCCATGAAAATTATGGGTTACACGTTGTTATGATAAGAATACTTTAGCGCCAAAACCAGTTGGAACTGCGGAATATGCTATACAAAATGCAGCTTTCAATATTCAAATTAGACCAGATTAAACTAAATTAATTCTACACATTTTCCAAAGATTTCAACTTTAATCTAATTACGACGAAAGTACCACGATTTCGACCGAAGCATTCTCAGTTTTCCAAATGTCAGACTGATATATATTGTATACGTTTTGTATCAACTCTCAGTCATTATTATCGTGTCATTATAACCAAAAATACCAATGTAAGTATAAAAATAATTAATAAATACGATCGGTTTAAATATAGCATAGGAATACATTTCTCTACTTTTAAAAGTCACTTCGTAATCATATTTTGGTCATTTTTTTATTTTATCAATTCTACATACGCATGGGAAACATTGAAGTAATCAAATCATATTGATTCCAGTTTAGTAATTAAAATATGTATGTAAATAATTTTCTTACTCGCACTTCATTGAACACTCGTTATCATAGGTATTTCCATCTTTTCCGCAAACGGGATCATAAATCATTTGACATCCACATAACTGTAATATACAGTGAATATATGATTGATTATAAAACATGTAAAACATGTAAAAAAAAAAAAGTAGTTTTTGAAAATAAGTTATGAACAATTTTATGTAATTCTTTATTATATTTTATATGGAGACTCAAAAAACTACAATACCTTTTTACATTCGCCGTGATAGGCAAAGGACACTCCTCTGAAAGAAAAGATGAAATAGTGTTTAACTTTAACTTGATGATGATGATGATGATGATGATGATGATGATGATGATGATGATGATTGAAGTGTTTCCCTTTGCCATTAAATTATTTATGTTATGATATCGTATTACACTTTATTGTGTTGTCACACATTGAAATACCAAATGCAACCATATATTTTATCAATTACACGGTAATCATTTCAACAGTATGAATTGTTAATTGATCAATTAGTATGTGATATACGACTAACTAAATAGTGGGTGCTTACTTGCAGTTCATTTCGCACTCGTTAGGATAAGTATTCATATCCATTCCGCAGACAGGGTCCAAAATCATTGGGCATGCACAAACCTAAACATATATTTTATGTAGAAAGAAGGGCATTCAAAGTTATATATAACACAATCTCATATAATGAATATTAGATATAGTTTATCAATTTCATGGCGAAGAACCTGTAAAGTCTCAATTTCCGATGGTTCAATTTTTTGTGATTTTATCACAACCTTTAAGTAAACACCATGTATTTATCACGCAAGTCGTGAAATGGAGCGTAGCTTTCTCTACTTTTTTACTTTTTTAAAATTCGTTCCTAATTCTCATTATCATTTTCAGTTTTTATTTCCATAACAGTTTTTTCATCTATATTCAATTTCATCGATATTTCTCTTTTTGATTTGATTCTAATTATCTTCAAGTCTTATTGTAATCTATATTTTAGCAATTTTGATTCAATTTTGAAAATAATAGGAAAATACTCGAATAGGACTCTCTTTACAATTATTTATTTATGCTGTTGGAATGTTCAGAAGTCCTTTATGTTTGACCAAGGATATTTATAGCTTAAAAGCAACCAGTATGCCATTACCTCGTTACAAAGACCGCTGTAATCCAAATCAACACCTCTGAAATAGTGTGAACACAGAGTAAATGGTAATTTCATACTCATTTCGCTTTAACTTTAACACATGTACATGAATGATGTTGCTCATACATTGATACATTGATGGTCTTTCAAACGGCACACAAAAAAAATCCTCAAACTATCCAGAAATCGTATAATGCAACGAGAAGAAAACTGCGACAAGTTAACGAAATCCAAATTTAAGTTTGATATCATGTCATCTGAGACTCTTCGGGGTCTTAATATGGCTTGCTGTAATTGTGAAATTCATGACTTCAGGATATAATTTTTTCCCTTGAGAGGGGGTAATTTGCTTAAAAATTAAAAATAAAGGATATACAGGTAAAGCTATACAGGTATTTTGGTTCCGGGACAGAATTTCACACATTTCCACAAAGGCGTTAACTGACAAACGGATAACGACAGTGCGTTGTTGTTTACCGTGTATTAAGAGTTTAATGAGTGACTGGACATATATTGCAGTTGAACTGCGTACTTACGCTTACAATCTATGCTATTAAATCAACAAGTTGATTCATCTTTACTTACTCGCATTTCATGGCACATTCGTTATCGTAGGTAATTCCATCTGTTCCACAAACAGGGTCATAAATCAGATGGCACCCACAGAGCTAAAATATATATAACATCTTTTTGATGTGTTTAGGTAAAAGCAAACGGTTCCGTTTATAAAAGGAGGTTATATGAAATAAGTCACATGACAATGTGTTGTTAATGTATAAATTGAATTATCGAAGTCCATAAATCACACTAATGTTCTTAAATACCTTATGTTTTTATACGACATACCTTACATTCTCCGTGATAATCCAAGGAGACACCTCTGGAATAACGAAAACAACATATGTATTGTCAACAATTCAAAATCTAAACTTTGATATGGCGAGCAATGACTATATTAGCAGGTGTTTCATCGGCCTTTTGAATTGAGGATGTTCTATATCAAAAAAGTATGTTTAAGGGTGACGAGATCTAAAATCATGTCGTTGTATAATATTGTATTACAAGTGAATTATATCTTAAATTAAGCGGAGTAAATTAAACATAATAACTAAAATAATAAACGAATCAAATTTCATCCGTTGTTCAGCTAAACAAAAATGTAGTGTATTTATCGAAAGTTTATTCTAACGATCATCTAAACTATGTCACGATTGACAGTTTGTCATTAGGAGGAGACAATATTTTATTTTTATAAAATAGATAATTTATGATTCATAATTATGTCGTGAACACGCTAATATTGTGAATTCACAACAAAACGTTTTTGACTGTTGTGAATCAATAAAATAATTAATTTATATGAATTTGAAAATCATTTGAAAAACACTGAAATTAGATATACATTTTTGAACATATCCGTTCTTTCAAATGATGCGCAGCAATAGATAACAAATGTTACTATAAGTCAAGCAATCAATTCTTTTATATTACATTATACGTACTCGCATTTCATTGTGCACTCATTGTCGTAAGAATTACCATCCATCCCACAAACTGGGTCGTAGATCTTCTGGCACCCACAAAGCTACAAGGCAAAAGCGGTTTAATGTCTGGAAAATGATAGTGATATGTACTGAACGGTACCAAATTAATCAATGATTTTAATGTTTCACAAATAAATAAATAAAAGAAGGTTTTTTTCAGTTATGTATCTCTCTCAACATTTTAATTTCTTACCCTAGCTTCTGCTAACATCGGATTCATCAGCACACCAACAAACAACAATCCAATCACTGTACTCTTCATTTTCGTATACCTGTTTAAGATTAAAGGGTTATACTTTAAGTATTAATTTTTCTGCAGGACTGCATTCTGTAGATTACGTTTTTCCATGAAATTGCTTAATACTAGTGTTTGCACACTTACGTAATTACCTGAAATTTCACTTTGGTTTACGCTAGTTTTACTACAAAATAGGTTCACTGTTTGTTAAAATCTACTTTTATACACCTATATCGATTCCAACAGATGTCCTTCCGACTAATTAAATCAGGATAATCTAATCATTGTATAATCTACAATATCTAATTAAGCACGTGTTCAATTCAATGTCTGGCCTGGAAATATGTTGTTCAAACATGTACATTGCTGATTAGGTCGCAAAATGTCAGAAATTAACTTTTTCATGGAAGGATTTTTGAAAGGAAGGATTCAAGAAAACAATTTGAAAGCAAAACATTGATACGTTGCTGTACTGTTCAACTTTCATCAAGCCAATTGTACAAAAGACACATAAGTGAAAAACCATACTCAGTACATATTTAGAATTAAATACACTAGAGCTAAATTATGAAGTAAAAATAGTTCATGCAACTCTTTTGAAAGGACTCGTCCGGGATGCTAAGGACCTTTATTTTGGAACCTAGGTGGCGGCTGAAGAAATACAATGATCTGAATGTAAAACTCAATTGTCAACAATCATACGGGGAGGTATGACCAATAATTGAATAAACTTCGTATTTTTTAAGTATAAATTTAGGTGTATATTCTGAAGCATGCTGCTAATCGATATGACGCTTATGGCGAATATCGGGGACTTAAAACCCACCTGTAGAAATGTTTATGATTAAAAGATAAGGTGTCTCTGTGCTATATATTTATCAATTTCATCCAGAAAGACATTTCCTCCAGCTGGAATATCAGACATACACTTAAATAATTTGGTCCCAGAAATGAATTACATTAGTACAACACTACTAAGTTAAGTATGTAAAAACAAGAAATTCTTCGATATTCCATTGGAACTTGTTGTAGAATGTCAAACATACCTTCATAACTCTTATATAAAATACATTATTGGAATTTGTGTAAGGTATGGAACTGTATATTGGAATTATATGTATTATATACTATTACACAGTACTATGATTTGTCTCATAATACAGAAAAGTAATCCTTGATGTCTTTACTTTTATTCCAATTTCTTCAAAAAGAGAAAAGGCTGAAAAAACGAAGAAAGTGCGGAACATGATCAATGATAGCAACATTTCAGGAGAAGTGGTTAGTGTTGATATTTTAATATTATTTGACGATCTTTTCATCTATTTCAAGGTTAAATAAAGACTGTGTTGACAAATCGGCATTTTCGTTGCTAATTCTGAAGCTATCAAAAACTCATTCCAAATCTGAGATATATGTATAGCAAAAATATTGAAGCATAGAGTACAGACTATAGGCGAAAGGTGATTTATAATGTCAAAACTACAAATGATTTACATAAAAAAGCATGCTTGGCAAAAACAATAGAAAAAAAAGGATTAAAAGGAATTTAATTAGTGTGATCACTACGTTATAGATACCATATTTCTAGTTGTATTGAAAAGGGCTCTACCATTGATCAGAATCAACATCGGTGGACGTAATGTGACCATTGCCTGCGAGGCTACACTGGACACTAATGATAACGGAAATTAATTGACTGTTGACCAATGCCTGCTAGGCTAGATCAGTTATTACGCTGTACTCGCTGTCCGCCTGTTGCAGCCTACAGGTGTAGGTAATTTGTACCGACATATGGACTGAAACAGATGTATTCATACATGTCGAATAATAAATCCATTGCAATACATCCATAACTACATTTAATTCCTTAATGAGTATTCCTAAACAAGCTGTTAAATTGTCAAGACATTTTGATCAAGGCTCCAGTGTATATATGCTCGATTTTATTTTATATTTCCATAATCTTTTTTCTGTTCATTTTTCTTTAGGAATATGCATTCAGTGCCTTTTGTTTTGATTGTTTAGTTTTTAACTAAATCCAAATGTATTTATGTAAAATACTACAGTAGAAATTATATGGATGATATCATTCCATTTTTGTGAAATATATCGTTCATTTGCACTGTTACAGTACACTATATTCTAACGAAATGTCGCTTCAGTCCATTGATATGCAGGTGTTTTTCGTTTATTTTCCTAATTCAAGAGGTATACCGTCCGTATCCGATATCAACAGCATATGAACGCAGCTAAACATGCAACTACTTGTATAAAGCAAGAATCGCAAAAATCGCTTGAGTGCGACTGTTGATTTCACATCATCTGTAACAAAATATTCACATCATCTGTAACAAAAAAGCACATCTTTTATGGATACTATAAAGTTAATGAACAATAGCTAATTAACATTTATGTAATTATATAATTGTGTACAAGATGAAACCTTGAACCTAATCGGCTTCAAAAGAGATCAGCTATATTTGGGAACATTTTCTTGATAATGTCAGTATATTCGAAATTCTTTTAACACATTTAGCAGAAGCTATGAGTGTGACGTGCACGGTCATCGATTCTAGAGAAAAGCTATAAACTTCAGATATTAGTAACAAAACCAAGAAAATACCAGCATGTCAACAATGATAATCCATATTCAAATTCAATAAAAAGACAGCAAATCACGAACGAAGGAAATATTTACATAGTGATTCCTGACACAGTACAAGGGAAATAAGACCATGAGTAACGAGAGAGCAAGCGCTTTTTGCTCCATCGAAGATACCCGTCATGTAAACATTGGCCAATCCAAGTAAGCAATGTCACATTCTCAAATGATAACAAGGTATACAACAAAGGAATCAACATGCAAACTAACGTACATCAAACATATCCAGCTTCATATCTCAATGGGGTTACTATGACGTTTGAAACCCTGTGAAACGAGTTTGTCCGTCAGTTGAAAAATTGCAAGGAAGTTAGTATAATATGAAAAGGCACTTGAATATCGATTCAACTGTTATATGTAAACAACGTAGATTAGGGATGCAGTAATATTTTTATCCAGAAATGGAAAATTCACAATAATGAAATTGAATTTCTTACGTTTATCATACAGCTTGATGGAAAGCTGTCGATGTTTTTTTCGTTGTACGAAAAGATCAAAACAAACTGATATACAAAAGGTTCTATCTCATCGCTGATTTCCAATTCTGGTGGTTTTATAAGATGGACATGGTAAATAAATTTCTTGTTTTTTAATGACATAACGTCATCAGTATATCTGAAAGTGAAATTAAACGACTTTGCAAGGTCTTTTTATCCTTCATGATAAACTTTTCGATAAATCCAGCACCGTATGAAAACAAATACAAGTAAGTCAACGGAAGTTAATTTCCATAGGCAGTCTGTTTGAAGAAGTTACTACTAAACTCGACGAAAATGTTATCAACAAGAAATTCGATAATTCTAAAACTGCATTCTCCGTATAATTCTTTATTGGCATGGACGTATTTTTCAAGAAATACACTTCAGTATAGTTTACAACTATATATGTTTGTAAGGCAGTTCATCTTTCTTGGAAAAGAAAGCTCTCATAACAAGAGAGAAGGCATTCTTTCCGCTTAGAATGAAGTATGGTGGTGTACAAATTGGAAAAATTAAATGTTCTTATAGAAGATATGTTTTAGAAGTGGATGTTGAAGATTGGTTCTTTTGAGTTCTTAATTCCACCTCTTAAGAAAACAGTATCAGAATGAGACTGTTACACAGATTCGATACTGCTAAGAATGGTGGTTTGTAGATTTGACATATGTTGAGTTGAATAACTAGACAAGTCATCAATAAAACTATGATTATATGGATTCATGTGAAATTAAGGATTCCTTATAATTAATAGGAATTGTAAAAGATCAGTATGTATTTTTTCTTTGGAAAGACTGAACATACAATCAACGGAAAATCAAAAAGGGCGCAAAACACGCAGGATTTTCACGAGTTCTCATTTTATATAGGATGTACAAAATGGTCGTATGAACCTTTCATTTTAAAAAAGCCCCAGTCTAGGTCTGTTTCCAGTTAAGCTTTAACATCTGCTGATGATAACCATTCTAACTAAAACAAAACATTGAGTCTTCTAAACCACTCTAACAAAAACAATACATTAAGTCTTCTAAACCACTCTAACAAAAACAAAACATCTAATCTTCTAAACCAATCTAACAACAACAAAACATCTAATCTTCATAACCAATCTAACAACAACAAAACATCTTATCTTCTTAACCAATCTAACAACAACAAAACATCTTATCTTCTTAACCAATCTAACAACAACAAAACATCTTATCTTCTTAACCACTCTAACAAAAACAAAACATCTAATCTTCTAAACCACTCTAACAACAACAAAACATCTTATCTTCTTAACCAATCTAACAACAACAAAACATCTTATCTTCATAACCAATCTAACAACAACAAAACATCTAATCTTCTAAACCAATCTAACAACAACAAAACATCTTATCTTCATAACCAATCTAACAACAACAAAACATCTTATCTTCTTAACCACTCTAACAACAACAAAACATCTAATCTTCTAAACCAATCTAACAACAACAAAACATCTTATCTTCATAACCAATCTAACAACAACAAAACATCTTATCTTCTAAACCACTCTAACAAAAACAAAACATCTTATCTTCTTAACCAATCTAACAACAACAAAACATCTAATCTTCTAAACCACTCTAACAACAACAAAACATCTTATCTTCTTAACCAATCTAACAAAAACAAAACATCTTATCTTCTTAACCAATCTAACAACAACAAAACATCTTATCTTCTTAACCAATCTAACAACAACAAAACATCTTATCTTCTTAACCAATCTAACAACAACAAAACATCTTATCTTCTTAACCAATCTAACAACAACAAAACATCTTATCTTCTTAACCAATCTAACAACAACAAAACATCTTATCTTCTTAACCAATCTAACAACAACAAAACATCTT